AATTTTGAACTGCTAACAAGGTCAGGTCAGGTCAGGAGCCAGGTCAGGCTAGACCGGACAGGAGCCCAGTCAAGGCTTATGGACTTTTATATTTGATGTCTGGCCTGTAGCAAGGCTGGCTGTCCTTTTCTGGCCTAGATCAGCCTGTTAGCTAGACCAGGAAGGTCCTAGCTTGGCTGACGGATCCTTCTGTGGACGGGCAAGGCTTGGCCAAAGCTAACGGGCGAGGTTTGGCCGGAGCTGATGGGCCAAGCTTGGCAAAATGTCCAATAATCAGGAGTGCTTGAGGGGGTGTAAGCCAGAGCCCGTATGCTATGCTTCGGGAAAAGTTCCGGCGACGTTTCTGATCGCTACGGTGGCACCTTTAATCTTTTCGTTAAAATGTTCATAGTCCATAAGCGGACTTTTCCTCGGATAGTTTTGCCGGAAAGATCAGAGACGCCGTAGGGACTTTTCCCGGAGCGTAGCATAGAAGCTCAGGCCAGAGCTGGCAATAAGTCTGCTCTGGAATCAAAAATGAACCCAGATTTGGTTCCAATTGATCGGATTTGATTTGATCTGAATTTTTCAATGAAATTCCCGAGATTCTAAGCGAACTACAGCCCTGCAGAAGCCAGGAAATAGCCAGGAAATAGTCAGTGTTTACTTCTTTGCCAGTGCTCAGACAATTTAGGTTTTCTAAAGTTGAATCGGATTTTCCAATTTCTGGATTTTCGGCGATCAATTAGATCGATTTCCTATAAAAAAAGTGACGAGTTTCGGTCCGAAGTCGAACCCGCGAGGCTTCGCCTTGTATCCTAGCCGACTACCACTCGACCACCACTCCTTGCGAGACCCCTCGGAAATTTCCCTATAAAGTTGAGTGCTTTTTAAAATCCCATCCCAATTTTAAGCGCTTATAACTTTTGACAGAGCACTCCGTTTCAAAAACGGAAAGCAGATTCGGAATCAGCGTGAAATTCTGCGTCTATGGCTTATGTCATTTGGCCATAAAACCCGATTGACCGTCGATTGTAAGAGTTGCCAATTTGTCTTTTCGCCACCTCATTGAGTCATGATTTTCCCTTTTAAACCCTTTTCCCTCTTTGCCAATCGCTTCCTCGGTAGTATAGTGGTTAGTATCCGCGTCTGTCACATGCGAGACCCGGGTTCAATTCCCGGCCGGGGAGAATTTTTTTGATTTTTGTTTTTTTGACAAAACTTTACTTGATTTTTTATTTTCTTTTTTTTAATATTTTCTTTTATCAACTCGACTCTGTGACCTCCAGATCAAGCGTTGAGATGAATAAAACGAGATTTCTCAAATCACAAGCCGATATTTTTCGGTGAACTCGTTTTCGATCGATTCCTCTCAAAAAATTGAGCATTTCACTTAAATAACTATTTTCTTATAGCTAAATAACTAAAAAGCTTGAAAGTTTTCCTTCAAAATTTTCATTTTTATGTCGTTGAATCCATTTTTTTTCTTTTTTTCACCTATTTTCTACATCTCGGCTCCCGAGTTCCCCGTTCTCGATGAGAAAAGAAAAAAATGAAAAAAGAAAAAGAACGATGAGGAACCTCTGGATGTGTGCAATGCAGAGAGCAGGGGGCAGCTCTGAGGCTGAGAGGCTGCGGGCTGGAGGAGAGGGGAGGAGAGCGTCGACCCCCCTCCTCGTGAACCCTCTACATGCCTGCCTGGGTTCCATTTTCAATCTCATTCTCTCGTGTGACTTCCAGCTTGCTTCTATCGACGTTCTGTTTCTCTCTTTCCTCACCAATTTTCGAGATTTTTCAGTGAACTCATTTCTCTCTGCCTCCTCCCTCCAAACCCTCCCTGTTCTTGTTTTCTTTCTGCCATTCTCTCCCGTGCCCTCCAGATCTATCATTCCGAAATTTTCTCTCGCTATTCTTAAACCTTTTCTCGAAAAACTCACGCCGCTCTCTTCACTCCACTCCTCTCCACCCTCTCCACCCACTTTTCCCTTCTCTTTCTCTCCAGTGCTTTTCAGCTTGTCTCTATGCCATTTTTCCTACCCGAATTCCTCAATTCTTCGTTGCTCTCATTCGATCTTTTCACCTCCTCGATTCGGTCATCTCTTCCCCCCTCTTCCCCTCCCTTCCTCTTCCCCTCTCTTCCCCTCCCTTCCTCTTCCCCTCTCCACCCTTCCTCTTCCCCTCTCTCCCCTCCCTTCCTCTTCCCCTCTCCACCCTTCCTCTTCCCCTCTCTTCCCCTCCCTTCCTCTTCCCCTCTCCACCCTTCCTCTTCCCCTCTCTTCCCTCTCCCCTCCTCTTCCCCTCTTCCCCTCCCTTCCTCTTCCCCTCTCCCCACCCTTCCTCTTCCCCTCTCTTCCCCTCTTCCCCTCCCTTCCTTCCTTCCCTCAACTTCCCCAATTCTTTTCGGTTTCCACAGCTTTTTTTTTCTTTCCTTCCTTTTCTTTTCTCTTTTTTTGAGAGGCGAGAAATGGGACCCGCGAATTTTTGACGAACAAGAGACGATTTTCTCTTCTTTCTTCTTCTTCTTCTTCTTCTTTTTCACAATTCTTTTGTCCATTTATGTTATTAAAGTTGCGTTCCTATGGTTTGAGACATTTTCTTCGCTTATTGATTCAGTTTTTCAGCCCAAACCCAAACCATCTCTAGGGCACCGATTCCCGGTTTGAGAATGGCGCTCTCTGGCTTTTTCAGGTGCTCGAAAATTGCTGAGAAATAGATTTTTGGGGGTTCTGGAGCGCAACTTGAATGCTCAGAGCGCTTTGAAGTCGAGTCTAGTCTATCGACCTGCAGTTGTAGTTTAGTTGGTTTTGAGAATGGCGCTCCTAGACTACTTAGGAGCATCAGGAAAACTCGAAAAGGAAATTTTTATCGTTTCTGGAGCGCACATCAATAGCTGATATTGTTAGAGTTGTTTATTTCATCAATTTCACGAATTTCACCTCAGCCGAGTGCTTGGTTGAGTGTGCAAAAATTAAAAAAATTTTTTTTTAAATTTCTCAAATTGATTTTTAAAAACTCTCATTCATTTTTGTGACTTCCAGAACGCGTAAAAAGCTTTTTGAAATCGGGAAATCTTTGTTGTTTTTTCAATTTTTAAGTGAGTAGAGAAATTTTGAAAGAAAAAGTTGAATGTTAATGTTAAATTGTGAAAATTTGTTTAAAAAAGATGAATTTTAAAGAAATTAAAGATTATAGTCGTATTTAGAGTCCTTTTTTTGCAAATTTTAAACGGTTTTTCTTTTGGAAATCTTTTTGAAAATCTTGAAAATCTTGCAAATCTTGTTTTTTTTATAGAAAAAGTTCTCGAAACGCACTTTTTTTTTATTTCGTTTTGGCTTTAAAAAAGTCGATTATTTTCAATAAAAAGGCGGTTTTTTTGAAATAAAACCTTTAAAAGTACTTAAAATACGTATTTGTAGCAAAAAAATTCAAAAAAAAAGTGTTTTTTAACTAAAATTTTTTTTATAAAAATCAATGTTCCATTTTGCCATTTGTCATTGAAAATTTCTATCCTTTTCTTCTTGAAATTAAAAAGAAAGATAACAGCACGAAAAGTACACAGCTTTCTTATCAATTTTCATTAAAAAAAAGCAAAAAAAAAAAAAATGCACTACTCGGACTCGAACCAGCGACCATTTCCCCCGAACCACGGCGCCCCTACCCAACTGCGCCATTGGTGCACTGCTAGCAAATCCCGACTTTTTAAGCGCATTTACTCCAGTGACTTCCAGAATTGATATCTGTGTCAAAGGAAATTTGGGAAATAGAATTTAAGACCCCTTTTTCCTTTCAAACTCTGATCTCCATACCGAAATGGCCGAAATTTAGAAAATCCTGATTGTTTTTAGCGCATTTACTCCAGTGACTTCCAGAATTGATATCTGGGTTAAAGGAAATTTGGGAAATAGAATTCAAAACCCTTTTTTCCTTTCAAACTCTTATCTCCACACCCGAATGGCCGAAATTTTCTATTTACTGAAAAAAAAAGTGAAAGGAATTCTTCTTTTTCTGCTCGATATCAGCATGCGGGGAACGCGAGTTGATCGAAAAAAGAACTTCATTGTGGTTTTAAAGAAGAAATTAATAAATTTTCAAATTCACTTTTTTCTTCTCGGCGATCTACCACTTCGATCTATAGCTGGGCGAAAATTTCCCTTATTTTTCTAGTTACCCGAATTTTTTTTGATTTTTTTGGCCAATCTGGAGCGCACAACAGTTGCTGACGCTAATAAATTTCAGAAATTTTCATTTTAAGAAAAAATTTTAGAAAAACCTTTTTTCTGACAATTTTTGTTTTCAAAATATGAAAACCCTAAATTCATTTTTGGTTTTTTTCCCTTTTTTTCTTTTTCTTCTTTTCCCTACTGAATACCAATTAATTTGTGGCGATTGTTCCGCAAAATTTCCCTTTTTTTATTGTTTTTCCGGGTTTTTCTTTGTCTTAAAACGAAAAGAACCCAAATTTTGCACCTTGAAAAGAGTTTAAGCTGAAAAAAGGAAAATGAGTTTGATATGGAAGTGTTTGAAATGGATTTTTGCTCCTCCTGGCACGCACGCTAATCACCCAAAACCTCTCGAACATCATTTCGGACTTTTTTCAGAAACACCAAAAATTTTGCAAAACCCCCAAAAACTTATTTTCTGAATTTTCAATTCTGCGCCTTTTCTCGAAAACTATTGTCTATTCTGCGTTCCAGATTGGTCGATTATCGATTTTCAACTTGACTTTCTGCGGTAGAACCCGAAAAATCGCTCCAGCTACCGATTTTGGCCTTTAATTTTTGTATTCTCTGCGATTTTCTCGATATTTCTTCTTTATTCGAAATTTTTTTTTTTCGTACAATCATTTTCCTGGAATGCATTCAAGCAAATCGGAAATAATCGTGTAATTTTGAGGATTTTTTTAGGGTTCGACCCTCCAGCTCGGGTATTTCTGCTGAAATTTTCAAGACGAGAACGTTCGATTTGATTGTTTGGTTATTTAAATTTGATTCCTGGACTTCTCTCAAAAATCTATGATCATTATGGAGTTCACGGGTGAGTTTAGCAAAAGAAAAAAAAAAGAAAAACGAGAAAAAAATTTTTTCAAAAACTTAAGCTTTAGATTTTATTACGCAATTTTTTTCTAAAAAAAATTTTTTTTTTTTCTAAAATTGAAAATTTTTAAAAGTTACACGATTTTTGAATTGTGTGACATCCAGCTTGATCAAAGAAAACTTTATAAACCATTCTTATCATTTGAATTCCCAAAAAAAACGAGCCTAAGCTCACGTCATTGCATTACCCGCTTTTCCTTTCAGACGAATTTGGCCAATGTCTCGTTTGCGGGGATCGCTCGGCGGGAAAGCATTATGGAGTGATGGCTTGTTATGGGTGAGTGAGCGGCTTTTTTTAGATGATTTCCGCGAATTTTAAGCTGAAAATGTTCAAAACGAGAAACGAAATCGATTTTGAAACGATTTCGACGAAATAGAAATAATTTTTTGAAAAAATAAATGAAGTAGATGGGCATCTGGAAGTCACAGAACAGTTTTCCATTTAAAATCGACTCGATATTTGCAATTTGATTTTTGGTCGAGTGGTAGTGGGCTAGGCTACCAGCCAGACGACCCGGGTTCGAGTCCGGTTGCGGAAAATTTTTAGATATTTGAGTGGAAATTGGTGCATTTTGTAGGGTGACTTCCAGATCGAAAAGTTTCTTTTAAAAACTTTTCCAATTCCAGTTGCAAGGGGTTTTTTCGGCGAACGATTCGCTCAGCACAGACGTACACGTGCCGTTTCCAACAAAAGTGCAGCATCGATAAAGGTAGGGAAAGCTGAAGCGTTTTTCAAATCAAAAAATTTCATTTTCCAAGAAATCAGTGATTTTTTATTTTCAAAATTTTCAAAAAATTAGAGTCGAAAAGTGTCGTCAAAAATTATTCAAAAAATTTTAATTTTTGAAAAATCTCAATTCTCTTGAGAGATTTAGGCAAATTGCGTTCCAGTTTGAGCGATTTTCACAAAAAATTACGATAATTTTCGCGAATGGGCTGAGATTTTCGACCAGCTACGTAAATTTTTTTTTAGATCAACGAAACGCTTGCCGTTTCTGCCGATTCCAACGGTGTTTGCAAGTGGGAATGGAGCCTGATGGTAAGGGGATCTTAAAAAGAAATTGAAAGAGGGATTCTAAATAAAATTAGCCCAGGGTAGGGTTCCAGGGTAGGTCTGGGTACTGTGCTTAGGCCTGGAACTCTGATGAGCCTGGAATTCAACCTGAGAGCCTGGGATTCTTGGAGATGCTCTAGTGACTTCCAGCTTGAGCATTAGTCCAATTGAAATCACGTATGACTTTTCGAAATTTTCAGCAATTCGACCCGACCGAGATATCATCGGGAAACAGAAAAATCCCCGACGAAAGAAGATTTTGAAAAGACAAGACTCGTCCCTGTCCATCTCATATCCGCAAACACCGTGAGTAATCGATAAACGAGTACTCTGTGCTCTTTGTAAACGCACTCTTTCTGATGCATCGGCTCCACTGGAGTACTATGTGCACTAGTATATAAGTTTTGATTTTTGCCATTTTTTTGACACCATTCTACGCTGTGAAATCCAGCTTGGAAAACGCCGAAAATTTGAATCTCAAATGTTTAAAGAAACGCTAGAAAATGCTATGAACTCGTTCCACTACTGTACTTTGTGCTGAGTTCCCGGGGAAACGCACGCTTTCCGGCGTGCAAATCCTTCAAATTTGCCCCATTTTCAGTGAGATGCCCGTCGAGGACTCACTAATCTCAATTCTGATCGATATCGAGTTGCGGGCATCGGCGGGCCAGCTCAACAACGAAAATATCGGGTTCACCAGGGTGAAAGCGGTTTGTTTTAAAGAAATCTGTTTTTTGAAGTTGAAAGCGTTTCGATCTGGAACGCACACTAGGCTAAGAGAAAGTTTTTTTTTGGAAATCTCTCGATTTCAGGATCCTGACGTCGACTTGGCGTCGCTTTTTGTCAACGCTCATCTCTACATCGATGACATGTTTGAGGTGAGGGAAATCATGGCTTTAAAGTTGTCGACTCGATGGCGTGACATCCAAAAACCCTTTTAGACATTCAATTCAATCGCTCACAAGTTTAGATCAGCTATGGTCCGGGCAGAGTCGCGTCGACGGAGGAGTTGAAGGCTGCATTCAAGCGGTGAGTAAAAGAAAACATTTTTAAAACTTAAATCCCTTCAATCTGGAAATCACAGAGCAAAATTAGCATTTAAAATTTGGAAAATTTTGAATATAAAAATTTCAGAAAAGTTTTCTCGTGTATTCACTGGATCGATGCCTTGTTCAGCCTTGCCGGCGTTTCCAGCATCCGGGAAAAGGTTGGCTATTGGAAATATAGAGATTATAGAGCTAGATCTCGTCTCTATATAGCTACCGTACCCCCTAAGCTATCGTACCGTCAATTTCAGGTATGCGTGCTAAAAAGCGTCTTCGCTCAGTATTGTCTTTTCGCGCAAGCCGCCCGGACAGCCCAGGTAACGCTTTTTTTCATTGCTGTGACTTCCAAAACTTGCAAATCATCAATTAAAATGCATCAATTCCCTCAAATTTAGATCTCAATCGATCCGAACACGTTTTTCCTGTGCAATCGCGCGATTTTACCGCGCGTCCCACCGAGGGATCTCATTGAAACCAAGTGAGTCTTTTGAAATCGCCGATCTGGAGTGCACAGAGCATATGGCTTTCAAAAAAACTGCCAAATGATAAACCGATCGGTACTGACTATGTTGTACCGTAGCTTCGACGTTTTCTACCGTATGATTTACTAAGACGTTTTGAAACCCTCCAAAATCTCCGATCTGGAGTGCACAGAGCATATTGCTTTCAAAAAAAACTGCAAAATGATAAACCGATCGATACTGACTATCTTGTACCGTAGCTTCGACGTTTTCTACCGTATGCTTGGCTAAGAAGCTTTGGAACTTCCGGAATTCTCTTATCTGGAGCGCACAGAGCATATTTCTTTCAAAAAAACTGCAAAATGATAAACCGGTCGATACTGACTATGTTGTACCGTAGCTTCGACGTTTTCTACAGTATTCTCGGATCAGAAATATTTGAAACCCTCAAATTCTGTGATCTGGAGCGCACAGAAGCTCTAGATAACAAATTGAAGGCGGTTATAGTAATTTCTATACTTTTGTCGAGATACTATTACTTATCTTCAGCCTCCTGGCGAACAACATGATCGCAAGAGTTCTGGATGAGCTGGTCTTGCCAACAAGGAGGATTCATTTAAGCGAATGTGAAGCCGTTGCACTCACAGCGATGATTATTTTGAATCCAGGTACTGTACTTTTATTTGCAGACTTTTTCATTAGTTTTTTTTCCGAAAGCCACTTGATTTCTAGCCTTGTTTCACCTGGCTTACAATTTTTAGAAAATTAAACAAATTTAGAGACAACTAGAAAGCAGAATTGTTTAAAAAAAGAGCAAAATCGAAGGGAAAACGATTTTGAATCGATTTCTACGAAATAGAAATACTTTTTTGAAGAAATAAATGAAGTAGATGGCCATCTGGAAGTCACAGAACATTTTCCATCTAAAATCGACTCGATATTTGCAATTTGATTTTTGGTCAAGTGGTAGTGGTCTAGGCTACCAGCCAGACGACCCGGGTTCGAGTCCGGTTGCGAAAAATTTCGAGATATTTGAGTGGAAATTGGTGCATTTTGTAGTGTGACTTCCAGATCGCAAAGTTTCTTTTAGAAATTTTTCCAATTCCAGTTGCAAGGGGTTTTTTTGAATGCTGCATAGTTTCCACAGCTAGAAGTCATTTCTTGGCTTTACCAAACTGCCAAAATTAGCCAAAATTGAAGCGAAATGAGCTCTAAAAGCTCTTAAAGCTTTAAACTCTAAAACCCAATTTTCCAGAAGCGCCAGGCCTCTCGCCTCGCACGATGTCCGAGTTGTCGCTGCTGAGAGATCGAGTACAGACGGCTCTTTTCCAAACGATACGGTAAAATGGCGAAAATTTAAATGAATTTGACGAAGCTGGAAGTCACGCTATCAAATGAAAAAAAGAAATTACGGAATTGGACAAGTTGGACAAATTTGACAAGTTTGACAAGTTTTCAGCGAACGTCTTCAACCCGAGCACACCGTGCAAGCGGTCACGAGCCGATTCGGCAATTTGCTGCTCTTGTTGCCGCCACTAGCTGTAAGTTTTAGTGATCTAGCGATCTCGTTTCCTCAATAATCCTCAAAATCCTCAAAATCCTTGTTTTCCAGCGTGTTTCCACATTGTTCGCTGAGAATGTTCACTTCGCTCGCATGTTTGGCACTCAAATTGTTGATCCGATCCTCGTCGAGGTCTTCAGTGATGAACATGGCATGCAGGTCAGCTTTTAGAAAAGAGCGATAGAGTTTCAGTTTGATAGAGTGATTACAAGGCTACCGGAGTACTGTAGTTTCCGACAATAGTTTAGATCTTATTATATTAACTTTCTTTTGTTATCTAGAGCTATTGTGTGCTCCAGATAAGAGATTTTAGAGGGTTTCGAAACTTCTTAGTCAAGCATACGGTAGAAAACGTCGAAGCTACGGTACAACATAGTCGGTATCGACCGGTTTATCATTTTGCAGTTTTTTTGAAAGCAATATGCTCTGTGCGCTCCAGATAAGAGAATTCGGGGAGGTTCGAAACTTCTTAATCAAGCGTACTGTAGAAAACGGCGGGAACACGTATGGTACTGTAGTCAAATCAGTCAAATCTTATTATAATAACGTTATTTTGTTAGCTAGAGCTGCTGTGCGCTCCAGATAAGAGGATTCGGGGAGTTCCAAAGCTTCTTAGTCAAGCATACGGTAGAAAACGTCGAAGCTACGGTACAGCATAATCAGAAACGATCGGCTTATCTTTTTAAAGATTTTTTTAAAAGCAATTTGCTCTGTGCGCTCCAGATAAGAGATTTTAGAGGGTTTCAAAACTTCTTAGTCAAGCATACGGTAGAAAACGGCGGGAACACGTATGGTACCGTAATCAAAATGAGTCGAATGAGTCGAATCGCGATTTTTCTGAAATCAATGGCCCCTGTGCCTTCCAGATCGACAAATTTTAAAACGAGCAATTCGTCTTTTCATTTAAATGAGGATATTTGTTTGCAGAGAAGCGACATTTGACCGAACGAAGCCTCGAGTTTTGAAAAGAAAACACATATCCAACCTCATTTCTCGTCATTTCTTTTGTTTGAATTCTATTTCTATTTCTATTACCGTAATCCAACGATCTGGGCATCAGAAAAGCCAATTAGCTGAATATTTTTATCGATGATTTTTCGAGTTAAAAATTTCAAAAATTTTTAAATTTAAAATTTCCCATTTCTTTTCATTCCCTCGGCTTTCGTGACATCCAGATTGGGGGAATTGTTGAAAATTTTTGTCATTTTTCTTGCAAATCTCTTCTTAAATGTGATAGTTCTCGGATCTAGTCGAAAAATGTGAAATTTTTTCCAAAAATCTTCAATTTTCTTCAATTTTCTTAACGTGTGCACTCCAGATTATCGCATCTTTCTTTTAGAAATTTAAAATTTCGATTTCTTTACCAAAAAAATTGACCGATCACGATTTTGGTATGAAGAAATCGCTTTTTTTCGTTTTTTTTCGCTTTTTTTCATTTTTCTTTGTTCAAAAAAGCCGGTATGCTTATTTTTAAGCGTTTTTTTTTTCCTTTTTCCACTACAAATCACCTTTTGCTACGTACAAATGGGTTAATCATTAATTAGTTTTTAAATTTTTTTAGCTTCTTATGCCTCTACCTCTTTCGCCTTCTTTTCCTCTCACTCTCCATTCTAGAATTCTAAAACAACCGAAAAAAAACGATTCTAAACCTTCTTAGCAATTGATTCGCAAAAGAATAAATTTGATTTTTACAAAAAAAAACTCAAAAATGACAGCCACCGGAATTGAACCCGGCCACCCGACGCCGACCCGCTCGCCCAGCAACCCCTCCCAAAACCACTGCGCCATACAGACAATTTCACAGAATTTACCGAAAATTCTCTAGACATTTCTAGACATTTTCTGTGCATTCCAGATCGACTGGAAAGTTGCTCGCATTTGCGTTTTCACCATTCTGAAGCCAGAAAATCGATCATTCTCAAAAGTTTGGCATTTTTTCGAGAAAAAGCTTGCTTTTATACATACAAATGCCACAAAAACGATAAAAGAAAAAGAAAATTGATAAAATCTCTCGCTTCTCACAAATCTTGTAGCTCTCGGACGATTGCTTGCGCGATTTTGTGATGCACGAAAGTGGAGGGATGCCATAAATCGTGATAGGCGTACTGGTAGATTGAGCGAGTGCTGGAAACAAAAATTTAACCACTTTTCTTATTTCCATTCTACGTTGTGCACTCCAGCTTGAGGAATGGCAAAAGGTTGGAGTCGGAAAAGTCGAAAGAAAACTCGAAAACTACGGTGAAAGGGGTTCGCTCGATTTTAAAGCGATCCTTTCAACTTTCAGGGACTAAGATTACGCCATTGTGCAAGCTGGAGGTCACACTTGCGAATGTGATTGAGAAATCGCTGACCCAGTGTCTTTTGTGTGATGAGTGAATGGCTCAGTGGTGTTGAGGTCGGTCATCGCCCGAACGACCACTCCGTTCAAGTCGAGCACTCTAGAAGTTCAAAATTGGATTGAAATTGGTTTCCCAGCGATTCCCAGCTCTTTTACTCACCTCACCGTGATTGCTGGCGCTTTTTTTCGCAAACCCAGTTCACTATCATAGACGAGGTGGGTTAATTGCTGAAAAAAGAGTCGTATCGATTTTTTGAGTTTTTCAATTTCTGATCTGGAGCTCACTGGGGGAATGGCAAAAGGTTTGGGTCGGAAAAGTCGCAAAAAAAAGTCGAAAACTACGGTGAAAGGGGTTCGCTCGATTTTAAAGCGATCCTTTCAACTTTCAGCGACTAAACTCACGCCATTGTGCAAGCTGGAGCTCACGAGAGACTATTGTCGTGTTTAAAATAAAAATTTCGAGTTTTAAAGAAAAGTCGAAAACTGATGCGTAACTAATCCAAGGTTTTTACTAGTTATTGGATAGGAATAGAGTTGCCAATTTAAGAGATTCTCTAATCTGGAAGTCACAGAACAAGTCTATGACGATAAACCTAACGAATTCCAAATTCTGAATTCCTACCGTATTCGCTTCTCCAACCATCGCCGAGATTCTCTTCTGCAACACTTGACTCTCTTCTGCAGCCAGGACACCTGGTGCCGAGCTTTGATCAACAATATTTAACACCAGAATCGTTCCAGCGGTCATTGTCTACAAATTTCGAGTTTAAATAAAACGAAAAGCCGAATAATAAGCTCGAAAGTTGTTCTCGTCATTTTTTCCGATTCTGTCAATTTTCAGAAGTTGAAATTTCGGGAGATTTCAAGCTGGATGTCACACCGGATATTGAAATCAATGCAAACCTTCAACAAGACATTCATCGCCTCATGAATATTCTCGACAACCTCTTGCGTTTTATTGTTTCCAGTGAAAAAGTCGATAGCCCCGCCGGCTTGCATGATCATTAGAGAGTCTGAAAAAAAAGTTTAATTGTCCAAAAGTCCAATTCTCCTACTTTATTCAAAAAAAAAGCTTAAACCGATCGAAAAAAGGCCAAAAAAAGACTGGCTCTCGCCATTTGGCCATTCAGCCATTTAGAACAGGTGAGAAGGGCTTTAGATTCAATTTCTTGATCACAAGACAACAAGACGTCTTGTCTTGTTGACGACTGGGTAAGAGACTGGCTAAGAGGCCGGTCTCCTGGTCGAAAGATCGAAGGTTCAATCCCGTCCGAATTCTAATTCAACTAAAAACTCTAACAACAACTTTTCGGAAAACTAGCTGGGAAATGTCTAATTTCTTTTAAAAGTAGCAAGTGTTATATAGAGAATTGTAGCTTTGAATTTTGGCTACATTTATCTATCAAAAGCTTTCCGATTGAATTTATAGAAGTCATAAAACGAGCGCCTAAACAGTCGACATCTCTCATTAGAGCTTGGCCATCTCTTGGCTGATGGCCGCTTTTCTCTAGCTGGGAAATTGTCAATTTCTTTTAAAACTGGCAATTGTTATATAGAGAATTGTAGCCCTGAATCTTGGCTACATTTATATACCAAAAACTTTCCGATTGGATTTATAGAACTCTTTAAACACGCGAATTAAAGCGTGTTTAAAGGACCGCGAATTAAAGCGACAACTTTTTGATTTTAGAAAAGCAGCTGGAATGGACAATTTCTTTCAAAACTGGAAACTGTTATATAGGGAATTGTAGCTTTGAATCTTGGCTACATTTATATACCAAAAACTTTCCAATTCGACTTATAGAACTCATAAAACAAGCGCCTGAACAGTCGACATCTCTCACTAGATCTTGGTCATCTCTTGGCTGATGGCCGCTTTTCTCTAGCTGGGAAATTGGCAATTTCTTTTAAGACTGGCAATTGTTATATAGATAATTGTAGCCCTGAATCTTGGCTACATTTATATACCAAAAACTTTCCGATTGGATTTATAGAACTCATAAAACAAGTACTTGAATGACAGTCGGCGTCAAATCTGTCGTTTTTTACGATTGTTCTAAATTGAACTTAAATTTTCGTTTTACTAGTTCAGCCAAAAGATTTTTTGTAATTCTTAATGTATTTTAGTAATGTTAAACACTAGTTTTGCATTAAAGAAGTATTGAAAACCTTTTCTTTTAATAGAGAAAAGCGGCCATCAGCCAAGGGATTGCCAAGAGCTAATGAGTGATGCCGACTTTCATTCAAGTGCTTGTTTTATGAGTTCTATAAGTCGAATGGGAAAGTTTTTGGTATATAAATGTAGCCAAGATTCAAAGCTACAATTCTCTATATAACCCTGGCAAGTTTTGAAAGAAATTGTCCATTCCAGCTGCTTTTCTAAAATCAAAAAGTTGTCGCTTTAATTCACGGTCGACAAGCGCTCATTCAAGCACTTGTTTTATGAGTTCTATAAGTCCAATCGGAAAGCTTTTGGTATATAAATGTAGCCAAGATTCAGGGCTACAATTCTCTATATAAAACTTTCTAGTTTTGAAAGAAATTGCCCATTTCCCAGCTAGAGAAAAGCGGCCATAAGCCAAGAGATGGCCAAGCTCTAATGAGAGATGTCGACTGTTTAGGCGCTCGTTTTATGAGTTCTATAAGTCCAATCAGAAAACTTTTGGTATATAAATGTAGCCAAGATTCAGGGCTACAATTCTCTATATAATACTTGCAAGTTTTGAGAGAAATTGTACATTTCCCAGCTAGTTTTCCGAAAAGTTGTCGCTAGAATTTCGCCGTCCTGTACTTTGTGCTCGAAAAAAAATGTAAACAACTCCTATCTGGCGAAGTTAATTCTGTTTTTTTGTATGCCAGAAGTGGTGTGTTTACTCATTTAAAAGCCAAAAACCCACCAAAAGAGAGATTTTAGAGAAATTTTTGGGAAAAAACTCTGGATCAGATGCTCAGATGGATCGAATCGGACTCTCCTTTTCTTTGAATCGCTTACCACTAGGGATTTGTGGATGCGTGTCCACGAATCTTTCCACTTGCCATAACAATCCGCTCCAATTTGGGAAATAGAAATTATCGCGACCACTTTTCGCTCCAGAATAAGCGTAGTTGACGTACTGAAAATGAGCTGGGGGGTTTTTAGAGAAAATCCTAGCAACAAAAGATGAAACTAAGACGAATTTTGTGCGATCTGGAACGCACGACACCTTTTCTAAAGCTCACTCGATCGCTACTGAGCTACTGAAAATAGTTCACATACCGAAAATGAGCTGGGGGTTTTTAGAGAAAATCCTAGCAACTAGGGATGAAACTAAGATCAAATTCGTGCGATCTGGAACGCACGACATCTTTTCTAAAAGCTCACCCGATCGCTACTGAGCTACTGAAAATAGTTCACATACTGAAAATGAGCTGGGGGGTTTTTACAGAAAATCCTAGCAACAAAAGATGAAACTAAGACGAATCTTGTGCGATCTGGAACGCACGGCACCCTTTCTAAAGTTCTAAAGCTCACCCGATCGCTACTGAGAATGACTTACATACTGAAAATGAGCTGGGGGTTTTTAGAGAAAATCTCAGCAATGAAGAAGACAACTAAGGTCAAATTCGTGCGATCTGGAACGCACAACACCTTTTCTAAAGCTCACCCGATCGCAGGCGAGCATTTTCTGGAGGTACTCTGGCCACACTGGACCGTTGCTTGTCCGCTCGAAGCTGAAATTTGCATTAATCAATCTAATATTTCGTTTCTAGCTCTCAGCTCTCCAATTGACTTCACTGCATTCCAAAGCATTCCAATGCATTCCAATCCACTCACCCATAAGATTCATCGGCCACCTCGATACCGTCATCTGACAAAGAGTCGCCGAACACGAACAACGCGCCGCATAAGAATTCATGAGGCTAAGACAAAGATTAGCTCATTTTAAACCCAATTCGCTTACTTTATGCAAGATTCTGGAGTGCACAGCGTCGATCAAAAGACAAGCGAAAAGGAAAACTGTCCATTTCATCACTGCTGGGTTAACTCTGTTAGAGGACTGGGTCGATTTAACGCTCAAGCCTCAATATAGAAGACTGAAATGATGTGATTCACTAATGCTGGAACACAGGGAACCGTTTTCGGAAGCTAGCTCCCGGCTAGCCCTCTATTTGGTTGGGGTGACTGTCGGAGGCAGCGCCGCAGCTGTGCCAACTCGAAAACAATGCGCCCCAAGGGCTTTTCTCCGCTTTTCTCCGCTTTCCCGGCTTTTTGAAAAGGCTAGCTGGAACGTATGATCTCTAAAATTTCACAAATTTCCTTAATATTTCCACTTTTCTCATTTCTCCTTCTGTGGTTTGGCTCTCATCGAATCTCATCGAAATTTCTCGTCTCTCCAATTCTGTAAAAGGATAAATCCAAAATTTTTGTTCAATCTGGATGTCACAGTCTCTAAATTCTTCAAAGGAAAGCCTAGTATTTCAGAAAAAAATTTTTTTTGATTTTACGGATCGAATGCGGAAATATTGATGAAATCGTTTAGGGAAATCGAAAAAAATGTGTAAAAACGAGAAAAGAAATGAAAGAATTCAACGGGGATTCAACGAGGATTCAAAATTCAATAAAGATCGTTTCAAAAATCTCTTTAAAATCAAATATAGTCTTTGGTTCAATTACCCAAGTCAAAAAAATTTTTTTTTTTTTAAATTGAAAAAATCAAAAATCTATTTGATTGAAAATGTTGTGTGACATCCAATTAAGAAGATCTAAAAGTCATAGAAAAGATTCGTCGATCAGGGAAAGAGTTATTTTGCTTCGTAAGTAGAATCGAGGCGAGGATCAACTCCTTGACCCCATCTGGGAAATGAATGAATGCTATAGAAGCCAGAATGTGGCCTGGTTTTTTCAAATGAGATCCAGAATGCTCAAATCTCGTTAGAAATCGTTTAAACTATCAAAAACGTTCAAGAGATTACGGTAGCTTTTTCTAGAAAGCGATTTTTAGGAAACGCCTTTAGGAGAAAAATCAAGTCCCTTAAAATCTCGATTTCACTGATTTCTAATTCGAAATTTCTATTCTTGGATTGCGTGTGTGGCTTCAGGAGACTCTTCAGGAACTTCAGGAGATCTCTCCGACTTGTTTACCCGTTAAGATTTCCGAGATTTTATGTGAAGAATGGAATCGAGACATGAAAGTTCGCTTAAATTCATCGCTTTTCGATAAAACCGATATTTTTGGGCTTCCTGGAACGCACAGTAGCCATTACAAAAGAAAAATTTCGTTTACAAAACAATTGCTCACTTTACACTTTTCTCTCGTTTTTTGTTCATGCGATTTCCCAGAATTTGGAAAGCTGCCAAAAAAAACTGAGCTCATTTTCAGCGATCCTGGAAGTCACATTAGCTTTTGAGAAAGTTAGAATTTAAATATCTGACAATGCTCCGATGGCCGAGTGGGTAGTGCGCTTGGCTATCAGTCACAAGATGAGGGTTCGATCCCGGCATCGGATTTTTTTTTGGAAAATGGTTTTGCTTTCAAAAGCCTTATTGCTGTTCTTCTTCTCAGCATTTTTGGCAGTCAATTTCCAGCCAATTCCAGTGAATTCCTCTCTTTTTTTGCTTAAGAAAAGAGAAGAAATAGGACTGGAGGGAAATTGAAAAGAGGAAAAGAGGAAAAAGCGAAAATCGATTTTCAGCGTGTTTTATGGAGGGCACGAGAGGGGGAAATGGAGAAAAGAAATGGGAAAAACGCTAGAAAAAAATTTTTCTTTTTTTCCCTCATCGCCAAAACTTTAATCCCCCAGAAAATCTGAAGAAAACGCTGATTTTTTTTCGTTTTCTTGTCGTTTTCTTGTCGTTTTCTAAAAATTGATTACCCTGAAGCGCATAGTTTTGAATTTGTTTTGAGGAAAAATCGAAATTTCAATAGATTTCGATTGAAAATTAACGAAAAACTTTATCCTCGCAAAATTCGAGAAAAATTTGCATATTTATTTATTTATTTCTAATTATTTCCTAGTTCTGGATGTCACAGTATCCAATTTTTACAAAAAAGACGGACAAAATCGAGTTTAAAAATTTTTTGATTTTTCCAATTTTTTTTTTGATTTTCAGCTTTTGACTTTAATAAAATTTCCATTTTTAATTTTTTTTTTTCAATTTTTATTTTTCCAAGGATAACGGCCTTCAAGTGCTTAGCAAATAAAGAGAATTTTTTTATTTTTTCTTTTTCTGAATACTTTTCCCAACTTTTCACCATATCCCCTTTTCGCCAATCGTCGAAAAAAATCGAAAATTTTATTTCTTAAAATTTTTCAATTTTCTTTTAAAAATCATTTTACATGACTTCCAGATCGCTCGAATTTTTCTTTTTTTTTCTTTTAAATCGCTAATTTCGCCTTTATAAACGAGTGATTGCTGGTGGTGAAATGAGAATGGGCAAAAAACTAAATGATACACACATGATTTGGCTCCGTTTTTCAGCTTTTCCGCTTTCCTGGAGCGCACTTTAGTTGGGTGTAACATGCTGAGAAAAAGAGGCGGGAAAATGAAAAACTTGAAAAGTCGATCGCTCACCACCACAAGACAAGTGCTCTTTTTTTTTGATTTAAAAAGTTTTGATTGAAGATTTTATCGATCTGGAGGGCACGTTAGTGAATGGAAAACGGAAAAAAATAAAAATAGCGATCTGAAAAATTTTCGAAATTTTTGACTTTTTTCGATTTCCTCCGATTTTCTCAAAATTTTAAAGTTCTCAAAATTTGTCTCCAAGCTCAGCAATGCGTGTCCTGACATCCAGAATGATCATTGAAGTTAAAAAAAAATAATAGCTATACTACCAGTTAGCTGAATATTTTCAGCCCAAAAGCTTTCGTAAAGGTGCAAATGCTCAAGCCTCTCGGATTTCTCATTTCTTTTCCTCAAAATCCCTCGTGCCATCCAGATCCCCGTTTGCATTTTTCTGATTTCGTTTTTCTCAACTCTGAGCAACTCCGAGCAGCCATTCTTACTAATTGGTCCGTTTCCCAAAAATATGAAAGCTTTTCAATCTCCGGCCTCTTCAAATCATAGCATGACATCCAGGATTCACGTTTTCATTTCTCTTTTACAGCTTTTAAGTTTATTTCACAGTTTTTCATGGAGCTACTCAATTCCCAAGTTCAACCAGTTCAATTTTCCATTTTCTTTGATCTAACCTATTCAAATTTGTATAGTGACATCCAGATTTTGCAAAAATGTTGGAAATGACATCTAGTTCGGTTCAGGTTCGCCGTTTTTCTATTAGAATTTCTTAGGAAATCGAGCGAGAATCAATGAACTTAATTGGCGATGACGTTTGCCGAGTTTCCCTTGCCTTTCGCCCGGTTTTGCCAGTTTTTTTGCAAAGCCTTTTATTTGTGTGAAAATCGCGTTGTTATGCGCTTCATAATTGCTCGAAATAGAAAAAACTAGTTGAAAGGCGGCTAGTGGAAAAGTGCGAATGGAGCCTTTCGTACTTTTACTCTATTTACATTATTTGTTGAGAATTTGCATTTAATGTTATACAGTGACATCCAGAATTAGCATTAGCATTGATTCTAAACCCCGCCCCTTAACGTAAAGAGAAATTTGCTGTAGTGAAATTTTTTAGATATTCAACTTTTCAAATTTATAATCGTTTGCCAATTTTTTGTTATTAACCGCTTTTGTGCGTTCCAGATCAGCCAAATTCATGATTTTTTAATGGAAAAATCAACTAAATCACGAAAATTCAAGCCGTCAACCCAACGGAGCCTTTCGTACTTTTTCTTCATTTACCATATTTGTTGAAATTTTGCATTGAAAGTTATGTAGTGACATCCAGAATTAACATTAGCATTTATTCTAAACCCCGCCCACTAACGTAAAGAGAAATTTGCCGTAGTGAAATTTTTCAGATTTCAACTTTTCAAATTTACAATCTTTTGCGAATTTTTTGTTTTTGATAGCTTTTGTGCATTCCAGATCAGCCAATTTCATAATTTTTTAATGGAAAAATTGTCTAAATCACGAAAATTCAAGCCGTCAATCGATTCATTGCTTTCTTTCGCGCTCTTTTCGCTCTTTCCGTTCGCCCCTTTTGCCGTTTCTCGATTTGATCGATTCGTTTGAATTGGAATCCATCCCATTTCTCGTTTTTCTTTATTTCTTTATCTCTTTCCTTTTCGCGCGACTCCTTTCCGACCACCCACCGGCTAACCACACCCTGAAAAACCGTCTACTCTCATTCTCATTTACAGTCATCACTTTTCCCCACCCAACATTCGAAATGCTATCCAGGATTAGCGAATATTTAAGAAATTTTGTTTTTGGACAACTCCAGAGCATTTTATCCCGCCATTCTTATTTATTTGATAAGGATTTTTCCAAAAAATCACTCTGACTCATTTTCAGAGATTTTTTTTAGCGCTCCTGACGAATCATTTCCAAAAACTCTTTCCCAATCTTCGCAAATGCATTTTATGATTTGTCAAGTATGCCTTTTTTCCCTTTCTATAGCCCTTGTTCGGGTCAAGTAAATAACGAAAAAGAAAAAAAAAGCGCCGAATTCAACTTTTGACGAATTCATTCATCCAGATGACCTCCAGGATTGTGTTTCCTCATCGTTTTGAAACACATTTTTCAATAGATATTCAAGATACTCAACCATTCTCAATTCTAATTTATGCCGGTTTTGTTTTTTGTTTTCTTAATCCAACACCGTTTCCATTCATCTTTGTGACCTCCAGGATTAAGTTTTCACATCGTTTTAAAGAACACTTTTCAATCAATTTTTAAGATACTCAGCCATTCTCAATTCTAATTTTTCTCATTTCTGCTTTTTTTGTTTTCTTCATCCAACACCGTTTTCATTCATCTTTGTGAGCTCCAGGATTAAGTTTTCACATCGTTTTGAAACACATTTTTCAATGAATTTTCAAGATACTCAACCATTCTCAATCCTAATATTTCTCATTTCTGTTTTTTGTTTTCTTAATCAAACACCGTTCCCATTCATCTTTGTGACATCCAGGATTGAGTTTCCACATCGTTTTAAAGAACACTTTTCAATCAATTTTCAAGATACTCAACCATTCTCAATTCTAATTTCTGCCGGTTCTATTTTTTTGTTTTCTTCATCCAACACCATTTCTATTCATCTCTGTGCACTCCAGAATTGACTTTTTCAAGCCTCAAAAATTTTTCGGCTATCTGCTTTTGAGGGTTTTAAGATGAACTCAAAAGTTCTCTTCGTTTTCGATAGGTTCAATGATTTTTAAGCTTGAAATTGCGGCTTTAAGGTTTTTCTTTTCACGCAAAAAAATGTGAACGCAAATTTCCCTATTGTTTACTAAATTTCAACATAAACTCCAATGAAATGTTGAGATTTTTTTGTCGAAATCATAGAGAAGCCTTCCCGAAGCCATTCCATGAAGAAACCCGAAAAAGATAACGAATTTCACCATCTCGCTGACGAAGCTGGAGCGCACACAAGAATTTCACGCAATTTTCCAGACCATATTTTCCATATTTCGCTATTTGAATAAACTGGGTTACTGTAGCTGGGACACGGTTTAGCAAAGAGTCAAGAAGTCGAGATTTTCTTGCGATAGCTTTTTAGAAAAGCCTTGTGCGTGCCATAATGTCGAATGCCGGTGACAGAAATTTAACAATTGAGGCCAGAGTGGCTGTATTTGCTTGGCCCGGTTGACAGTGCTCGGCATTGAATCAGTCAAGCGACTAAAGCTATTTGTCGAATTTTTTAGCCGAATTTCCATTTATTTCTCTCTTGTGCCTTCCAGATTTCCCATTTTTAAACTTTTTTTTCCACAAAACCCATATCTAAGCAAGAATTTTCGATCAAATTCATTTCCCCGATCCGATTTTGATTTTTTCTCATTTTTTTGCTCGAATTCAACTTTTGACGAATTCATTCATCTTTGTGACCTCCAGGATTAAGTTTCTCTATCGTTTTAGGCCACATTTTTCAATGAATTTTCAAGATACTCAACCATTCTCAATCCTAATATTTCTCATTTCTGTTTTTTGTTTTCTTAATCAAACACCGTTCCCATTCATCTTTGTGACATCCAGGATTGAGTTTCCACATCGTTTTAAAGAACACTTTTCAATCAATTTTCAAGATACTCAACCATTCTCAATTCTAATTTCTGCCGGTTCTGTTTTTTTTTGTTTTCTTCATCCAAAACCGCTTCCATTCATCTTTGTGACCTCCAGGACTGAGTTTCCACTTCGTTTTAGGCCACATTTTTCAATCAATTTTCAAGATACTCAACCATTCTCAATTCTGATTTCTGCCGGTTCTGTTTTTTTGTTTTCTTAATCCAAATTTTCTCTCAAATTGTAAAGTGACTTCCAGGATCCCGATTTCCGCTCGTTTTTTTCAGCCTTTTTCAGCCTTCCGGATTTTTAAGGGCCAGAAATGCGCCCGGTTCCGGTTTCGTAGCTCATTAGGCGTTGGTGACTAGAAGAAATCCGGCCCGACAAGAAAACCCAGAAAACCCCTTCAACTGAAAAAAAAACATGGAAGATGAGAAAAAGAAGAAAAAAGAGAAAAACGAGAAAAGCAAGAGCTAGCTAGCGGAAAATTTTCTCAGCTTACCGATTTCTATTTTTAGAATTTTCTAACTAAGAAACTTAGTGCGTAGTTCTAAATTTTTTAAATGTCAGATTTGTAAAATCTAAAATTATCAGAGACTAAGGTGACATCCAGATTGGCCAAAAATGCTAAAAAATAAAATCTTGATCCTGAAAAAAGTCGATTCTTTGTGGCAGAGTCGAATTTTTACCGCCGTCACAGTTGAAACTTACTGTAGTCTATTTTTAGCTTCCCCTAAAGCTACTGTGCGCTCCAGATTGACCAAAAATATTAAAAAATAAAATCTTTCTTATGAAAAAAGTCGATTCTTTGTGGCAAAGTCGTTTCCGCGAAACCGTTACCGCCGAATCTTACTGTAGTCTATTTTTAGCTTTCCCTAAACCTACTGTGCCCTCCAGATCAAGCAATTCTCATTTCAAAATCGCTCATTTATGTTTCAGAAATTTGACCACAAGCTTGATCAGTTTCACGTCACTTAAAAACAATAAAAAAAATTTTTTGAAACATCGTCTCCCATTTCTTTTCTCTTACAAATGCATTTATTCTGCTTTACCCGAAAAATCAGCGCCATCTGATGGGTGATTACGGGAGGAAATCCCCGTTTTTTCCTTTTCCCTTCCCTTCCCTCCTCCACAAATCCAATTTTCCTCCTTTTCCTTTTTCGGCGCCAATTTTTTGCGTTGCAAGTTTCTTTTTTTAAAGATTCCCCTCGATTTTGCACGATTTCAGCGTTTTCCCTTTTGTATACAAAAATTTTAAAAAAAAAAAAAAATGCCTCCGGGTGGAGTCGAACCCGGGTCGTTCGCCTGGTACTCGTGCTAGCTCTCCACTGCGCCATCCCAGCAATATCACGATTTTAGCTGCATTTTTTCCAGCAACTCCTGTGACATCCAGGATCGATGTATCAATTTGAGATTTTCCTTCTATCTCCTTTTTTCTGACAGTTTTGTGCCCATTCTCAAAAGAAAATGTCACTTTTTCCACTTTTCTATGAAATTTTCCCAAAAAACTGCTTAAATTTGCATAATTTTCAATGAGAATTTGCTTTTTCGTGAAAGCTGCTTTAAAAGATTGCTATTTACCTTTGCTTAGTGTTTGCTATTTATGAAAACAGAGCGTCAGAGCAGATGACTAAGCAAGGGTTGATAAGGGAAATTTGTCTCTCAAAAGAACATTCAAAAATCGATTTCTTTTTGTTATTTTTGACTTTCGTGCCTTCCAGATTGAGGATTTCTTTCATTTTAATAGCCTTTTTTTAAAAAATTTTAATAGCTTTGCTTTTAGAGACTCGAAAATGGAAGCCGACGAGGCGTACCCACTCCACAAAGCCGCCTTTTTTAACGACACCACCAAAATCTCGTGTTTGATTAAGAAAGGTATGGGTGTGGGCTTGGGAAAATTGGCTTTGAGCAACGATTTCGATTTACAGGAATGGATTTGTATGAGCAGGATATGCATGGGAACACCGCGTTGCACATTGCGACAATGCTGGGGCATCGAGGTTCGAAATTTGTTGAAAATTGAGAAACTGCTTTATATGGAAGCTGATCTGCCTTCCAGATCAGCTAAATCTTAAATATCTTGGCGATTCGCTCATTGTAAGGACTTCAAATCCAGAAGTGATCACTCAGCCAATAGTGATTGTTTTGTTTGTTGAAAATCGACAAACTGCTTTATCAGAAAGCTGAGCTGCCTTCCAGATCAGCTAAACCTTAAATATCTCGGCCATCTGTCCATTGCAAGGACTTCAAATCCAAAAGTGATCACTCACCCAATAGTGATTTCTCTGTTTGTTGAAAATCAGCAAACTGCTTTGCCAAAAAGCTGACCTGCCTTCCAGATCAGCTAAATCTTAAATATCTTGGCGATTCGCACATTGTAAGGACTTCAAATCCAGAAGTGATCGCTCAGCCAATAGCGATTGCTCTGTTTGTTGAAAATCGACAAACTGCTTTATCTGGAAGCTGAGCTGCCTTCCAGATCAGCTAAATCTTTTAATCAATCAAATCAAATGAGCTAAACCAAAGCGAAATCCTCGATCTGTTCATTGCAATGGTCTCAAATTCAGAAGTGATCGCTCTCCTACTCGCCTACAACGCGCCAGTGAAGCTGAAAAATGGAGATGGATGGAATTGTGTGATGGAAGCTGTCAGCTATGGAGATCGACAAATCAGTGAGTCTTTTCGTGCGTTTGTGGAAACCCATCAAAAATTGCGTTTTCTCATTGAAATCAGTCTCAAAAAGAGTTCACTCGCTTTTCTGGCATTTCTTTCAAACTTTGAGCTCTCAAATTTTTGCTCAATTCCAAGCTGGATGTCACACTGTTAAATGAGCTTAAAATATTTCAGTTACCGAAATGTTGCGTAAGCTGAAATCCCAACAACGCGAAACTCTTCAATCCCGAAAACCGCATATCGCGAAAGTGCTCAGGGATATCGGCGATTTCTACCTCGAATTGAAATGGGATTTCCATTCGTGGAGTGAGTTATTTCGGTTTTTTCGAGGTTTTTTCGCTTAAAAACAAACAAAATCGCCTAGTAAGCGGCGAGAAATGAGACCAAGGGTTTTCCCGGCCCTACAAAAGTTCTATCAAAATTTTAACCCATTTTTCAGCGATCCTGGAAAGCACATAGAATAAAGGAGTAGTCAGAAATTCAAAAAATCGCTTAAATAATTACTGTGACTTTCACTGATTTGAGAATGGACGTTTTTAGCGCTCCAAAAAGCAGCAAGCAGATTGTTTTCAAAATTTTTGTTGATCCTGGAGTGCAACTAAGATGTTGCGTGTGAAAAATCTGGCTATAAGTCTTTTTGAAAAATAAAAATTTCAGTACCACTCCTCTCACGAATGCTTCCCTCCGATGTGTGCAAGATTCACAAGAGAGGCACGAAATTGAGAATGGACACGACGCTGGTGGATTTTAATGAGAAGTGCGTTCCAGATTGGCTAGAAAAGTCTTTAAAAATTTCCTATATAGTCTACAAATGGAAATAAGGGTACGGTAGTCAACCAGCAATCCAATCTTAAAAACTAAGGTTTAAAAGCATTTAAACGTTAAAATATAGTATCGTGCGTTCCAGCTTGATTAGAAAAGTCTTTAAAACTTTCCTATATAGTCTACAAATGGAAATAAGGGTACAGTAGTCAACCAACAATCCAATCTAAAAAAACGATGGTTTAGAAGCGTTTAAACGTTAAAATGTAGTATAGTGCGTTCCAGATTGACTAGAAAGGCATCCAAAAATTTCCTATATAGTCTACAAATCGAAATAAGAGTACGGTAATCAACCAACAATCCAATCTAGAGAAAACGATAGTTTAAAAGCATTTAAATACTAAAATATAGTATAGTGCGTTCCAGATTGGCTAGAAACCCATCCAAAAATTTCCTATATAGTCTACAAATCGAACTAAGAGTACGGTAGTCAACCAATCTAGAAAAACGATGGCTTAAAAGTATTTAAACACTAAAATATAACACAGTGCGTTCCAGTTTCGTTAAATAACCATTTAAAGCCACTTCTGCATTGATGATGCTCTTTTTTTAAGGTCCTGGGAACGCGGCGACATCACCTTTCTCTTCGACGCTGAGGCACCCGACCCCCAACATCAACTCGTCGTTTTGGACAATAAATTGAAGGTAGATTTGAAAACGAAATGCAACAAAGGCTTATCTGGAAGGCACACTGACAATCAGATTGCATTGTTGCAATCAGATTAAACTATGAAAAGTTTCGAAACGTCAGCTTTATAGCTGCAACAATTAAGCTCCTTTTTGAAGGGCTCGATTTGAAAACTGTTTTGATTTCGGCTGATCTGGAAGGCACCTTAAAAGTTGGTGCAATCAGATTAGACAATGGACAGACTGGGCATTAGCTCTATAGCTACCGACCCTTCTCAACACTCCAGCTCCTTTTTAAAGCGCCCGATTTTAAAACTATTTCGATTTCAGTTGATCTGGAAGGCACACTGAAATTTGGTGCAATCAGATTAGACGATGTTTGGGAGGGGACAGTTTCGGGGTGTCAGCTTTATAGCTGAGTATCTAGCTTCTTTTAGAAGAGCCAGATTTTAAAAATATTTCGGTTCCAGCTTATTTGGAAGGCACACTAAAAGTTGTTGTAATCAGATTAGACGATGGTTGGGAGGAGACAGTTTTGGTTGTCAACTTTATAGCTGAGAACCTAGCTTCTTTTTGAGGGGTCCGATTTTAAAGCTACTTCGATTTCCGTTGATCTGGAAGGCACCCTGAAATTTGGTGTAATCAGATTAGAAGATGGTTGGGAGGAGACAGTTTTGGTTTTCAGCTTTATAGCTGAGTATCTAGCTCCCTTTTGAAGCACCCGATTTTAAAGCTACTTCGATTTCCGTTGATCTGGAAGGCACCCTGAAATTTGGTGTAATCAGATTAGACGATGGTTGATACGGGACAGTTTTGGTTTTCAGCTTTATAGCTGAGAACCTAGCTTCCTTTTGAAGCACCCGATTTTAAAACTATTTCGGTTCCAGCTTATTTGGAAGGCACACTAACACTTGTTGTAATCAGATTTTGGATTTATCGAAATTCAATTTTATTCAGTTACGATATCTTTTTCTGAAAGGCACCTTTTAGAAAAGGTGCTTCTTAAGCTAAGCTGCTAAAAGCTGTACACTACTACAGTAACCCACCAGTTTTCAGGTCTATCAACGCGTTCGGCACGAGGAGTCCGAGTGCGAGGTCGACGAGGAGGTGGACGTGTTAATGTCTTCGGATATCGTTTCGGCATCGGTAATTTGCAAAAACAATAGCAACAAATATAGAATTTCGATTTCTCTATGCAAATTGGATGTCACACTATTCAAAATTCTTTGCAGATGTCGACAAAACCGATCACTTTCGTGCAAGCGTTGAGTGGTTGGGTCTTCAGGCACAATCGCGAGGTTTGAGGGGTTTTTGGGATGAATTTCAAAGTTTTTTGATAGCTATGGATGTCACATAAGCTATTAAAAGCTTTAAAAACGTTGTGTTTCCAAGAAAAAAAATTTCAGGAACAAATCGGCGACTATCGCACGAATTTTCACGTTGTCGAGGGAATGGTGTTAGTGACGAGGAAAAGGTTGATAAGAAACTCATTTCAAGACTTCAAAATACTCAAAACTTGTTCAGAAACAGCTCAGAAACAGCTCCCGAACAAGCCCCGATCATTCCCAGACTTTAAATCACCTCAAAACCCATAGATTAAGGACTGCGGCTAAATCTTGGCTTACAAGCGTTTTTAAAGAAATCCGGTAAAAAAATAGCACTTTATGGAAGTCACACAGAATATTGAAAGCTTAAAATACTAAAATTTCCAAAAATTATTTTTCAGTTTTTCCCATTATCAAAAATTAGTTCCCGCAAAAAAAATTCCAGCCAACCGGATTCGAACCAGTGACCTAAGGATAGCTGCTCGCTCTACAGTCCTCCGCTCTACCAACTGAGCTATGGCTGGATGGGGAAAGGGAGGGGGAAATCGGATTTGAATGGGGAATTCAGAGGGAGGCATGGGGACTAGTTTTTTAAAATGGACAAAGAGCTCTGCAAACGTCAAGAAATCAAAGTGTGACCTCCAGATCGCGCGGAAATTTTAGAAAGAAGTGAACAGGAAGAACAGGAAGGCCAAAAGATCGTTGAATCAGTTACTCAACCCGAGACTTTTCCACTAGATATTCGAAAATAAATTCCTTGAAAAATAGAAACTGTGCGCTCCAGATCGCGAGAAATTTTGAAAACCGAGGAAAAAAAGGAAAGTCTCGGCGAGGAAAGCAAGCGAAACGAGTTCACTCGATTTCCCTCGTTTCTACACCTAAAATCCTTGATTTCAACTTTAAAAGGCAGCGATCTGGAATGCATTTCGAAAATCAAACACAATTTGGGAAAGAAAAAAACGAAAATGAAATGAAGTTATTCAAGATTCGTCGACAATGTCCAAAAAAACTCCAGCCAACCGGATTCGAACCAGTGACCTAAGGATAGCTGCTCGCTCTACAGTCCTCCGCTCTACCAACTGAGCTATGGCTGGGCGAAAGGGGGCCGGATGGGAAAGGGATTTAAATGCAGAGGATGGGGACTAGTTTTCTATGTTGGACAAGAGGTTCTGGAAATGTCAAAAACTGAAAGTGTGACCTCCAGATCCAAAGAAAACTTTGAAATTTTTGGAAAAAATTCGAATCTAGTCGATAAAATGGCGAGAAATCTTTAATTTGGTGTTTCCAGACGTGAACATCTAACAATCGATGATATCAAGAAGAATAAATCGTTTATGCAGAGTTTAGCCACCGGGAATGCGGTTGCTGATGAGGATTTTAAGGTAAAAAAAGATAAAAAAAAGAGAGATTTTCTCATGAATGAATCTTTTCCAGAGTTTACAATATCGAAAATCTTTGCCACCGCCTGGCAGAGCGCCGACAACATGGGAAGAGTATTCAGGTGAGTTTCATTGTAGTAAATGTCTTTATTAATCATTGTAGTAAATGATTAATAAAGACAATAACATCATTACGGTATTTACGGTATAGAAAGCTAGCTATTGGGTTGGGGAGAATGAGTCGGCGCCAAACTTTAAAGGGACTTTTTGCACACATAAAGCCTTCTTTAAACATACGTTTGGTTTCATCAAAAGGATCCACTATTTCTCTACAAAATGACTTTTGAGAGATTGCACAAAGCTTTTCTTTCGTGGAGTTTATGGACTCCCAAACACAGCTAGTCAAAATGGCAAAGAGCGCGACTCATCATTTGAACAGTTTCTTTCACATAAACCTTCTTTGGTGTTTATATAAAAAAGATAGAGCACATTCAATTACTTAAGTTGCCAAATTTGCAGGAAGATCCCACCAATGGTTTTTTCTCGATCACAGTTTGTAGTTTTTGTGAAAAAATGGCTTTTTCTTGAGCGGAGGCGCTGTTTGAATTTTCTTTTAAATGTGATTTTGTAGAGAATTAGTTAACCATTCTACTCATATCAAACGCATATTATTTGACGAAGTCGAATTGAAGTTTTAGGCATTTTTTTGATTTTCGGCGCCGACTCATTCTCCCCAACCCAATAGATTAGGGCGCGGCTCCAGGCTTAGCTCCGCCTCTTTGTCTAGATTAAAAGTTAACCATGGATGTTGCAGGCGCGGCTCCAGGCTTAGCTCCGCCTCTTGGTCGACCACAAGTCACAAAATTCAATCAGAAACAATTCAAGGCACTCATCGGAATGGTTTGTTTCTTTAAGAGCTTAAAAATTAAGTTAAAAAACATTTTCAGAGCGAGGATTTTCCATTGGACACTGAGATTTTGCTTGACGTACTCGAGATTTTGGCTCCATTCAAGCACATCGACAAATTGAGGAGATTTTGCGAGGCACGACTGCCGCCTGGGTTTCCCGTCAGAGTTGGTGCGTGTCAGTGAAGGGAAATCAAAGCGCTAGCAGCTTATTAGCATTAGCAGCAGAAAGCTTACGGTAGTCGATCCACCCAATTGCCAGGTGCATTTAAAATTGTACTTTTTCTCCTTTCTAAAACGTTTAAAATACGTTGTGACATCCAGAATTGCCAAAAAGACATTTGAAAAGAATTATTTAAATGCTAATTTGCATAAAAGGCTACGGTAAACGATCCAACTTGTAGTCTGAATTTAAAAGCCGATTTCTGCTATTAGAAATCCAATAATTATCCACTGTGACATCCAGAATTATCAACTAACAGTGAAGAGTCCGTTCTTTACCGTAGCCAAGTAGAGATTTGAACCCAATCCAGAAGCTACCGTAATCCTTTGGAGTACGGTAGCTTCTGGGAGTTTCTGCTATTAGAAATTCAACAATTATCCACTGTGACATCCAAAAATATGAAATAAAATTTCAGAAATCCCCCTTCTACCCACGATTTCCGCCAAAGTCACCTTCCAAAAATTCGCGTTTTGCGAGGAGATTTCTGAGAAACTCTACCGTATCCCCGCGTCGTATCGAGAGGATAACACCCGTTTCCCCGATCTCTAAAGCATACTGTCATTTAATTGTGATTTATCAACGACTTTTCTAAATTTCGCGTTCGGGTATGTTCTTTTTGTGTTTTTAATGTCAAATTTTTTCCTTTTTTAGCCCTGTTCTCTGAAAAAAATTTCGATTTTTGCTCAAATTTTCAAGAAAAAAATCAAAAGCAAATAAATGTTTAAATGAAAGCTTTTTAAGCTTTTCAAATCCTCTTGTGCATTCCAGATCGACAAAAAATTAGGCATATTTGCGCCTAGTTATCGCTAGATGAGGTGACGATGATGGTGGTAAATATTAGCATTGAGAATGGTTGAGTATCTTGAAAATTGATTGAAAAGTGTGGCCTAAAACGATGAGGGAAGTCAATCCTGGAGGTCACAAAGATGAATGGAAACGGTGTTGGATTAAGAAAACAAAAAACAGAAATGAGAAAAATTAGAATTGAGAATGGTTGAGTATCTTGAAAATTGATTGAAAAGTGTGGCCTAAAACGATGAGGGAAGTCAATCCTGGAGGTCACGAAGATGAATGGAAACGGTGTTGGATTAAGAAAACAAAAAAACAGAACCGGCAGAAATTCGAATTGAGAATGGTTGAGTATCTTGAAAGTCGATTGAAAAATGTGTTTCAAAACGATAGAGAAACTCAATCCTGGAGCTCACAGAAATGAATGAAAGCTGATTTTTAGCGAATGCTTCAACGTTTCACGGAATTCTTTTTATTAAATACACTCATTTCTATAAAAAAATCACAATAGAATTAATAAAAAAGGTTGATTTGAAAATTTTTGCATTTATTTTTCATTTGCATTTAATTTGAGCGCTTTCCTTCTCAAATATGAGCCTTTTCAGCAGCCTAAAATTATCAAAAAGTTTAAATGCTAATATATCTTGTTTAAGTAAATAATTCTTTTATCCTGTGCTCCAGCTCGAGCTTTACTCCACTTTTCAACTCACCGCAGCTCCTCCATGCGCGATGACAGCCTTGCGAAGTTTTTGCCCAAAATCGGGATGGACCTAAATTTTGAAATCTCGTTTTTTTTCTTTATCCAATATTTTCCGTGCACTCCAGATCAGCCAAAAAAGTCTCTTAATCGATTTTTACCTGTTGACAAACGTTGAGGAAGCGGTCGATAATGTACGAGTGGCAGCCAGACAAAGCACCAGCGAAATTCTCGACCATTCGCTCGCGGGCGCCCTCGTCCAAAACTTTTGTCCAGAATTCTCTTGGTTGCTCGAAATTGTTGGCATTTCCATCATCATATCGTGTCACATCTCCAGTCAATTTGTGCACATGTTCTTTAGCGTGTCCTCCAACGAGTTCAGTTGGTCCATTGAACGAATTTGGATGATAGTTTGGAGCCTCAGCTGAAAGGTTGACATTCAATCTGAGCCTGAGCCTGAGCCTAAGCCTAACGGTAACTGGATGAGATCCAGAAAATGGGGGTTCAGCCCCAACCCAAATAGACTTAGTGCGAGGCGCTAGCCACTAGCCTTCGCACTAAACCTAAGCCTAAACCTAAGCCTAAACCTAAGCCTAAGCCTAAGCCTAAGTCTGAGCCTGAGCCTGAACCTGATTTCCCCCGACTATCATTTTGGTCTCAAAAGATAGCTGAATTCAAGGGCTATCGATTGACAAGTAAACAAAAACTGTAGCATAAACCAGTGCAGAGAACGAGACGTTTAAAGTTAGACTACGCCACTGTACACCCGTCATTAGTCGTTGGCGTTCTATTAGAGCCACCGTAAGCTTGTACAAATTGCTCCACAAGTTACCGTAGCCTTGTAGGTCTCGTAGATTACGGTAGGTCCCTTACCGTAACCCTAAAAAGCCTAAAATCAGCTACCGTAATCCTTACAGCACGATAAGGTAAATTACAGATTACGGTATATTCTAAAACGCTTAAAATACGTCGTGACATCCAGAATTGCCAAAAAGACATTTGCAAAGAATTATTTAAATGCTAATTTGTATAAAAGGCTACGGTAAACGATCCAACTTCTAGTCTGAATTTAAAATCCGATTTCTGCTAATAGAAATTCAACAATTATCCACTGTGACATCCAAAATTATCAACTAACAGTGAAGAGTCCGTTCTTTACTGTAGCCAAGTCGAGATTTGAACCCAATCCAGAAGCTACCGTAATCCTTTGGAGTACGGTAGCTTCTGGGAGTGGTTGACCGTTCAAGGCCGTTTTCCCTCACCCTGTGAATCATAGGTGGCCGCTCCGTCGCGTTGATAGTTGTGTGCGCGGGCACGGAACGGGCAATTGATCGGCAATTGTTGATAGTTTGCGCCCAAACGATGGAAATGCGTGTCAGTGTAGGAGAAGATGCGACCCTAAAGAAATTAGAGAAATGAGAGAAATTAGAGAATTTCTTAGAGATTAACTAGTCTTTTTTAGTCTTTACTCTTTTGTAGAAACCATCCTGGAAGTCATGGAAATTTTTTGATTAATGCAAATTTTCAAATTTTTAAGTCATGAAGAGGCAAATTTTAGAACGGGTGGTTACTGTAGAAATCCCATATCTACATATGCAATTTTTTTAATTACCTCTACAAATTGGATGTCACACTTGGGTTTAGACCTATTTTTAAGGCTAGAAAGCAAAAATATTTTAGACCAAGATAGGGAAAATTGCGACGAATGGGTTACTGTAGAAATCACATAGCTACATGTTCAAAACCCGATTCAAATATGCAAATTGGATGTCACCCTTGAGTTTGAGTCTATTTTTAAGGCACCGCACCCACCTGGAGCATTCGATCCGGCGAGAACTCGATGCCCGGCACGACATGCGCTGGGCAGAAAGCTGATTGCTCCACCTAAAGCGATTTGAGATTCTGATTTGAGATTTCCTCGTCCTGGAAAGCACGGGAGGCAATTTTCAAAACTTTTCCCCACCTCGGCAAAGTAGTTTTTCGGATTTCGGTTCAACACCAGTTTCCCCACGGGAATCAAGGGGAATTGCTTGTGCGGCCAGACCTGAATGAAAAATTGAATTGCAATACGGGTTAATCACAATGCTTAAGCTAAATTGAGAAGCTTTTCACCTTTGTGACGTCGAACGGGTTGAACTCGTGTTGCTCGGCCTGTTGCAAGGTCATCACCTGAAATCAAATGTTGTTGAGCGGGAAATTGACCCTGTATTACGGTACTGTGACATCCAGAATAAGCAAAAATGTGTACAGTAACCCTTCGTTCCTAGCCTATTACGCCAGGATACGGTAGATCTCATTCCGGGTATACGGTAGGTTGTACGGCTTTTAAAAACAACCACTTCTACGAAAGGATTACGGTACGGTGACATCCAGAATAAGCAAAAATGTGTACAGTACCCTCCTCCTCCTCACCTGAATGAACAAATTCCATTGCGGGAAATCGCCCTTCTCGATGGCGTTGAAGAGATCCCGAATCGAGTAGTCCGGATCTTCAGCTGACAAACGGCCAGCCTTCTCCGAGGTCAAGTTCTTGATGCCTTGAGCAGTCTAGAAAGCCTCGGATAAAGTCCAAAAAAAAAAGCTTTAGTCTACCTTGAAGTGGAATTTACAGTAAACGGCCTCGTTCTCCTTGTTGACGAGTTTGAAGGTGTGCGAGCTGGAAATGAAAAGGAAAATCGGATTCACTGCTTCCATTCGCTTTTCTGGATCTCACAACAAGTGCAACACCTGTCATCAATGGGTCACAGCTTAATGATTCTCAAGCACAATATGTGCTCGACAAGTCGCAGACGAGTTTCACCGATTTTATTTGAAAATTTTGAAGTTGAAGACCCCCAGAATGAATTTAGAACAGGTATCTGGCATGCACATAAGAGAATGAACTCATCCACTCACCCATATCCATTCATGAACCGATATCCATCAGGAGTTCCTCTATCCGAGAACAAGAACATCACTTGGTGAATAGCTTCCGCACGATGGCCCCAGAAATCGAACATTGCATTTGGATCCTGGAATGGGATTGAATACAGCAATAGATACAGCTCTAGATCTTTCTCGTTTTCTAAAAGTCACTCTTTCTGTCAGGGGTTACGGTAGCATTTAGACAATGAATAGAATTCGATCTTTTCACATCTTTTGCTATCCAGAATTCGCTGTGCGCTCGAGGATCCCCTAATCCCGCATTAGATTCAACATTTGTCACTCTCCTTAAGCCTATATTCTACAGTATTGCTACAGTAATTTTTATGCCTTAAATAGAATTCGATCTTTCCATCTAATTTGCTATCCAGGATGAGCTGTGCGCTCCAGGATCCCCTAATCCCGCATTAGATTCGGCATTTGTCACTCTCCTTAAGCCTATATTCTACAGTATTACTACAGTCATTTTTATGCCTTAAATCGAATTCGATCTTTTCACATATTTTGTGATCCAGAATTCGCTGTGCGCTCCAGGATTCACTAATTCACAAAAATTTCACAAATTTCCCCACCTTCAAATGCGTTTGCGGATTACGCTTTTGCGTGTGAATGAACGAGGGGAAAAAGATGGGATCACGAATGAAGAAGATCGGTGTGTTGTTGCCGACGAGATCCCAATTTCCCTCTTGCGTGTAGAATTTGAGGGCAAAACCGCGAGGATCACGAGCCGTGTCAGCCGAACCGGATTCACCACCTGAAATGTTGGCGAGTTACATACATAAAAAAAAAAACAAAGTATGGAGAAAGTGTGCATTCTAGGCATTTTTTTCACCACTTAAACCCCAGGAATGCCTTCCAGAAATTGAAACAAAACCATTTGAAAACCCAATTTTCATGTGTAATCGTCGATTTTTCCTTTTTTTTTTTTTTTTTTTGTGATTTCCCTATTTTTTATTTTATTTAGATCGAATTATCACGAAGCTTTTCATTTTTTTCAAAAAAATTCTACCCTTTATGCTTTATAAAACGATTTTTAAACCCTTTAAACCCTTAATTCAATTGCAAAAAAAAAAATTCTCTAAAATCAGCACTTTCTGAGGAGATTTTCTTCAAAAATTCTCTTGATTTTGCTTTTTTTTTTCTGTTCTCAAAATGATAAGAGCCTTTTTGCTGGATTGTAAAAACATAAAAGCGAAAGTTTTTCCTTTTCGGGAACGCACGAGAGATTCTGAATCGGAAATTTCACTTAAAAACACCCAGCAGAAGCTGGGCATAAAAACTTTTCGACTTCAATCGATTTAGAGAACTTTCTAGATTCAATTCTGGGGTTTTAATCTCAAATTCTTGAATCCTGGAATGCACTAGGAATCCAGGAAGAGTCAAGGAATCAAGGAGTCAAGGAATCAAGGAGTCAAAGAGTCAAGAACTCACCAACAGTCGAGAATCGCAAGAAGCACGGCGTCTGTTTACCGACTTTCGAGAAAATCTCGGCTCGCGTGTACTTGGAGATGTCGTGCGTGATTTCCAGATAGCCATGAGCTCCTGAAAGTAAACGGCATTAGACAAACGGCGTTAGTAAACGTCATTAGAAAACGGCTTTAGTAAACGACTTTAGTAAACGTCATTAGTAAACGGCCTTAGTAAACGGCATTAGTAATTAGCAAACTTCTCATTAGCAAACGTCATCCTGCTAAGGATCCTAGCGTTTCTAATTCTTGCTTCTAATTCTTGCTTCTAATTCTTACTTCTAATTCTTACTTCTAATTCTTGCTTCTAATTCTTACTTCTAATTCTTACTTCTAATTCTTACTTCTAATTCTTGCTTCTAATTCTTACTTCTAATTCTTACTTCTAATTCTTACTTCTAATTCTTACTTCTTCTAATTCTAATTCTTATTTTAGCCTTCGATCTTAGTCTTCAAAATTTTTCATGAAACAAACCGGCTCCTTTCGCATGCACAACTCGTTCAGGGATACGCTCTCGATCGAAGTGTTGCATCTCGTTCATGTAGACGACATCCTAGAAATGTTTTCGTTTATAATTTTAGCCCAGTTGTTTCTCTAGCTTTTTTTCTAGCTATTTTAAATCTGATCTAAGAGTCTCTAACTAGGATTAGCGTCTTAAAATCCGGTATTTCTGTTTAATCATTAGTCAATAACGTCTAGAGAACAGTACGAACAGTACAGAACAGTACAAAACAGTACAAACAGTACAGAACAGTACAAATAACAGTGTACTCCAGTAACTAAAAGCTTTTTCCCACTGGAATAGAAGAACAAAAGATTAAACCATTGTTTATCAACGGTCAAACAGATCCAGCTCTATCCTCGTCATGTTTGACATATTGCAAAGTCCATAGTACGCTACAATACCATAGAACTAGAGCTACAGTACACAAAATGCAACAAAAGTCAGTTTTAAAACCGTCATCTCACCTGCATGAGCATCGGTCCCCTTGGTCCAACTGTCAACACCGCTTTCTTCTCGTCAATCGGCGCACCGGTGGACGTGGTGAGGGTGTGTGGCTTCTAAATAAATAAAAAAAATGAAATAAACAAGATTCTATAAAGCTAATAACAATCTAATTTGATAGATCTGATAGATCTAGCTCAACAGTACTCTTATTTGTCAAAAACTGACCGGCGTATTCGCTTTGCATGTCTCGAGTTGCTTGTCGCTCGCTTCTTTAGGCATTTCGGTTGATTTCACTGAAAAATCGAAAAAATTATCGAATTCTATTCAAATTGGAGCACATTTAATCAATAGAAAAAGAAGAAAAAGGCTTAGGAAAGGAAAAATGCTAAGCTAAGAAAGCTAATAAAGATAAGCTTCAATGCTAAGCTAAGAAAACTAAGCTAATAAAGATAAGCTAAGAAAGCTAAGCTAAGAGAGCTAAGCTAAGAGAGCAAAGCTAAGAGAGCATGGCTAAGAAAGATAAGCTAAGAGAGCTAAGCTAAGAAAGATAAGCTAAGAAAGCTAAGCTAAGAAAGCTAAGCTAATAAAGATAAGCTAAGAAATTTGAAGTTTTCATAAATTCTCCCAAATCGTGATCAAAATGCTGGATCACAAAAGGGTTATTGGGCACATTGAAGTCAGGGTCAGCGTTCCCTCCCCACAAGCGCAGCCTTAGGGTCAATATTTGAATTGATCGTGAAAAGCGGCTTTTCTTTCACCTCTTTTAGCTGATCACTTTACCATTTAGCTGATCACTTTACCATTTAGCTGAGCCGCGGTCAAGTGATACCCAGCATCGATAAAACTAGTGGAAATCTGAGAAAATTCTATGGGGAAAATCTTAAAACGCCACTGAAACGAGTTGACTTCAAAATTTCTCGATATTTCAAGGTAAATGCCTAAAAAGCGATAATTCTAGCGTAATCCTGGAGCTCATGGATTGTAAAAAAGAGTTTTTTAAGTCAAAAAAGTTTACGCAAAAAAAATTTTTCTTTCTTAAAATTGCGAGAAATTTGGGAAATTTCAGAGTGAAAATCGTCAAAATAAAAACGGGTTTTTTGGTCGAAATTGCATTTTTTTTTACAATTCTAACTCCAATAAATGATATAAAATTCGATTTTCTCTAAAGAAAACGACTCAAAAATTGATGCGGAAGAATGGGGAAAAAAGAAAGCAAATAAACAAACATTGCGCACTTAATTTCCGCGATCGAAAAGAAAAGAACGCATTTTTGAAATGTTTTCCAATCCTACAGAATCCTCGATGGACTTCCATCTATACGATGGAAGTCACTTATATTTTTAACCTTCTTTTTCTAATGAGTAAAGCTTTACTTCAGTCAGGTTAACTGAAATTAAATTTAAAACGTAAATCTCATCTGTAAATGACTAAAAAAGAAAGCAAATAAACAAACATTGCGCACTTAATTTCCGTCGATCGAAAAGAAAAGAACGCATTTTTGAAATGAACCTAGGATCGCATAAAATTCAAAAGAAAATTCATTCATCTAAAAAAATTTCTCGAATTGGTCAAGGAAACGAGGGTGAAAGTGCTAGAATTTTTCGCAAAGTTCTCTGATTAATCGAAGATTAGAAAAGAGAAGATTTGGGGGGGAATTGGGGAAAGGGTTTTGTGGAGAGAAAAAGACAGTAAAAGGGAAATTTGATTGTGTCTTATCATACAAACTACCGCGCAAAAGAGGGGAGGGAATTGGCTTTTTTCGGCGATGAACGACGCACAACTAAACTACACGAAAGCAAACTCTTTTTTGGGGAAACTTTAAAATTGGATCTAAAAAGGGGGTCTCGGGAAGTATGGTACGGGTTTCTTGGGACCAAATTGTTTTAAATCAAATCAATCAAATCAAATCAAATCAAATCAAATCAAATCAAATCAAATCAAATCAAATCAAAAGTCTACATTGACAAATCGGAAATAGCAAGAATTTGGTGACTTTTGAAATGAAATAGCTTAGAAACTAATCGGAATCTCATCGGGTTCGAATAAGAATATAGCTCAGAACCTCATCAGGCTCGAATAAGAACCTAATCGAAACCTCATCGGGTTCTACTAACAATATAATCGATCTTTTGCTTATCCTTGTCATCCAACTTCATTCGATTTTAGATACAAGCTCGTTTTAAAGTCGAATTGCCTGCCTGAACCAGGACTGTTTTTCTGGCTCAAACTTTCGAGGGCAGGCCAAAAAAGCATGAAGACCCTATGCAATTGATGGCTTTTCTTCGATTTACACTCGAAATCGAGTTAGATCAAGCCAGGGTATAAACCCTTCTCTTGCAACATCCCTGACACTTATATTGAACAAATTTGGCATCAAAATGTGGCTCACACTTCTGGGTTTGTGGATGATTTCTGGGTAAGTGGTTTGATCTTTAAGATTTTAAAAGCTTAGTCAGCTTTAAGGTTTAAAAGTAAAGCAAATTTCTTTCTTTAGACTATCGCAACTGAGCAATACCCCAAAGAACTTGGCCATCTCGTGCCTGAGCTTGAAGCTGCCTGAGCTTGGAAAGCTGAGCTTGAAGTTGCCTGAGCTTGAAGTTGCCTGAGCTTGAAGTTGCCTGAGCTTGAAGTTGCCTGAGCTTGAAGCTGCCTGAGCTTGGAAAGCCGAGCTTGAAGCTGCCTGAGCTTGGAAAGCCGAGCTTGAAGTTGCCTGAACTTCAAGAAGGACCGGACATTCCGATTTATGACAAGAGCAAAGTAACTTAATATAATGCCGCTTGCTTCAAGCGGCATTATATACTATATAGCATACATTATATACTATACATTATATAGCAAGCGGCATTATATACTAAAAGTTACCAAAGTTTTCCTCGAATTTCCTCAAAATCTTTCGTGGCTCTATGTAATAATCTGTAGTTCTTACAGCGTTCATTTTTTGAGAAGGAAATACTCGAAACCCGTTTATTTACGTTGTTGGCAACAAGTTTGACGCAATAGCAAAGCACAAAAATACAAGTATTGAGGGTATTTGATCGACAGTGACTTCTCATCTTTTCACAGGCCTCAACGAAGCTTTCTCTCACTGGTTTCGTATCCGAGAAGCTAAAATGGCAAGAGATTACGTTAAAATAGCTAATAAATCTAAACCTGCAAGATGTGGAGGACCTCATTGGCAACTTTATCAAGCTCTTCCTCCAAACGAGCGAGCCGGGCTTCATTGTCGATTTGTGGAAGATTTGAAGAGGCTTGTTTAGCTTTAGGATGTTTTTCATTTGACTAAAAGCTGGTAACATTTTAACTAGAAAGAGAGATACCAAAGTGTCGATAACGACGTTTCCAACTTTAATCGAGATCGATGAAGAGCTCGATACCGAGTCGTCGTCTTCTTCTTCGTCATCATTAGTCCAAAATTTCTTTTCCATCTCGACGAGTGCACGTTTCATCACTTTTGCCCAGGCTTTTTGAGTGAACTAAGATTTCAAATCAATTAAATGAAGAGGAAAAAATATATACATGATAAATCGGGAAGACAACGTGAAATTGTGCGCGGAGATGTTGTTGATCAGCTTGTTGAAGATCGTCCCGACTGAGCAACCAAATAACAGCCGTACGGCTTTTCAGGCTTTCCTGTCGCACCACTAAATAAAAAGGTTTTAGTATAAAAAGAAAGAGTTTATCTTTTTTTGTGTAATAATTCTGTTTAGAGGTTCAATCGTCTAATTCGTCTAATTCAACTCGTCTAATTCAACTCGTCTAATTAAACTCGTCTAATTAAACTCGTCTAATTAAACTCGTCTAATTAAACTCGTCTAATTAAACTCGTCTAATTCAACTCGTCTAATTAAACTCGTCTAATTAAACTCGTCTAAAGCTAATTTTGTTAAATGAAAATGCAAAAATTGCTAAGAAAAATAAGCAATATAACAAAATTAAGTGTTAACAATAAAGAAAAGAAAAAAAAACTTACTAGTAAAGTTGAAAGCTTACGTGAAGTGAAGAGCGAATCAAGATAAAGTGTTTCATCTCGATTTCTATTTATTTCACCTTTAAATGAAAATCTTACATTTTAGATGTAAATTAGCAATTTTGGTACTTGTGGGATTGGGCGGGGGGCAATACTCTTTCTTTTCCACTTTTAAAACCACTTTTTCTGGCGTAGTTTCTTGCGTAGATCACGAATTTCATAGGAAACATCTTGAAAGGAAGCTTTCAAGGTATTTTCAAGCCTTTATCCAATGAAAATAACGATCCACAAACAATTTATTGGGGAAAGAATCTAGCAAAACTAGCATGTTGAAGATCGTCCCGACTAAGCAACCATATAACAGCCGTACGGCTTTTCAGGCTTTCCTGTCGCACCACTAAACAAAAAATCTAGCAATCTAGCAAGCAAAACCCAAATGAAAGACGAGTGAACTTTTCCGCGTAGCGATTCAACAATTTTAAACATTCGTTTTTCTCTCGGGCTTCTTGTCGGGCTTCTTGTCGAGGGTTTTCATCATTTCCTAAAGATGTTTATGTTTCTTTCCTGAAAAACCCAATCCACCTTGACTTCTGAGTTAAATTTGCGCAGATGTGTCAAGTACTCCTCTGGACTGGCATCAAAGTCCGTATTCAGCTTCCTAAAACTAGCTTTAGACAATTAAATCAAAGACAAACACCTTGACGAAGCCCTTGACGACAAACACCGACAAGACACAGACAAACACAAACACAGATAAATGCCTTGTGCTTTCCTTGGAAATCGGCAAAAGTTGATACATCCATTAGTCTTTTCTTAAGATCAATTTCTAAAATAAAACTATATTTCCGGTTTTAATTTAACAAAATTTACCATTTCAAAAGAGTCGATAACACTTCGAATTTCCTAATGCAACGCGGGAAACAAATCCTTGTCAATCTTGATCACTTTTGTCGATTTGGTCCGAAGTTCTTTCAATATTTTATCGGCCTTAAGTAAAGTTATTTGCGCTTTACACAAAATCTTACCTCAATCCCCAATAGGTGACCAATAGGTGACCAATAGGTGACCAATAGGTGACAATAACTGCTCCAGTGTCTGGTGTTTCTTGAAAGCGCAAAATCCGCAAGTCTAAATGTTAAAATTTTGGCTTAAGTAAGTTACAAAACTTACTTTGAAACTAGGATAAAACGATAAAACTATATCTGACGATAAAACATTCGATCAACGGCTTCTCAGAACACTCATTGCACACTAAAAAGCCATCGTGCAACGTCCGCAGTGATCGAGGCTGATTCATGTATGAATCGTCCGCAGTGATCGAGGACGATTCATGCAACTAAAAGAAAAACACTTCATGAACAAACTTCTGCATAAAATTGATATTTCACTGATATCGGGGACCAACAAAGACAACCTTAGAGACTAAGGAGAACAACTGCGCACTTAAATTGGCTAGTTTTTGGTTTGTAAAGCTTGTAAAGCTTGCAAACGACTGTTGCAGTTCGCCACCACTGCCATACATCTCTTTATCGAAGTTAATCGTAGAACAAAAAGCTAAACTTACATGGTTCATTGCACAAAGAACAGTTGAGCGACTCGAATATCATTTCTGGAAAGAAAAATGATTGAACGGTGTAAAAGAACACTGAAAACCAATAAAAAGGAAACGAGAAGCAAAAAAAATCTACGCCTTCTTATCCTAGAGTCTAACAAACGCAAGTAACCGATCTTTAATCGACAAAATTCCGATAAGGGGCGGTTTAAAGCACTTTAACGTAACAAATTCGGGAGAATGGCAAGTTAAAAGCAGAAATTGAACAATTTCAAAGCTTGATCTCAACAAAGTATCGAATTTGGTCACAAATTTGAGCTTAAAATTGTCACAAACATGATTAAATGAAGAATTTGAGGGGTTTCATGTTAAACAAAAGCTCAAAATGGGTCCATCCTAAAACAGGGTCAAAATAAAAAGCGCCCAAAACAGGGCCAAGATAAAAACGCCCAAAACATCGTCAAGACAGAAATTTTGTCTAGATTTCAGTTTTTTATGTTTCTTTACTGTTTTGACTCTTTTTATAAACTTTTTTTTGTGTTTTTAGGAGAAAAAGGTAATGAGAATTCGATTTTTCATGCTTTTTGGCACAAAGGGAATCTGATTTGGCAAGACTGAGATTAGGTAAGAGGTTTACCCTCCCCGCCCAGCAAATGACCACCAAACAATGGTTTTTCTGACTTAGTTTTTTGCGCTGATTACGAATATCTAGATTTCATCGCCGAATTCAAAGAAAAAAAATTTTCAACGTTTTGATTTTCAACGTTTTCCATGTCTTGGTCCCCCAAGGTAAGAGTCTATAATTAAGAGATGATTCGTGTTGCTTGATCCTTTTTTATCTTTTTAGTATCTGTTTCTCTAGATCTATTTTTTCAGAGCTATCAAGATGCGACCTCAACTGTGTTTCTTCAAAGATTTCGATTCTTTCAAGGTGGAACTCGAATATTTGGAGATCGTTCATGACTCGAAACCTTTCCGTCTCGCTTACCCTCTAAATGGCAAAAATCGGAACTTTTTTGTCAACACGGTTCCTAAGATTCAGCTTACTTTACCTGAAATGGTTCTACAGGTAGGGTTTTCTTACTTTTTTCTAAATGAAATCCGTGTTTGATCTGGGAGAACTTTGTTCACTTATTTTCTATTACAGGATGATCATTATTTCTAAAAATTAAGGCATATTTAACTCATTTATTGGTCTGTTTTTCAGTCAACAAATGCGAATGACACTTGGTTTGGCTTTCATGTGGTGGATTTTTGTGCGCAATTCGAGGACCTGGGAATCTTGAGCGATTTTGTCATCAAACTGAAAACGGTGGCCAATTATGAGCAGGTTTTCTTTTCCTTTTTTGTGATTTTGCTCCTGCTTTAAATTGTTTTAGAGTATTGAGTAGATACCTTATTTACCTTTGTGTATGGTTAAAATTTCAAGATGATTCGGCTTAAAATAATCTCCTTTAATCTGGCACCTAGATCGAAGGTTTAATTATCAACCAATTTTTCCTACATCTGATTAATTTTATCATTTATCAAAAAATGCAAGTTTAGTTGAAAATTCCCACTTGTGAGACTGCGACCGACTCTGAAGATGATTCGTTCGAGGAAGATGATGACGATACCAACACGTTAGTTCCTCTGATTTGATTTTCATTTGCAATACGGTATTATGAGTTCAACATTAATCTAAAATTCAAAAAAATTGATTTATTCATAAACTAGTTCACGTAAAAATTTCTTATTTCTTGATATTTCAGTTAAAAATTTCTTTATTTCTTGATGCTTTATTATGAATTTTCATTAGATATTCGCATTTTCCTTATTAATTGTCAAATTAATATAAAATTCTATCATTGAACTTTTTATTTTAGTGCTAACATGGCGCTTCTGAACCCTGATCCACCAGTGCGTTTATTCTTCGATTCGGAATATACAGCGATGAATGTCACTGCTCAACATTTCGAGATCACCTTTGAAGGGGCGGTGTACCGTTTTGCGCACCCTCGGGGCAATCAAGCAAGAGAATGGACCATAAAGATGCTTGAGCGAGCACAAACTCCACGTCATTGGCAACACCTGCTGGTAAAGGGTGTGACGCTTCAGGTTGAACATTCTCTTTTTTGAATTTATATTTGTTTTTAATTCAATTTCAATCAATTTGTTTTTAGGAAAGAAATCCCCAGACTCAACGTTACATCAACGGACCAGAAGTGGACTTTTACATGATTTTTGATGGTTGTGTTAAGAAGGCTGAATTGATTATGGCTCTTCGTACCGTGCGCTATGTTGAAGTTTGAAAGGTGGAGTTTTTTTCCCGGTAAAAATTGATAGTTTCGATCACGGAAATTGATTCGTTCTATGGGCTTTTATTTTAGCATGGTATATAAGAATTGATTTATACTAAATGTAAGCGTTATTGATATTTTATTTATCTAATTACAGCTAATTTATAAAGTATATGAATGTGTAGCTGATTTATCTTTTTAATAAGCAAGATATTTATATAATACTTAAAATTGCGTCATGTTAACATATATTTTTTATAATTTGTTATCCGATATATCGGTTTTTTTAGTTTTTTTTTGATTTTTAGGTGCTCTTCACGAGGCCTGGCCTCTTAACAACTTTGGCAACCACATCGTCTTCAAATTAATGTTGTTGAGGCCCATTTATTTGTTGCTTTCTTTATTAATGTTAATAAATTTTGTATTAAATATCTTTACTATGAATGCTGATTGTTGAATATAATTGAATATCTATTTCATTTCTTCAGAACGTATGACAGATTGAATTAATATCGTTTCGTTAGATCTTTCATTGACATTACTTTGTCTGTAAAAAAATGACGGGGTTAAGATTTTCAACTCGGCAACTCCACAACGCCTTTTCCCAAGCATTCGTCCCCAGCATTCGTCCCAAGCATTAAAAAAACCGACAACGTGCTACGTTTCGACTCTAGCAGACAACGCAAATTCGTTTCTATTGTTAGCATTTTCGTTTTTGCGATGTTGAAAAGAAAATCGAAAAATTTACAAATAAAATGGTTTAGTTAGATTTATTTTTAATAAACCATTTACTGGTTTAATTAGAGTGAAAAATTTCACCAAATTTCCACATTTTTCAATCAAAATCAACAAGAATGAATGGATTCCAGTTATGGAATTTTAAATCAAAAATTTCTTCATCTTCATCACCAAAAGAAACATTTATATTTTGTCTTCGAAAGGGGAAATGCTTTGCTTTATGGATGGCTCATTTAAAAAAGCATGAACACCTCGTTTTCGATCATCAAAATGATCAAAACGAAATCAACAACCAAAAGCTTTTTTCCTTGAAATTTCCTTCATTTTTCATTCATTTTTTAAGGAAGTAAATTTAGAAAAAGTTTTTTCTCTTTGAATTTTGAAAGAATCATTTTTGAGAGCTCTTTTAGAGCTTCTTTTAGAGCTTCTTTTATCATTTTAAGAGCTCTTCTCGATGAAAGATCTAAAGATAAAAAAGATCTAAAGATAAGAAAGATATAAAGATAAGAAAGATATAAAAGATCTTCATAGATATAAAAGATCCTCAAAGCTGTACTACACATATGCCTAAGCCTAAGCCTAAGCCTAAATCGACCTGAAATTTTTTCAACACACTCCCATTGGGTTCCAAAGCACACCGCCAAACGGGTGTCCCTTAGCTCCGAGAACCGGCTGAGGTCCAGAAAATGGGGGCTCAGCCCAAACCCAAATAGACTTAGTGCGAGGCGCTAGCCGCTAGCCTTCGCACTAAGTCTAAGGCTAAGCCTAAGTCTAAGCTTAAGCCTGAGCCTGAGCCTAAGCTTAAGCCTAAGCTTAAGCCTAAGCCTAATTGAAAGATATAAAAGAGCTTCTTTTATCATTTTAGGAGCTCTTTAATGTCGATGTCGATGAAAGATCGCTATTCGAAAAAATCGCATCGCGTTCATCCGACTGAGACCCAGGATTGCGAGAATGATGAAGAGAAAGCGGGTAAACTGTTGAAAATTCAGAAATATTCGTTCAAAGTCGTTTTTTGGTTACTATGGTGCAATGGGTTTTTGTCAAACGTCAGTAAACGACAGAAAACGACAGTAAACGTCGAGTAAACGACACTCCAAAGGTGCCGGGTTCGATCCCGTTCACTGCCAAAAAAGGTTTTTGCTTTTTGCGGAAAACTCGGAAGTTTTTGATGGGAAATCAAATTGAAAGCTTTTCCATCATTTCCGTCTTTTTCATTATTACCGTAACCCTTTCGAGCACTTTTTAGAGAGCAGAGAGCGCTTCTCTTCTTCGGCCGCTTTCATTTTGACGTGTATCGGCTTTGCCGTCGGTTTAGGGAATATTTGGCGTTTCCCCAAATTAGCCTACGAGAATGGTGGAGGTGAGTGCATATGTCGTAGCCGATTAATGAATGACTGGGTCTAGGAGCGTCCAAACATCAAGTATTTAGTCTCATTCAACGCAGAAACATTGATAATTATGTTAAATTTTTGAAATTAGAAAGATTGGATAAAAAGGGAAAAAATTATGGGACTTCAAAGTTTCCTCTTGAACAAACAGTTTTTTTTTGCTCTAATTTTTTTTCTTTTCATCCAATCTTGCTAATTTCAAAAATTTAACATAATTATCAATGATTCTGCGTTGAATGAGACTAAAGACTTGATGGTTGGACGCTCCTAGACCCACTCATTCATAATCGGAGAATTCAATTCGCTACAAGATGATATAATATTGTCCTCAAACATTAAAGGATTGCTCTACTAGAAAGATTTGCCAAAAAAAATTTCATTCATAATCGGTTACGACACATAAATAGAAATCGTTAAATTCGATTTTCGTGTACTTTGGATTTTTCCAAACTCACTCATTCTAGTGCACTGATTTTTTGGATTTAAAGAAAACTAAAAAATACAAAGCGTAGTGTGACATCCAGCTTACGTGAATTTGAAAGAATTTTGAAATTTCGATCACCAGAAATAAAGTTATTCAAATGATAAGGGTTTTTCTGACTTCTGTAACTCTAAAATAAAATAAATTTGGATAAAATACCGTACCCCCAGGTGCCTTCCTTATCCCCTATCTGTGCTGTTCGATTGTCTTCGGCCTGCCGATGCTCTATTTCGAGTTCGCACTTGGACAATTCGTGCAAAAGGGCACCTCAAAGCTGTACTACACATATGCGCCCGCGTTTCAAGGTCAGTGCTGAGATGATCTACCTCATTAGCAAGTCAAAAGCTTGGTTTGCTCTGCCGCAAGTCTTTGGCTTGCTCCCGGTCCAAGGCTTAATCAAATCGGTCAAGATCTGAGCCAAGTTTTCAAGGCCAAGCCTGGCAAAGCTGAAGTATCTCGGTCTAATCCTGGTTTTATGCTTTCCCCAGTCTGACCCAGCTTTTGGCAATGGGAAACACTAGAAGAGCTTCTTTAGAGGCTTTTTAGAGGCCTTAGCTTCTTTAGAGGCTTTAGCTTCTTTAGAGGCTTTAGCTTCTTTAGAGGCTTAGAGGCTTTAACTTCTTTATAGGCTTCTAAAGATTCTCTTCTAGTCCAGGCTTGAGTCTAGACTACGATAGGTTTCTCTTCTCAAAAAGGCTTATATCAAAATTCGTTTCCACTAGCCTGGCCTAGTTGAAGCCTCAAAAAGAATGTTCTGGAATCTATTGTACTCTGGAATCTTGCCGAATCTGAATCCATTATTTCAGGCATTGGTTTCACGATGGCTGGCTTGTCGACCCAATTGACAATTTATTATTTTGTGATTGTTGGATGGGTGGTTATGTATTTGTGAGGGCTTTCAAAATTAGACTAAAGTCGATAATGGAATGGAAGAGATCAAAATGAGACTAAAGTCGACTCTCTGTAATGGAATGGAAGAGATCAGAAAAATCTCGTTATATAGAGCTTTCTATAGGAACTATAAAGGAACTATAAAGGAACTATAAAGGAACTATAAAGGAACTATAAAGGAACTAAATATGAACTATAAAGGAACTATAGTTTTCAAAAGCAAATTTTTGAGATAATCAAGTAAATACCTTTCATTCCGTAAAAGTTCAAGAGAGAGTCGATTAGAGTTTGTTGAAATTCAATTAAATTCAATGAAATTCAATGAAATTCAATCTTTTTCGTATAGAAATCTCGTTATTCAAATTCTGCACATTTTTCTGAGTCTTTTAAACTTTTAAATGCAATGCTTTTCGTCAGAGAATGTACTGTAGTCGGATTTTAAATGTAGTTAGACTTTTGCCATTTTTCTGAGTCGTTTCAGAATCGAGATCGTCACTGGCGGCTGGGAAAACATTGTCAACTGTGAGAGCAAAAGATTCGTCTCCCATGGAACCAACTACAGTAAGCTGTCGTAGTCTCTAGAACTACCGTAACCCCCGAAACTCTCCCATCGACTTTTAAAAGCCTCCATCCATCTGCTTTCAAATATTTTCATATTTTTAGCCGATCTGGATATCACATCATCCTCTAAATGCGTTTTCTAAAGCAAAATTCGACTTATTACCGTAATCCTAAAAATTGACCAAACTACCGTACACCCAAAAAATTATATCCACTAAAATGACTCAAATTTCAGTATGCTCTCTTGGTGCACTCCAGAATACAATATGTGACTCGAATTCAACCGGTAAGACAGCAAAGACAGCGGTTCTGACCGCTGAACCCAAATCGGTTACAGTAACCCAGAAAATTGTCGACATTTTAGACTGCATTACAAATATCACGAATCTCATCGTGCCCGCCGAGCTCTATTTCGAGTTTTTTTCTCTTCTCAAATTGCTTTTCTGACCATAAATTTCAGTCAGTACATCATCAAAAGGAGCCCAGACTTTAGCGGAGAGATCACCATGAATTGGCCGCTGTTTGGTGAGTTGAAACTTGAGATTTGTCGCTTTTTTTCAAATTTTTGACCGATCTGGATGTCATGCAAGATTTTGAGCGATTTCGGGCAGTGAAATACCGAGAATTTCGTTCTTACCTTGACCCAATCCTTTTCTCCGCAATTTAGAAGCCCTGGTCAAGCCAATTTCAAATCTTTTCAAATTTTTGGCCGATCTGGATATCATGCAAGATTTTGAGCGATTTCGGGAGTAAAATGCCAAGAATTTCGTTCCTACCTTGACCCAATCCTTTTCTCCACAATTTCGAAGCCGTGGCCAAGCCAATTTCAAATCTTTTTAAATTTTTGGTCGATCTGGATGTCATGTAAGATTTTGAGCGATTTCGGGGAGTAAAATACCGAGAATTTCGTTCGGACCTTGACCCAATCCTTATCTCCGCAATTTAGAAGCCGTGGCTAAGCCAATTTCAAATCTTTTCAAATTTTTGTCCAATCTGGAAAACACAGCAGCCCTCAGTTTCCTCAGTTCTCCATTATCATTTCCCAACTTTCTAGTGATCATGCAAGCGTTGTGGATTTTGTGCGGTGTAATTCTATGGAAAGGCGTTGAATTCATGGGGAAAATCTCGTACATCACGACTGTCGTTCCGTACGTCATTGTGGGTAAGAGGTTCGACACGAAATCTCAAAATATCAATAAGTTTAGGTATCCTCTTTGTGCAAGGGTTGACACTGGAAGGCGCCGGGAAAGGCCTAAAAGCTTATTTCAGTCCAGATTTCGGGAAGCTAGCAGAATATCAAGTAACTACGATCTCAGCTGAAGTTCTTTCCACAGGGATTCAGTTCTCAGGGCCTGTAAGGGCCTGTAAGAGGCCTTGGGGCCTATAGAGTCTAGGCCTGTAGAGTCTAGGCCTGTAGAGTCTAGGCCTGTAAAGCTGTGGGTCTAATCTGATCTAACCTGTCAGAGCTGTGGGTCGAATCTGATCCACATGGAGACCGTGGTCTTGTTGCTGCCGGGTGAAGGTTGCAACAGTGTCAAGATAGCCAAGGGTATGACCAAATCAATCTCCTTTAGACTTGGAAATCCGCTCTAATCCAAATGTGTTTCTCTCTGTCAATCGGTTTCGGTGGAATGCCATCGATGGCTTCATTCAATCCGAGAAAGCACAACTGCTTTTTGGTGAGCATTTAAGTCAGCTGCAATTACAGTAAAATGTTTGATGTAAATAAAAAGATGTAAATAAAAAGATGTAAATAGAAAGATGTAACGATTGGATTCTTGAATTGAAAACTGCGGGCTTCAAAGTCCCGCAGGTATCAATTCACCAATTTAATAGATAGATGTTTCATGATGTTCTAATCGAAGCCTCAAATCTAGTACTAATGTCGATCTAGTACTAAGTTACTAAGTTGAGCTTTTTTTCTACTAGCATTCTATTAGAATGGCAAAAATTTTACTAGATTTTCTCAAAAAAAAAAATAAAAAAAAATGAATTGCTGAAGTGAGACTAGTATTTCCATAAATCTTCAATCATCTAAGCTCTTAATCTCTAGATCTTTAATCATCTAAACTCTAGATCTCTAGATCATTCAATCTTCAATCATTCTAAACTCTAGGACGCTTGCTTTGTCGTTTTTGCCGACGCTTTCATGTCGGTATTCGGCGGAGTGGCCGTCTTCTCGATTCTCGGCTATTTGTCCGTGAAAACCAATCAACCGGTCGAGAAAGTCGTTAGAGAAGGTCAGCATCAACAATACAGCAAAACGAGGGCAAAACTCCGTTCACAGACCGAAGAACAGCAAGCAGACAGACGGGAATCTTCTGCCTGTCAGCTCTGTTATCTTCTGCCTCTCAGCCTTGAACTTGAGTCAAGACTTGCCTTCACTCTGACTCTTGACTTGGCTTAGAATCTGGCTCATGGGGCTTTAGCTGCCCTGAAGCATCGATAGACAAGCCTAGTGTAAGGCTACAATAGGCCGAAGCCTAAGCCTAAGCCTAAGCCTAAACCTAAGCTTAAGCCTAAGCCTAAGCCTAAGTCTGAGCCTAAGTCTAAGCTTAAGCCTAAGCCAGCACCCTAACCTACCCTAGCTTTTAGTTGAAATGTTGCAGTTTTTGAAAGAAATCGCCTAGAAACGTTTTCATGCACTTAACTTTTTTTTGAGTAGACAGATTTTAAAGAAACTTTGAGATTTTCTTAGTTGGATGTCATGTAAAAATTGGTATTGTTTAGAATCATAGAATTTTCATTTTTGACAAAAATCGATTTATTGCAATGGGTTACGAGTACGGTAGTCCGGTCATCCTTTAAAGTTTTAATTTAAAGTCATCCTTTAAAGTGTCACATTCAGGGACGACTCTGGCTTTTGTCGCCTATCCGCAAGCGATAGCTGAAATGTGGCTTCCATGGTTGTGGATGTTTCTGTTCTTTTTGATGTTGGCGTTGCTGGGAATGAGCTCTGTTGTTGGTAGGGGAAGATTGGAAAAAAAGAAGAAGAAGAAGAAGAAGAAGAACAACAACAACAACAACAACAAGAAGAAGAAGAAGAAGAAGAACAAGAACAAGAACTAGAACAAGAACTAGAACTAGAACTAGAACTAGAACTAGAACAACAACTACAATGAAGCCTCTTTTAAAGCGAATTCTTTTCAGTAAACCTCCAATCGACGATCACTTGTTTATGCGATTTCAGTCCATTTCTCGCGAAACGACGCCAAACTCTCAATTGGGCTTTTTGCTTTTTTATGTTCATTTGCACGATCGTCATGTGCACTGGGGTAGAGAAATTTTGAGAAAACAAGAAATCACCCAACCCAACCCAACCCAACTCTAGTGTGCTTTCCAGATAGACCAATGCTAAGCCGAAAGCCGACCCTTCATCCAGAGAATCAGCTGTAAATCCAGTGACTCACTTGATCCCTCGATTACTCTAGCTTTTCCGTATACAACACCCTCCAAATTTGCACCAAAGTCCAAGCTGGAACTCACAGCAGCTACCCAGAGCTTTCAAAAAGTCCAAACGCTAATATGGACAAATGCGTTTTTCTGATTTTTAAACACTCGAGTTTTATCGATAATCCTGTTGTCCTGTTGGGTTGATAGTTTTATAAAAAACCAATCTGGATGTCACAGAAACTATTCTAGCGACTATTTCCTTCTCAACTCGTTTTTCTAGCACGGTGTCTATTGGTTCACAATGTTCGACGCGAGTGTCGGCGGTTTCGCGCTCGTTTTGCTAATTTTAGCCGAAGTGTTTCTCGTTTGCTATGTTTACGGTCATTTTACGAGGATTACGGTAGTTTTTATCCACTTTTTAGGCATTCATCACTTCAAGCGTGATCTCGAGGAAATTCTCGGGAAAAGAGAGAAAAATTCGATTCTCCAGAAAATCGTCGGACCAACTGGTCTCTACTTTTTATGTAATTGGATGTACGCGGCTCCAGGGCTGTTAGTGGTTTGCTATTAGTGGGAATTCAATTCAGAAAATCAATAGCTCATTCTCTATGCTGTTGTCGAGCATCGAGTCACGCAAAAGATGAAATACGGAGAGGCACCAAAGTGAGCGGTTTAAGCTAAAATCTACATATGAATGCTTTCCAAAAACATGAAAAAGTACGGATCTGGAACGCACAGAGTACAAAAAAGTAAAAATTGACAAATTCTAAGAGCTTTTTAGACTTGTCATTTGTAGCGTAGTGTACTGTTAGGTGGAATTTTGTAAACGCGCCTTTCTGGCACACTAGTATGATACTGTGCGCTCCAGATCGACGCTTGGAATTGATCGAGTCACGCAAAAGATGAAATACGGAGAGAAACCCAAGTGAGAGTGATCTCAAGCGGTTTAAGCTAAAATCTACATATGAATGCCTTCCAAAAACATGAAAAAGCACGGATCTGGAACGCACAGAGTACAAAAAAGTAAAAATAGACAAATTCTAAGAGGTTTTTAGACTTGTCATTTGAAGCGTAGTGTACTGCTAGGTGAAATTTCGTAAACGCACTTTTCTGGTACACTAGTATCATACTGTGTGCTCCAGATCGACGCTTGGCATTGAAATTTCTAAAGTATTTCCCATTTTTGGGCTCAAATTTCAATCGAATCCGATTCAGTGACGTCATCTTCCCGATGTGGACCGAGGTTTTCGGCTGGTTTCTCAGCTTTTCCGTTCTTCTTTTTATCCCCGCATTCTTCGTGATCAACTTTGTGAAGAGCAGGCAAAGGAATGAGGTAATGTAGAAATCAAAAAAATTGTGAACGCTACGGTGAATCGGGTTACTGTAATTGCTCACAGAGCCAATTCGCAGCCATTTCACCCTCAGTTGCACATAATATATCCATTTTTAAATGCAAATTCTCCAATCTGGAACGCAGGCAACATTCTACAAATGTCTGATTTTTTATAAATGCAAATTTTATCGTCAGACGTATATGTACTACGGTAAAAGGAGCACCTTTTAGCAGCACGAAACGCCGACAATAGAATTTCGAGTTTTTTATGACGCCATTCAAAAACCTGACTTCCAGATCGGCTAATTTACATTTAAAAATGAATTATTAAATGCAAATTGACTGTGAATTGGGCCGGATACCGTACGCCCAGTCAGCCAGACCAAAATTGCGGATTAAAAAAACATTTGACGCTTTCAAACGGTCCCGTGCACCCCAGATGGGCCAATTTGCATTGAAAAATGGCGATCTTGTCGAGAAAAAGCCCCAATTTACAGCCGATCTCCGCCCTCTTCACCGTTCATCCGAAACACCCGGCGGCACTGCGCATCGCCGAGGAAAATAAGAGAATCGCCGCGAAATTGACGCCCTTCGAACGGGTACGGTGTCGGCTACAAATGCTATTCGATTGATTTGTGCTAATTTTTCGGTCATTTCCTTCGTTTCATTTTGTTCATTTTGTTTTTTTTTGTAAATATCGCTTTCTCAAAGTCAATTTTCAGCAATTTGCATGTGAAATACAAAATTTTAAATGCAAATCAGCCGATCTGGAACGCAGTAGACATTTTACAGTAATCACATATGCAAATCGACTGTATCCGGGTTTTGTCTTTTTTTTTTCCCCGGTCCGTTCCCCCCCAATTTAAATTAAAACTCCCTTTTTTTATATTTAATTAACCTTATCGGAACCCTTTTTTTTTTTAAAAATAACCGCCCTATTGTAGCAACTACTGTATTCGGGGCGATTTTTCTCGGATCGATTTGACGTTCAATTTACATGTAAAATACCCATTTTTAAATGCAAATTAGCCAATCTGGAACGCAGTAGACATTTTACAGAAATCAGACACTTTTTATATGCAAATCTACTGTATTCAGGTTTTTGTCTGTGATTTTTCTCCGATCGATTTGACGCTCAATTTACACGTAAAATACCCATTTTTAAATGTAAATTAGCCAATCTGGAAGCCAAAACTGAAACATTTTTATCGAAAATCGCAAAATCTCATCGATTTCTCGTCCCCTCGTTTTCATGCCTCCTCCTCGACCCACCGACTCCCGACGCCGATCGAGCGAAGCTGAAAAATGAAAAAGTTGCTTTCTTCTTAAGCTCAACACACTCTGTGACATCCAGATAAGAGAATTTTAAACAAATCGGGCAAGTTTTCCTTTTCGAAAAATCAGTCATCAGTCCGATCCCGTAACCGATCATTTTTCAACTTATTTTCCTTTCAATTTTGCAAATTTCTCAAATCCAAAATATCATGTGCTATCCAGATAGAAGGATTTCTTAAAAATTCAATCATTTTTTCCATTGAATAAACGAGATTCAGTCTCGGTAACGTTTCGTGGCTCGTACCTCGTTCCTCGTCAGCAACAGATCGACGTGAATCGCGCGGAAAGCCGTGTCCCGGCAATCGCTCATCGCGAGATTCAAGCGCTCCGCCTGGAAATGATTTTGAGGCATCCAGGCACTCATTTGACAGCTTACCGCTGGTGTATCACCAGCCGAGAGGGCTTTACTCCGTCGGTTTGCCAGGTCCTCGATGCGCACCTAGAGAATCGAAAGTAATCATGTGTACTGATTACTGTGACTGCTATAGTGAGCTCCAGATTGGCGAGAAATGTTTTTGAATTTTAAAACAAAACAATCTATACCACAAATTTCGCATCAAAGTCTGAGCGAGGGAAAAAGTGGATTTTAAAAACAACGCCACCAAAGAATTATTTCTTGCCTAAAACCTATCGTGCACTCCAGATTAGTGAAAAATTCAAAAAATTTCACCGAATCAGGCAGCGAAGCTAGCTTTTTGCTCTACCTCATACTCCTCCAAGCGTTGAATCGCTCGCCGACAAACCCTAGCCTCGACATTTTTGCCCGCCTAAAAACACTGTGCATATTGGAATACTGTGCATATTGAAACCATATTGGAACCATATTGGAACTTATTGGAGCCATTTATAGAACCAGATGTAGAACCATATTGGAACCATATTGGAACCGTATTGGAGCCATTTATAGAACCAGATATATTGGAACCATATTGGAACCATATTAGAACCATATATAGAACCATATTGGAGCCATATATAGAACCATATTGGAACCATATTGGAACCATATTGGAGCCATATATAGAACCAGATGTAGAACCATATTGGAACCGTATTGAAACCGTATTGGAACCATATTGGAACTTATTGGAGCCATTTATAGAACAAGATGTAGAACCATATTGGAACCGTATTGGAACCATATATAGAACCATATTGGAGCCATATATAGAACCATATTGGAACCATATTGGAGCCATATTGGAGCCATATATAGAACCAGATGTAGAACCATATTGGAACCATATTGGAAAATCCGTGGTGAACTCAAATCGTTTACGCACTGCTTCCGATCCATCCATTTTCTCTTGTAAAGCCCTCTTCACCGTTCGAATTGAGGTCAACGGATCACCGGAGATCCCGCTGGAGCTCGTGCTCATCCCATCGCCTTCGCTGAAAAGATTTTGTACTTTCGAGTTGTACTTTCAAGTTGCACTTTCAATCACTTTCGGGATCAACCACAGCATCAACCACAACATCACCCACTAGCTGTACCGTGTCACCGCGTACTCCGATCCTTGTGGAGTGCTCATTCGTGTCGGCGTTCCCATTCTCGTCGGCGTGCCCGCTCGTCCATTCGATTGTGGTCTTCGCGGAGCTGATGAGGAACGATCTAAACAAAATAATGCAAACTAAAGCATTTCCCCGTTTATTTTCACAATTTTTCTCCGTTCTGGAACGCACAAAACATTTTGCGATAAGAAAATTCCTGCTTTATCAATAAAATTTCCGACTCGATCCACTACGTTTTCGACCCTATGCGAAAATTTGCATTCACGATTTTCGTAAAAAGTTTCTTTTGCATTTTTTGCTCAATCTGGAACGCACATAACATTTTCCAGCAAGAAAATCTTTGATCTATCAACAAGATTCTCTCGTCCACCTCGTCCTCCTCACCTCTCGTCCGGCTCTTGCTCGGCGCCCTTCTCGGTCGATCTTTCTCCACTGGATAGCCCAAAATTGTCACCCGATTGATGCCAACCTAGAAAATCGTGCTAGAAACCGCTAGAAACCGCTAGAAATCGCTAGAAATCGCTAGAAAATCGATTTCTCTTAAATCAACTCAAAAACAACTCACCAAATTTTGTGGATTTTTCGATAGCGGTAACGGTTTATAAACGATAAGCCAAACAAAATGCCCAACGTGATCAGCGAAGAGAGATCTTTAATCTTTAAAGATCTTGGGTTTTCCGCCTTTAAGTAAAAGAAAAAAAAAAACGCATTACAAACCTTCCCTCCATTCGGTTGTTTCCGCGTTCGCGAATCTGCAAAAAAATCAATCTTAATCATTGGAAATGAATTTCCTTAAATTTTTACCTTAAAAACGAGTGTCCCCTTGTTTCCGTAGTGAGCGGCTTTGGCTGCATCTAAATCGTTTTCACAATTCGGCTCACCCCGTCCCACTTGAACATCGATTTTCGCAGCTAAATCAATTCTCTAAACTCCAAAAAAACAAATAACTCTAAAGCCTGTAAGGTAGACAGATCAAAAAAAGTATACGAAAGTCTTTAAAAAGCACTCACGAACGAGCTCCGGATTCACGTCGACGACCACCTTGTAGACATTGCTCAAATATTTCAACCCTAACACAATGTCGAAGGGGAAACGATCACCGGGTGCCGATGTCCACTCTCGATTGGCGAACGAGTCGGGATCTTTTTGTCCGACGTAAATTGGAACCCATGGGATCTCCTCGAGGGACGAGTCGTCATCGGACATCGTCGTTTAATGCAACAATCTAATAGCTAGACAAAATTGAAAATGAAGTGAAGATGTGTCAAACGAAAGACAAATGCTTAAATCCTTAGACAAATGCTCAACACTACGATCGAGCCTATCAAATACAGAAAAACAAATCGTTCAGAGAATCGGCAATTCTTTGTCCCCCGCAATATCCCCTAGCGACACCAAGCAACCTCTTTTTTCCCTACCTCGCTTTTCTTTTTTCTAAAACGCTTTATTCTAACTGAAAACATTTAACAACAAAGTGAAAAAAATTAGAAAAAAAGAAATGAAAACACCCGGCACATTTTAAAAGCAAATAAAATAATTGATCAGATGAAGGGAAGAGATCAAAGTGATAAGTTGAAAAAATGTAGATCCAATTCAATGTAATTGTTCCAAAAGTGACATCGTCCCGCAAAAGAGATCAAGCAAAGCGCTTCTTCTGAAAAACAATACAATGTTTAAACTTAATTCATGGGAAAACAAGGCTAATATCTTTTTGTAGATTGATTAATAACATTGATTAGTTAAAATTTACGGGTATTTGAAAAAAAAATGGGTAAATGATCCAAGTCGGTTTGGATCTCTTGGTTCCGCGCGTTGGCTTTTTATTATCTATGTTAAAGGTTTACTTTATGCGTTTTTCTATTGAATTACGGGAATTTTACTTGGATTCTTCAATTTTCAATTTTGCAAAGAAAAAAGCCAAACCTTTGCCGCCGGTGGACGACTCAACGGATTTGGTGCAGGCGGCGGGATTCGCACGTCCTGTTGAGCTTGATGAACCTGTGGCATCAAAAAACCTAAAAGAACAAGAGTTACGGTACTAGTTTTTTATTAAACGTTTAATCAACTATTTCCACTAAAAACACCCACTATTCAGCGTAGTCATCAAATTATCCTTTGAGGTGAGACTTGCATTCGAATGACGAGACGAAGAAAAAATTCGCGAATCATCATCATCGATTTCGAGCATCTGAATTTGAAAGTTATACTGAATTCTGTGTCTTTTTGACCGTAGTCCTTCATTTTACTTGTAAGATTCTGCTAAGCATTTAAAGATTTCAACTCCTTTAAGCGTTACACCAAAATCCAACTCACATCGTTCAGCATTTGATCGATCTTGTGTCGATGCAGTGACGCCTCCTTCTCGATGTCAAACGGGTTCATTTGCTTGGGTCTCTCGGCGAGAAGATCCTCACAAGAGGTTGATGGTTGAGAGGTGACCAAATCCGATGAATCGTCATTCTAAAATGTCTATCCTTGCAAACTGATACTAATCGCCGGTTTATTATTTACAATAACTTGTTTCAAACTAAACCTGTCCATTCTCCTGTTCCTTTTCTCCTTGTCCATCGATCTCTCCATCTCCATTTGTCTCATTTTTCTTCGATTTCATCTCAATCCATTCCTCTTCTTTCTTTGTTGACCAAAGTGCCGTATCGAGCAGCATTGGCTCAAAGAGAAGTGCCCTCATTCGATTCTAAAAACACTAAAACTTCGCTAAACCATCCAAATTTCACCTTGAATTGCTTGAACTCATCAGAAGCCGTGATTTGCTTTGACAATTGAATATGCGCTCGATTCTCCGCCTAAACAATGACGTTTTGAATGATTGAACGGTAATGACCAATTTTATTACTTCAACACTCACCACCGGCGTTCCATCCAACGTTTTCTCCGTCTCGAAATAAAGCGAGGCGCTCTTGAGCATTTTGTAGCGATTCTCCTGAAAAAGATTGATTTCAATCAAAAACTTCCGAACAAACCGTCAATTTCTGCTGTAAAGCAAGCGTGGCCATATTTGGTGGTAAAGGGACCAAATCGTTGTGATCGCCTTGAAATACCTAAAAATGGCAAAATTTATCTCAAACCCTATAGATTCCCCAACCTTTTCCAAGACCGCTTGAAAACTCGACTTCATCGCCGCTTTCAGCTGATCGGCGTTCGCCAACAGCTAAACGATTTGATTAGTCCTTGGTCTTAATATCCATCCAAATATCCCTAATTCATGTAAATTTCTGGTTTTTCGGTCAAAATGACCGGTAAACTCACATTCTGGAAGAAGTAATCATCATTCAGACGAATTCTTTGCGCAATCGCGTTTGTCAAAACATCACGAGTTTCCTCCTAAAAATTGAAATGTGCAAAATGATCAGAATTTCCGTCATACCGGTGCCAAATCCTCATCGTCTACGTTGATCTTCGACTCAAAGTTGGGCACTCTGACCGGTGTGCGGAGCTTCTTCGCCGTTCGCACGTGCATCGTCTTCGGATCGATCTCGAATGGGCTAAAGAGCACAAAAAATTACTCCCACATCAAAAACAACTCACTTCCTGCTTGCCGCGGGAGCACTCGGCCGTCCATTGTACACTCGACGGCGTTTCTCCGAGCGATCAGCCAAATCGACGAGGTCTCTGAAAGAAGATTGATTGGGTTTAGGTTATTCAAGCATAATATTTTAAGCAGTTTGTCCGGGTCGGGCCAAAAGTCAGATTCTGGCTTTGTTGCGGTGAGTCCGGTTGGAACATCTCTGGCTTTAACTAGGTACGGCATCTTTGGCTAACCAATTTCCCCCATTCACTTAAACTTGCTTCAATAACGATTCTGGTCAGTCTCATGGAGTAAAAATTTCACTATATTGAAGGCAAGCTTTGTTTTATCTACAGTATACTGGAGTTAAGGTAGGTTTTAAGCCGGCCAGTTCAGTCGGTTTATGGTCGAGCTAAAGCTCAAATGCCTTACTGTTCATCGATGACGATTCCCTCGAGCAATCGCTGTGCCGCATCGCTGCTCACCGCCTCGCTCAATTCGCCCTCTTTCTTGTAGAATTCCTCGATTTCTTTCTTCTTCATCTCAGCATGGTGTCGCTCGTCTTCGGTGGTGTAAATGGCGAACTTCTCTAAAAAGACTTATTGAGTTATTTTCTATTATCCCACTTTTTCTCTCTTCCATATCATTTTCTCCCTGTTTCCGAATCGATTCGATTATCTCGTTGTTCTGACCGGTCAAATCATTGAAACGATCGAAAAGCTAAACGAAACATTGCACAAAATGCACAAAACACAAAATCAATCAAACCCTACCCGATTCTTTTTCTCCATTTGTGTGATCGCGCGCACATTCAGCGCCTGTTGAGCACTGCGAACCATGTCTGCCTGGGCAGAGATCAACTAAATGATTGAGATTGGTACAAGCAAGAGCCATAGTCAAAGGACAATCACAAACATCTGATCCTAAAAAGGATCACTCACCCGAAGTTTCGTCGTGACAAGCGAGAGATATCGTGCGCGAATCTTCGGAATCTGTCTTTCCGGCAACATTGTGTCGCTGATTGCACGCCATCTACCTAAAAAGAATAGAGTTGCAGCTAATCTCTCATCAACCCACCCTTCCCAAAAATATTCACACCGGCCAGCAATTTCTCGTCTTCTTCCAACGTCCATGTGTTCACTTGTGCTCCTGGTGTATGCGCCAATGAGAGTTGATTCCTCCATCTAGACTTACAATAGACTTGGCCAGATTTTCTTTTTTACCTCTGCTTACATTGTGACTCCGTTCGTCCGGGCACCGTTTGCTTCACTTTGTCCCACGCGTGTGTGCCGAACTTCTCGATGGCGCAGAGAAGGAGCTGAAATGCGAAAATTTGTACGGTAATCGTTAGCTTACAAGATTGGCTCTAAATCTTTTTAATACCAGCCTTGGTCAGTTGTCAAGTTGGGAAGATTAAAAAGAAATAGACTAGGTCAAAGGCTGAGCCAAAATGACCCAGACTAGGGCAAGCCAGGATTAAAAGGGGTCAGATCAAGCCAGCCAGGTTTTTAGCTTTCAGAAATCCTGTTTATGTTTCAAAATCAGATACAATTCTAGCTAATTTGTTGAAAAACTTCAACAACAAATCGCTCTTAACTTTGTTGCCACCTCATTTGCCTTTTCTTCACCTCATTCACTCACCAAATCCTCATCTTCCGTCCATCTTCCGTATTTCGTGGCTGGATCAAGCGACTTCGCACGCATTTTCACCTGTTGAATCGTGCGGCCAATCATGAATTGAGAGACTAAAATAAATTTTGGAAAAAAGACAAGCTTTGATTACCTTTCTCCCACGGAACCTTGTCCCCGCAACGAACCATCTCAATAATTCCTAACAATTTCTCGTCCTCTTCCCGTGTCCATTCTCTGAAAAAAATAAATTAGGGATTAAGTTGGTATTTCGTAATGTTGTTAACTATTCAAAACCTTTACCTTGGCATTTTAGAAGCAATGTCCTCCTGATATTTCTGAAAAACGGTGAATGGTCGTCGTCCGGTGCCCAATTGTTGTGCAACGAGTGACCAATTAATGAATCCGTGCTTTCCAAGGGTCAAACGGTGTAGGCTACTGAAAGCGAACCAAAATTATCACCATTTTTCTTCCATTCATCCACCTAATCTCTTCAGGCGACCATTTCCCATTGTTAACGGCCGGATCGAGATCGTTTATCCATTTCAAGCGGATCTCAATCGGATTGCGTGAGTATTTGAACTAAAATTAGCAAATCAGCTGAAAAATCGGGAAAACAAACAGTTTTAGCAGCAATTTTCGACCAGTTAATTTTCATCGGGTTTGGCGGCAGTGTTGGGCCGTTGGTTCTGAAAATAAACTTTGAGTTTAGCTCTAATTTAAGTACTACTTTAATAGAGAAAATGGAACAAAAAGTGTCAAATATCCAACTCACTTCACGTATTCTATGATTCCGAGCATTTTGTCCTTTTGCGCCATCCATCCGGCCCTTTCCTCTTTACTCGTTTCCACTCCAGACGCATTGATCTTCTCGTTCAATCGCTCGATTTGCAGTCGATAATCGCTCAGCTGCATCTCGATCATCTCCTCTCGAACAGCCGCCTTGAGAAAGTTGATCTCACGAGAAATCCCTGAACAAATGAATGAATAAGCTTTAAATCTTCGCACTTACATGGCCGTGGCACTTTCACGAGTGGGTCGAACGAGAAATTGTTTCGCTTCATAATAGTTTCTTCATTTGGTGGAGGTCCCTAAACAAAAAGGACTTAGGGTTTTATAAACATCATTGCTTATATTCAATGCATTTCCCTAAGATCTTAGAATGTTAACTAGTTAGATAATGAAGCAAACCAACAGCTGAGTACTTTACAGTATTTGTGAAAAACTCGATATTCGGCAGCTTCATTCCCCCCAAAAGCTATGTTATTCAGTTAAGGAGGCTTCTCATATGAATATTATTGCCATTTTTTTAGTCTGAGAGTTGCTCTTAAGCTCAAAATTTGCAAACTCACATAGCCTCGATCATTCCGGAAGTAGGGTGGCAAGAATTGACTGACGGGGATCTTCGCCTGGCTAAGAAGGCTCTTGTTCTCCTCACGATAACTGTCCGCTTCGAGATTCCTCTGAAAGGATACAAAATTATCAAGCTGCAATTTTTTCTGACAACTTTTTGCAACTATAGCCATTTTTGCATACAATTCTTGTTCTCCAAAACTCACCAAGCGTTGATTCACGCAGCAAAGCTCATGGTCAACTTTAGCTACAAGCTTATCGATCACCTAAAATAGATAATAAACCTGTCTATGAGTTTAAAAAACGACCTCCAAAGCTGCCTCTCGGACAATGATTGGTGGAGCGGAGAGGATCGAGAGTGAAGCTGAAGCTGAAAACGAACAATGAAAAAAAAAGCCACGATATGAAGCTATTTTGTTTCAAAAGCTGTCGGCATGACAATATTAATCAAGCCAAACCTTTCAAGCATTGTTTATAACAAGTTTAAGTACCTAGGTAACTATAAGTTTGATTGAAATCTTGAATATCAAGCTTAGCCAACTATTATCAGTTTAACAGGTTTTAAAGGAATATAAAAAACGATTAAACTTACTCGTAGCACTCTGCGACGTGCCTGGCAAGTCCTCGTCGTCAAAATGATGATCCAATTGCTCTTGATCCATCATTCTGAAAGAAAATAGCCGTCAAATGTTAAAATAGAGGAAGAAAACAAGTAAACGAAGCTGAAAAAATGAATAACTAACGCCGAATTTGCTAAAAACAACAACAAAAAATAAAAACACGAAATTTTGACTGAAATCTTCACACGGAGCACGTAAGATGAACAATTTTATCCAGATTTTTAAACCATTTATCGTTTTTCAAGTTTTAACATTAATTTTAGCGTTCATCAACCATTAAACAAGTCTAAAATCCCTTTTCGGGTTAAAGACTAAGCCATGCTTATCTTAGTTCAGATATCTGGTTGATCCTACCAGGTGGTCACCTCAGGCTGAAAGACTAAGCCTTTAATCCTTAAAAGTTTAATTAGTTAGAATAGTTTAATCCTTAAAAGTTACAAATCTTTAGTTATTATTGGCTTTCGTCATTAAAATACCCGCGATACATACCGTGTTCTTTTCTAAATTCTAAACAAAACCCCTAAGCAACGCCGTGAAACGTCACAAAATACAAAAATACGGTGCTGGATCCACGCAATAATCGCCTCTATTTAAATACCAACAATTCCGAAAAAAGATATTCAGCTAAGGGGCTAAATATTTGTATTTTTTTAGAATTTGAGGTATATATTTCTTTGTCATTTATTTATATTTCTTTTCATTTGTTTATACTTCTTTAAAAAAATATTCAGTTGATTGAATGGATATTTGAAATTTTTATGACTTTTGTTTGAAAAATGGTATAAAATGAATCAAAAACTGTTTGAAATGGGCTGTTTTTTTATGCAATTTGGCACATTTCTGTTCTCTTTTTTCAGTTTTTAAGAAAGTTCTCTCATTTTTTTTTGTACTTCCGCTTCTAGAGTACCTAGGAAATTATTTGAAAAACGGCCAACGAGCAATTTTGAAACGGACAGCATATAAAGCACCTAAACATCAAGTTTTTAAGTTACAAACATTGTAGAACCTTTTCTTAAACATCAGACGCTCCTTGTGCTCAAGATTTTTCCTCTTTCCTGTCAAAGTTTCCCTATAAAATCGTAACTTTTTCATTTCCAGGCTTCACTCTCCCCTTCACCAAATGGGCGACTATTTGACAAACGAGAATGTCGATTTCGACGAGCTACTCGCCTTCGATGATGAAGAATTAGAGGATTTGATGGGCGATCAACGAGAATCCATCCTCGCAGCGAGTTCCATGGAAAAGTTCCCTCGAAAACTCCAAAAACCGCGAAAACTCGAGCCAACTTCCTACCAAAAGACCCGGCAGCTCAACGAAAAGCTCGTCCGTCGCGTGCATCATCATTTGAACGAGATGTCGACGTCGGAGATGCGCAAAATTCTCGGCGATTTGTTTCTGCACACTGGCGACTCGAAGAAACACCTCAAGAAACGCATCCGCTCGGTTTTTCACAAAGAATGGGGCATCCTACGTCATCAAGTCGATCAAACGATTCCAATTCATCAGAAGACCGCTCACTACTTCAATTACTTGATCTTCGTCGACTTTGAGTGCACCTGTGAAGAGATTTTGAATCAATACCCGCACGAGATCATCGAGTTTCCGGCAGTGCTCGTGGACACTGAGAAGATGGAGGTTGTGGCTCAATTTCATACCTACATCAAACCCGTTGCTCGGCCGATTCTTGACCCATTTTGCGTGGATTTCACGAACATTCGGCAAAAAAACGTCGACGAGGCGCCATACTTTCCCGAGGCTTTGCTTCGTTTCCGTGAGTGGATGAATTCCTACAATTTGGACCAACGGACCGGCAAAACGTACGCTTTCGTCACCGATGGGCCGTGCGATTTCCAGAAATTCCTGCTCTATCAATGCTTGATTCTTGGCATGAAACTGCCCCACATTTTCCGAAATTTCATCAACATTAAACGGATCTTCGAGCAGAAAGAGGTTAGACTCGAGGGCAAGGGTGAGCGCGACGAGCAGGGGAAAAGGATCACGAGCATTCAGCGAATTTTGGACTACTACAAGTTGGAATCAGTCGGCAGGGCGCACTCGGGGTTGATCGATGCACAGAATTTGGCCAAAATCGCATCACATATGATCCAAAAGCGGAGGATCGATTTAAAAATTAATCAGACGATCATCCGGAAAGCTCGCGACTCTGATGCACACTTTGAGCGGATTTGCCAAAAAGCGAAAGAAGAGGAGGATCGAGTGAAAGCGCTGGAGACGCTGGATCGAGCACTTTGGGATAAACGACTCCCCTACAAGCATCATTACATCTGCATGGCTGATTTCTACTCGGAACGGTATTTGGATTGCAGTTCTTGTGAGGAAGACGAGGATTCGATTGAGTCGGAGAGTGAGGATGAAGCGGACAAGTTGCCAAAGGAGCCGCTGGTCAAAGAGTTCACGTTGGCCACCACCGATTTCTGGGAACCCGGCTGGGGACAGATGAAAAATAATTACTTGGTGGCGAAAAAGTTGCATCGAGCGACGATCAACCGCAAATCTCAGGAACCAAAGAAGTGAAATGGTTTGGAAATTCAGCTAATTTTGTGATTTTCAATAGTTCTTGATAGTTTAACGAGGTAAAAATGACAAATTTCTGTGATTTTCCAGAATTTCCAAGTCTTCAAAAGGTAGTGCGTAGTGCGGCCAATATTTGTCAATTTTCTCAGGGTTTTGTGATTCGCGAGTGCTTTAAACGCTGAAATGCTAAATTTTTGTGATTTTTCAGGGTTCTCTTTGGGTGAATTATCATGATTTGACTAATTTTTTGTTGCTTTTCAGAGATTTCTAATCGTTTATTTTGTTTCTATTCACTTTTCGGTGCTCAATTTGTGCAAATCTCAACGCTTTATCGGGTTTTCGTGCACGTAAAACTTACTTTCAGTCTATTTACATCTAGTTTCGTGTTAAACTGGTACCTTTTCCAGTGTGCTTTAATTTCTGTGTGTTCTTACGGGTGTGTATTCCATGAATTTCCAGGGAAATGTCCGTCGATCAATGGGTGAGCGACGAGTTGCACTCGCTCGTCGGGATGAGCGATCGAACGATGACACAATTCGTGATTGCGTTGGCGAAGAAAAGTACTGGCGCCGAGGATTTGATAGGTGAGTGGGTTCTTTTCCAATATCGGGGGAGCGGAAAGGAAAATCGGGGAGCAAATTTTGGCAGCGCTACATATGTCCTATTTAAAATTGTGACGGACGGGAGCTTGCTTTGTTGCAAAAAGTTATCGACTCGAATTCGTCTTGAATGCTTGGGGACCTTTCGCCGTGCGCAAGTGTCACATACCCAGCGAAATAGATCTTTTCCCTTTAAGCGAACTTTCATCGATTCGCCACATTTGCAAATCCACGACTGGATGACTCCTTTGGTGACGAAATAATCGATTTCCGGTCGATTTCTTGACGCACAAATATCGGAGAAGCGCATCGTCGTTAAAGTTTTAAAAAAACGTTGGAGTTAAAATACAGTCCCGGAAATGCATTTTTCGAGGGGGGCAAAATTTGCTCCCCCGATTTTCCTTTCGCTCCCCCGATAATCGGACCGCTCCCCCGATATTGGAAAAGTACCGGTGAGTTTTTGAATGATTCGATTTAGCTTTCAAGTTTTTATCAAAAGAATCAACTATAAGAACAAAAAAGTTATAGAACTCTTGTTGTTAAAGCCTTTGTTACCGAAAGGGGAATTGAAATGAGCGCAATTTAAGTCTGATCTTTTTATTTTTTTAAATTTAGATAAACTACGCGACAACGAGGCCGTCTCGGACATCACACCGGCTGTGCGAGTATTTGCTTCAGAGTTGTACAATCGGGTGCCACATGCAGGTAGCATATTATTTCTACTCTAAGGGTAAATTGACACTATACTTTAGCAACTCTATGTTGAGAGAAAAACGTCATATCTTAAGTAGTTAAGTTAAGTAGCTGAAATCTTAAGAATTACTAGCCTCCAAAATCTTCTCATTTAGCCCCTCGACAAGCCCCAAAACCAAAAGGGCCATCGGAAGCTGAGAGGCGAGTGCTCGAGATGAATCGACTGAATGCCAGGATGACGTCACTTGTAGAAGATGAAGATGATTTTCACAGCAAGAAGGCCAGCAAAAGGGAGAAACACTCAAGAAGGAGAACACACAGCGATGAGGAGGAAGAGGTGGGGCAAGCAATTGTTAATTTGATTTTATCCGTTTAAAAGTAAAAGTGCTAATCTTACTTCCTGAGAAAACTCGAAAACTTCCCGAGAAATTTGGATGAGCTGATTACGATAATTTTTCTCATTTAGGCCCCACGCCATGAGTTCAAGAAACCGACAACGAATTCAGCTCGTTTTGACGATGATGAATATGATATTGAAAAGGTTTAGCTCTTCAAAGTTCTCTAGCATTTTAAACTTTAGGTGGATGATGACGAGGAACGAGATAAACGAGAAAGGGACGAATTTGCGACGAGATTGAGGGAAAAGGATAAGGACAAGCAGAAAAGGGGAACCGATTTGAAAAGAGAAGAGGAAAAAGTGGGCAGCTTTGGAAGGGAAATGACCTGTTAGAGATTAAAATATTAATGCTCAAAAGAATTGGTAAATGGTACTCTTTTTTTTAGAGAAACAAATCAGTCTCGGAGTTGCGAGAGGAAAGCCGAAAATCGTACTTGAACAAGCGCACTGGTGACAAGATCTACGAGTTGGAACGACAAGTGCAAGATGATGAGATGCTATGGAGCGGGGAAAAGTAAGCTATTTTACGAAGTTAATCCCTACAAAATTCAAATTCAGTCTATCTGCAAAGGAGAAGAAGGAAGTGGAGTTGCGCAAGAAGAAACTGGAGTATGCGAAGGGATATCAAGATGCCGAAGAGATCACCAAAGTTCAACGGTAAATTTTTCACTTCTTGCTTTTACTAGCTTTTATTTTCAGGTACGAGATGCCGGATCCATCCAAGCGCAAAACGGTGCCCGATGCATATGTGGAAGAGGAGAGAATTAAAGGTAAATCAAGAGTTTTCGCGGAAATCGATTTTTTTTCCTAGGTGGTGACGGTGCTCGATGGGAAAACGACCAGCTCAGTGAGGCGATTTTTCATTTCGGAGCGAAAGATCGACATGATGTGAATGAACCTTTACTTTAAAAGACACTAAATTAAAATTTTCTTTAGAGAAACGACGATTTCGCCTTACTCTTGGATGAGGAGATCGATTTCGTGCAAGCGACAGCATTAGCTGGGACAGAAGAGAAAGTAAATTGCAAGAGTTCCTTTAGTTTATGAAATTGCTCCTTTAGCCTGTGGAGGTCACGGCGGCCGAGCGCAAGAAGATGAGCATTGAAGAGACGCGAAAGTCGTTGCCCGTCTACAAATTCCGCAAGGAGTTCATCGAGGCTGTTAGGGAGCATCAAGTGGGTTTTAAGAAAAGAGGACTGAAACAGAGTTGTTCTGTTGCTAAAATTTTGAAGCTAAGCTAAAAATTGTGGTTTTAACTATTGAGAAACATTATTTTCGAATACGTTTAACGTTATGGAACAGCTCTGACGAATCAATGACATTTATTTATTGTTTCATTCATTCCAAAATTTAGGTACTGATCATTGTCGGTGAGACTGGATCCGGGAAAACGACACAATTACCACAATATCTCTATGAAGCGGTGAGTATTTAGCTGAGATTAGATGTTAATGCAATAGTTTAGGGTTTTGCTGATGGCGGGAAGCGAATCGGATGCACACAGCCGCGTCGTGTCGCCGCGATGAGTGTTGCCGCTCGTGTGGCCGATGAGATGGGCACGAAATTGGGAGGACAGGTGAGAGAGAAATGGACAATAAAAAAAAGGGGAGCCCCTTTTCCATTAAAGTGCGATTTTAAAGCAGAGTCCTAGTCTACCTCGTAGAAACTTGTCCATTTAAACCTTCAATGGCTCATTTTCCAGGTCGGCTACTCGATTCGTTTTGAGGATTGCACATCGGATCGAACGGTGCTCAAATATATGACCGACGGGATGTTGCTGAGGGAGTTCCTCAACGAACCCGATTTGGCAAGCTATAGGTGAGAACGGTGGTTTGGCAAAAATAATCACTTTTTTAGTCTGGTAAACGATAAATTTTTGCCCATTTTCAGTGTGATGATGATCGACGAGGCTCACGAGCGCACTCTTCACACCGATGTGCTCTTCGGATTGGTGAAGGATATCGCGAGATTCAGGTGAAATCGATCAGCTTTGAAGTTTGGCTGAGATTTTGGCGTTTTAATAATGTTTTGTACGCTTAAAAACAGCAAAAACCACGTTAAATACGACTTTTAAAATCTAGATTTTGATCGATTCGCCAAAATCTCAACGCCAAATCTAAACCAAGCTCACGTCCCACTCAATTTTTGATGTTTCAGGAAAGATCTGAAGCTTCTCATCTCATCGGCGACTCTCGATGCGGATAAATTCTCGAAATTCTTCGATGATGCCCCAACTTTTAAGATTCCTGGACGAAGGTTTGGGTTTAAATACTTCTATCAATTGTTAATTTGCAGATTCCCCGTCGACATCTTCTACACGAAAGCCCCCGAGGCCGACTATTTGGATGCGGCCGTCGTGTCGGTGTTACAGATTCATCTCACGCAACCGCTGCCCGGCGATATCCTCGTTTTCTTGACTGGTTTGTTTTCTTGTTGGCTATTGTTTCAAGCTAAAAACATGATCAGCAACTACATTAAGCCTCTTTGGATATTTTATGCCGATTTTTTAGGTCAGGAAGAAATCGAGACCGTACAAGAGGCGTTGATTGAAAAGACGAAAGCATTGGCAACCAAAATAAAGGTGTGTTGGATGGTTTTGAGATGTTTCATATCTATTCTTCTAGGAATTGATCATCTTACCCGTTTACGCGAATCTCCCATCGGATATGCAGTCGAAAATCTTTGATCCGACACCGCCAAACGCGAGAAAGGTAGAGGGATTTGTTTGTTATGGTACTAGACGTAGATTTGGATCGGTAAAACATGGATTTAACCGTAATTTGATTGAAACTTACCAGTTACTTAACCTTACAAGCCATTTCACTCTTTGATTTCAGGTTGTCCTTGCCACAAACATTGCTGAGACGTCGGTGACGATTGACGGAATCAACTATGTGATTGATCCCGGCTTCTGCAAGCAAAACTCGTTCGACGCGCGCAGTGGAGTCGAGCATTTACATGTGGTCACCATTTCGAAGGTAAACTCATGATTTTAATTTAAAAGAATTATCTGTTTTTTTGTTAAGAATTCGGCATATTGCTTCAACACGAATAATTGCTTCAAAAAGTTTTAAGACTAAAATTCAGAGCAAAAGTTTTGCTTGGAGTATCTTGATATAAACTGTTATATTTTTCATTTAGGCAGCTGCCGATCAGCGAGCTGGTCGAGCTGGAAGAACCGGGCCCGGGAAATGTTTCCGATTATACACAGCATGGGCATACAAACATGAGCTCGAGGATCAACCGATTCCTGAGGTTTCTCTTTGATGAGTCATGTATCAAATCTTGAGATTTTGCACATTCAAATAATAAATAGAACACGTAAATCGACTTTCCTGTGGACCGGGTTTGCCATTTTAATCTCTGCGTCTTTTAGATTCAAAGAGTCAACCTGGGCAATGTGGTCTTGTTGTTGAAATCGCTGGGAATCCACGACATTGTGCACTTTGACTTCCTCGACCCGCCGCCACAAGTAAGTGTTGAATTCGGCTTTGGTTTAGAAGATTTAAAAACAAACTCTTGCAAAGTTTTCGTTTTTAGGAAACACTGGTGATCGCGCTGGAACAACTGTACGCGCTGGGGGCACTCAATCACAAAGGAGAGCTGACTAAATTGGGACGACGAATGGCCGAATTCCCGTGCGATCCACAAATGAGTAAGATGATCTTGGCGAGTGAAAAGTGAGTTGCTGCCCCCAACAAGTTGAGAATGGGTTTTAACCTGAAAACTCTCATAGTTTGCTTTTGCCAAGCAAAGAAAACACAAATTTAGGGGGTTTAAAGCTTTCAGGACGATACGAACTTTACATATTCACTTTCTAGATATCAATGCTCGGAAGAAATCATCACCATTTGCGCGATGATGGCGTGTAATGCCGCGGTTTTCTACCGACCGAAAGTAGATTTTGTAACTTGTAAAACGTTTACATGAACTTTTTAGGCGATGGTGATTCACGCGGACGCGGCAAGGAAATCATTCTGGGGTGCGCCGATCGTCGGCGATCATATGGCATTGCTGAATGTGTACAATAAGTGGAAAGAGACGAATTACAGTCAACAATGGTGGGTGGATTGATGTTAATAAGAGATAGCCAGCTGGGCTCGCGACCAGGAATGGTTCCATAGCAGGCAAAAATCCCAGGCAAGGAAAGGAAAAAAGCCTTTTAAAGCCTAATTTTAAACTTTATAAATGAATTTAAATATCAACGTATCCTCTTTCAGGTGTCTCGAGAACTACATTCAACACCGGACGATGAAACGGGCTCGTGACATCCGGGATCAACTGGAAGGATTGCTGGAGAGAGTCGAGATTGAACCGGTGAGCCTTTTGCTGTTTGAAGTTGATCAACCTTGGAATTTTAATTCAAGAACAAATCAGGCCACTATTTTACCCATTTAGAAATCTTCAACCGATTCGACAACAGTTCGGAAAGCGATCACGGCCGGCTATTTTTTCAATTGCTCGAAGCTGGACAGCGCTGGACATTACAAAACGGTCAAGGTGAGCTGTTTGGCGTGATTTTAAATGCTTCGATGATTGCTGGCCTTTTCTATGCAAGATTTACTAATTCCTCCTGTTTCTAGAACAAGCACACGGTGCACATCCACCCGAATTCGTGTCTTCTCGAGGAAATGCCCCGTTGGTTGGTCTACTACGAATTGGTTTTCACCAGCAAGGAGTACATGAGAGAGGTTTGTGGATTTTCCGTCTTAAAAGATTAGCCTCGGCGATAGTATCCAGCGAAAAAGCCGAAGCGGTGCATAAATAGACCAATAAATCCATCCATTTTCATAGCTCTAGTACTATTGACTGGGCTAACACTGGAAAACGCATTGCTCGCGAGAAACTCATTCTAGATCTGATAATTGACCCAAAATGTTCTTATTTCCATTGTCCATTCAAAAATTTGACTTTCCCCCATTCTAGGTGTGCGAGATCGAGAGCAAATGGTTGTTGGAGGTGGCTCCGCATTACTACAAAGGACAAGAGCTGGAGGATCCGACGAATAAGAAAATGCCCAAACAAAAAGGCAAATCGGCACGGGAATTGACCGGGGAATGAGAGGAAAAGTGAAATTTCATTATATTTAGTTTTTTTTGCCACCACTTATGATACATTGATCTTCTTTTTTTTAAGGGAATTTCCCCGTTTTGTAAATATCCCCTCTATCTCTCTTTTTGTAAATATTACGGGTAAAATATTCGTTTGTTTTGTTATTGATATTTCTTGGAGAAATTCATTCGTTGTCACGTTTTTTTGAGGTTATTTTCGAATAAAGTATTTTTCAGTTGAGGGTATTTTGCGTAAAAGCTTACTTCTTGCAAGTTACTTCAAGATGGACACCAAATAGGTTTGAAAAAAATGACAATTGGACTACGGTACTTGGATGTGCTTTAAGAATCCATCGCCCAAGCCTGGATGGATTACGGTTGCTTTTGCCAAGAGCATCCTTTAGAACTTTTAGCAAGGATTACGGTAGCTCATCCAAAGCCACGGAAATTTCCCGAGCATCATTGCACCAGAATAACTGCGTTTTCATTTCATTTTTGAGCACAAAATACACGATTGAGGTGAAAAGCGAAAAAAATGAAATGAAAAGAACAGTTGACGTTTTTTTCCTCCCGAGGCGACCTCTGTTCTTTACTGAAAAATTTTCTCGGTTCAAATCCTCATTGAGATTTTTGGGAGAAAACTGAGAGAGATTACAAAAAGTTCAACGATAAACGGCTTCTCGGCTAAGTTGCGGTGAGCAGTTTTCACTTTTCAGCAAATTTTTGTGCTTTATGCTCAAAAAAGCACACCCTCTCTGGTACACTGAAGTTTTTCCCATTTTAAGCTCACTTTTTTGCTCGCATCCTGCGTTGTGCGTTCCAGCTTGAAAGACACAAAAAATTTGGACCTCAAAAGTTCGAGGAACCACCACAAAATGGCGCGAACTCGACGCCACCACCGTACTTGCGGTGTCCTTTGTGCTCCTCGGGGTAAACGCACCCCGTCTGGGGCACAGCTTTTAATAAGACACCTGCCCCAGTCCTCCTGAATAGCTTTTTGGCTCAAATTTCACCCGACTCACCCTATTTTTTTTTCACCATTTTCCCCAATTACCTCCGTTGTCAATAAGTGCTCGACTCACCTTCTTGTTTTCTAATTTTTCAAAACACAAACCTGTACTTTGTGCAATCAGCTGACTCATCCTGGAACGCACACCGCACACCTGTCCCATGCATGATCATGCCGGACGCAAAAAAATATTTTTCCACTTGCGTCGGACCTTTAAAAATAGCTCTCAGGTGAACAGCAGACCGCAAAAATTGACTCCCCATGTTCTCCAAGTTGACCCAAATTTCGATGTGCCTTCCAGATAACAACTTTTCACTTTTTTCGTTTTGCTCTATGCCGTGGAATTGACGCAAATTAGCAGCCGAACAACGTTTAACCCGATAGCATCACAAACTTTATTTGCTAGCTAGCACCGATTTGCTTCCACTTCCATTTGCAAGCAACACTGTGACTCCCAGATAGATCAGCTCCCGAACGTTTTTTTCTTTTTTTTTTTTTGGGGCCTCAAAGCTGTTAGTTTATTTTTGCGAATTTTGCAAAGCTTCTCTATTTATCGAATGAAAGCACAGATATTTTTTTGAATTTCGATTTTTTTGTGACGTTCGCTACCAAACTCTAGTTTTCTCTCAAATTTTGAAAGTTATGTCAACAGTAATGTGATCGGTCAGAGCGGGGGGGGGGAGGAAACTGGGATTGATGGATTAGGGAAAGAAGGCTTTCGCTTTTGACACCTCTCTCTTTTGTTTTTTTACCTCCATTGAAAAGATCGCAAGAAATTTGAGAATACGTTTTTTTTTGAGTTTTTTGAGTTACGACAATTTTGAACTCGATCTTTTGAATACTTTTGAGATTTTGGTGAAATTGAAATTGAAAAATGAAATATTTTTGAAGGAAAACCAGCGCAAGGAAAGTCGCCAGCATTTTTTTAAACGCTTTTACAAATAATATCGCTATGAAATTTCTATTTAAACGATTAAAAAAGACCAATTGTTTCTATGAAAAATGGGTTTTTTTTTGTTTTTTTGGAAATTCTTGAAAGCAATTGTTTTTATGGATTTTTAAAAAACGCAAAAACCGAGCACTTCAAAACTTAAAACGACTTCAATGCCAATGCGCGCCAATGCTGATCCCCAATTTAAACCATTTCTTCAATACAAACCTATTCTTAATGCTAAAATAAAAAAAGATAAAGCCTATTTGATTGCATAAAATTCTAAAATTTGAAAAAAATTTGAAAGCCTTATCGACCATTCTAATTAGGGGGAGCTAGTTGGTGCTTAGGGTCGAGTTTAAGCCTATAAAATGGTCGCCTGCTAGAGTTTGAAACGGGGAATCCGAATCCGTTTTTAGTTTTTCTTGCGGACGTCTCGATCGTCAGATATTTGGCAACAAAGTTTTTGCATTGAAATTTAGCGTGCGTGCTCTCTAGCAAAGGAAAACACTTCATCGATGGCGTCGGGGTAAAGCAGTGGGGATTTCAAGGGAAACAATCATAGTTCGGGTCCGGCCAGAGCCCGATTATTGTTTTTTTCTAAAACATCTATATAATCGTATAAAATGTAGCTAAACTAATTGAGTAGGTAGTTGTTGTTTAAAATTATCACTTTACTCTACGAGGGCACCATTTTGGCCTTAAGTTATAGGCCTTGGTGTCTTTCCGTAGTAAGATATTAAAGGTCAGTAAGCCTCTTTTTCAAAGAGATCAATTTGACACAAAAAATTGGCGCCGTCGGGGATTGAACCGGTCCAAAGAGCAAGCTGCTCGCCTATAACCCGAGCGCACTAACCACTAGGCCACCTCGGCAGTCAGAAGACCTCCGTGAAAATGGATCTTATCACAGCCATGAGCGTGTTAGTTGTGTTAGCGAATGTTAAACGAAATCTCGAGTTCTACCACCAGAAATTACTGCATCCGCTCTCAGATTTAAGCGATTTTCAAAATACCGTATTTCTTCGAATAGAAGACCGGGTAAAGAGTATGATCGCGTACTCCTGCCTAGCAGCCCTTTTAAAATTGCTTTTCTGCATACCACATGAGCTAACAGATTTTTGAGCCATTTTCCAGCTCTATAGCACTTGATTGAAAGCTTTTATGCAAAAAAAAGAAATTTTCAAAAGGGCTGCTACGCACGAGTACGCGATCATACGCTTTACTCGATCTTCTATTCGAGGAAATACGGTTTTCCCTTTCCACTTGCCACTTGCCACCATAAAACTCTAAACTCAACTCGAAAAAGAGATTCGTATAGATTCTAGCGCAAATATCTCACTTCACGATTGTTTCTATGTCGTTTTCGCGAATCCTGGACGTCACCCTTGATGAATCGACTCGAAAGAACTTCCCCCGACTCGTCAATCCGTTGACCCCAAACCGCAGATCAGTATCAACCCCCCGAAATACCCATCCAGCCATCATATCCATTTCACTTTCCTCATATTTTTCTCAATCCTGGAGTGCATCCATCACAACCAATTCCTCAAAAAACCGCTTTGCTCATTTTTGCGATTTTCTTCACATCCTTGATCTTCATCCAGCTTTTTTTTTGCTTTTTCCCTTTGGACCTTCCTCCCCTCGACTTCTTTTTAAAGAAGAAAAACTTCTCTTCGTTTTTTGGAACATTTTAAGACGCAATACTTCCTTCTCTTCAGCGGACCACCTGACCTTTCCCCTTCCCCCTTCTCCTCCCCTCCTCCAACCCCTCTGATCCCCCTCTCCTCCCCTCTCACCTCCAACCACGATCATCAACTTTCCTTCCTGTTTCCAATAATTAGTGTGTCTACTTTGGTGATTGCTTCGGCTTCCTGGAGCGCACAGAACAATTTAACGCTTTTACTTTTAAACCAATAAACCAAATTTGAGCTTTTTCCAAGTACAACCGGTTCAATTACCCAAATTCTTCAAAAATTCCGAATTCAAGCTATTTTAAAGCACCAGATTATTAAGTGCGTTCCAGAATTGAAACTGACATCAAAAACTTTTCCCTACCTAGCACCCAAAGCTCTCATCTTGAGCCCAGAGCTCTCATCTTGAGCCCAGAGCTCTCATCTCAAGGCTTCCCCCTTCTCAGTTATCCAACTTCTTAAAAATTTCGAATTTAAAGCGTTTCAAAGCATCGAATTGTTGGGTGCGTTCCAGAATCGAAATTTTCCGTCAAAAATTTCTCTCAAGAGCAGTTCTCGTGGTTTCCATGTGCCGGGACTTCCCCATTTCCCCCGATTCCCCACACCACCTGACCCCAATCACTTAAGATCATAAACATTCCTTTTTTTTTCGTTTTCTCCTTTCCTCTTTTATCTAGATTAGACCAGTCTACTGCCAGCTGTTCTCTGGGTTTTTTGAGTTTCGGACTAGCACTTGGCCTGGTCTCAACAATGACACATTTCCAGCACTTCCTCATTATGATTGGATAAAAAGCGCTTCCAATCCGGATCTAGAAAGGTCTAGATTCAAGAGTGACACCCAGCTAGCCAAGATCAACTTTTATTTTTCTTGATTTCTTATATCTAAACCCGGCAACGGTCGGGGTAAGCATTCGTCTACAAAATGAAATTCAAACGATCCCAATCCAAATCTAAACAAGTCTAGATTCAAGTGTGCCATCCAGCTAACCAAGATCAACTTTAAACTTTCTTGATTTCTTATATCTAGACCCAGGAACGGTGAGGGTAAGCATTCGTCTACAGTATGAAATTCAAACGACCCTAATTCAAATCTCAACAAGTCTAGATTCAAGTGTGCCATCCAGCTAGCCAAGATCAACTTTTATTTTTCTTGATTTCTTATATCTAGACCTAGCAAAGGCGGGGGTAAGCATTCGTCTACAATATGACATCCAAACGTCCCCAATCCAAATCGAAACAAGTCTAGATTCTAAGCTGCGTTCCAGATTGCGCGAATCGGCTATGCTTTTAGATTTTCACCATCTACATTTCCCACTCAGCTAGCCGATCAGATCTGTTTCTGGGGATTTCCTCGATTTTCTTGCAAAAACTTTCGTCTGCTTAATGCCCATCATAAACTGCATTTTTTTTACTATCCAAACCCCAGCTTTCCCTTGTTAACAACAGCCGGGAGCTCTTAAAAACGAGGAAACTCGTTTGCACAAGCGATTTCCCCGATTTCCCGTTCACTCAGGAATCATTTTCAAAATCAAAATCAAAATCAAAAATTTTTTTTCCAAGCTACGATATTATTTTTCTCTTTTTAGACAAGAAAACATTTGTGGAAATCATTTTTTGTTTTCAATTCTCATTTATGCCAATGTAAATTTGATAGTCCTGGAAGTCCTCGAAGGCACTTTCAACTTCAGAATTTCAGAAATCAGTTAAACTTCGAAAATGAGACAACAAAACGGCAAAAAGGCAGAGATCAATCCGTTTTTACTTCGCAAATGGACCTACGCCTTTAGCACATTCTTTGGTGAGTTCCAAATCAGAAAAAAAAAATAAAAAACGAAATTAAGAAAATTAGAAATTAGAAAATCGATGAAAATCAAAAAAAAAATCGAATTCTCGAAAATGGAAGATTTTTTTATTTTTATTATTTCAAAGTGTTTTGTGGACTCCAGAATAAGGATAAGCCTTCAGTACCGAAGGGTTAGTGTTACGCTTAAGATAAGGCTTCGGTCGTGAAGGGTTAGTGTTACGCTTAAGATAAGGCTTCGGTCGTGAAGGGTTAGTGTTACGCTTAAGATAAGGCTTCGGTCGTGAAGGGTTAGTGTTACGCTTAAGATAAGGCTTCGGTCGTGAAGGGTTAGTGTTACGCTTAAGATAAGCCTTCAGTACCGAAGAGCTCGGTACCGAAGAGGCGCAATTCTGGTCCAGAATGCAAGCTGAATTCAAGAATTTTTTGAAATTTTCATTTCCAAACCTCTTTTCAGACATCAACGGAAACGGATCACTGGAATGGAAAGATTTCGACACACTCGCGCAGATCATTTGCGCAACAAGGGGCAGTCGGTGAGTGGCTTTAAAAAGAAAGCATTAACGTTGCAGCCTACTGTAGCTACAGTATCCATACAGTACCCATACAGTACCCTAGAACGCCTACAGTATCCCTAAAGACCGACTAACGTAATTTGAGCTTTCTCTGCAAAAACCCCATTTCCTAGCGGCTAGCCTGCGCTCCAGGATGGAGAGTTATGAGGGTGGAAATCCGATCTGACGCATAGCTAAAGACGAGGGTCGCTAAACTCTCGCGTTTCTTGACCTCGGCAATTTTTCAAAAATTCTCTGAAAAAACCTCTGTCTCAAATGTTGCCACAGCCATGCTGGAGTGCACCCGAGTTGCAGAAGTGAAAAAATTTCGAAAATCTCAAATTTCTAAATTTCAGCTAAATTTCCGTTTCAGTACACTTTACACCTAGACTTTTTGTTTTTGAAAAGTTTATTCTGGGCGTTGAAACTTTCCGAATAGTTCGTGTGCGTTCCAGATCGGATAGGAAAATGAAAATTTCCTAAACAAAGCCACAGTAGCTTTCGTACGGGGGTCGAGCAGCGCTGTGCAGCTTTGGTAATGACCAAAGCCCAAAAGCCCACTGTAGCTTTCGTCTGGGGGGTCGAGCAGCGCCGTGCAATTCTTTCAAAGTTCAAATGTGATTCTTAAAACTCTCCGAATAGTTTATATGCGTTCCAGATGGGGTAAAAAAAAAGAGAAAAAGGAAAATTTCTTGAAATTCTAAACTCTAAAATTGAAAATTTAGAAGTCACGAGTATATCAGCGCAAAGTTGGCGTTTCCCGAGATTTGGTACTCGCTGACACAAGCGGCCGGGATTGACGAGGCCGGAAAGGTCGGTTTTTGGAGCGTTTAAGCGAAATGCGCTTCAACAAACGGTATATTCAGTTATCGTTGGACGATTGGATCGCGCTGTGGAAAGAGAATCGAAACGGGAAATGGACGAAAGTTTATCTCGACTATATGTACACGCTATTCGACGCTTCCGGTGAGTGAAATGGTAATTGGAGTGCATTCTGGAGTGCATTCTGGAGTGCTCTCTAATTCTGGAGCGCACAGTAAAAGTTGGAAAGGCTACAATATGATAGGCGAATTTTTAAAAACTTGCTGTATAAGCTGGAAAATTAATGGTCTCTAAAACTACCGTAATCTGTAGTGAAACAGTCATTCGACTGGCTGAATATCGAATTCTGGAGCGCACAGTAAAAGCTGTGAAAGTTTCAATAAACTTTAGGCGATCGTCTCGTCGATCAGGCCGAATACGTGCAAGTGATGCAGTACTTTTCGATCGATCGCGAAACGGCAAATCATGCTTTTGATCAGTTCGCTGTGGTGAGTTACAGTAACCCGTGGATGAGACGTGAAAACTACCGTAAGCTAGAATTAGCTAAAAACTAGCTAAAATTAGCTACCGGTTGAAATTAGCTAAAATTAGCTAAACATACTATACTAAAGTTACCCGGTACTCCTCAAAACTACAGTAATCCTTAAAGTTACAGTAATCGAGTTGTTCGAATGTTCGATCCTGGAACGCACTAGGCACTTTGAGCCATTAAACTTGAGCCCAAAGTTACTGTATCTTTTAAGCCTATAGTTACAGTATAGCAATCGACTAAAAGACACCAAAAGCTACCGTATTTCAAATTTAAAACAAAAAAAAACGATTTTCAGGGAAAAGATGGGACTCTATTGATGGCAATCGATTGGAAACAATTCAACGAGTTGTGGAAAGAATATTTCCACTCAACCGAGCACACAGCAAAGGGGAATTACCTGTTGGGATGTCCGTAAAAGCTTCGTTAGCTTCGTTTAACGCTCTATGCTCTAAATCTGCAAATTTCATGTATTTTCCATGCATTTATCCCCAAAAAATCAATTCCATGCCACAGGGTCAGCTCCACGAGCTTATCTTTTCCTTTTTCCGTATTTGTTTAGCGATTTGTGTGATTTTTCAAATCAGGAAATTTCAATTGTCATTTTATGCAAAAAAAATTATTTTCTTCGCATTTATGCAAAAAATCTTCGCATTTCCCGAAAATTTGCATTTAAAAAGGATGATCTCTCGTCGCATTTTTCGATAAAAATTTGAAAAACAAATTTTTTGAAAAAAAATCACCGAAAAACTCTTCCAAAAAAAATTTCATTTTCACAAGAATAAGCAGAGGAAAGGCTACAAATCACAAATCACATATTAAAACCGACAAAAATCTCTTCAAAAACAACCATTAGGCATTCAAAAATCTATAAAAAAGCTAAATTTTGTCTAAATTTTTTTTCTCCTTTTCGTTTCGTTTCCTTTCCATTTCTTTCTTCCTCATTTTCTTCTTCATCATCATCTTCTTCATCTTCTTCCTCTTCTTCTTCATCATCTTCTTCTTCATCATCTTCTTCTTCTTCTCCTTCATCATCTTCTTCTTCTTCATCTGCTTCTTCATCATCATCATCTTCTTCTCCTTCTTCATCATCTTCTACATCTTCCTCTTCTTCTGTTGTCGCCGAGTGCCACGTTTCGAGAGCCTAAAAAAATAAAATTCGTATCAAAAATGAGTTTACTCAGGTCAGACTTGCAAATTTAACACATTTTGATGAAATTCGGGTAGACAAAAATAGCCTCTCAGGCTATAATTCTTGACCCTATAAACTGACCAAAGCGCAATCCTCCATTCCCTCGCCATCCTCATCGTCGGAAACTCGTCTCATTTCGTTGTTCATCTTTCGTGATGTCGTAGAGTTATTTCGCCCCTGAAAATCAAAATCAGATTGATTAACTTGAGAAAAGAAACGTACCGTTAACCGATTGTATTGTTGACATTCCTCGTCCAGATTATTCACTTCTTCCGAAAGCAATCTCGAGGCGACTCGTTCGTATTTGAGCAATTGACGGAGCACGTACTGAAAGGGAAAATATTAAAAGGATGAGTGAGTTACTTAAAGTTTTCGCATCCACAAACTGGCTGACTGGCTGACTGGTTGAATTGCTCCAAAAGCCAGGTCCTAGGTCTGAAGCCAGACGCAAATCTACTTTGGCAAAGTTAGGCCAGGCAAACTGGTGTAGGTTCTGGTACTGAGGCCAGTCCAGCCCAACCGAAACCTAGACAGGGTGAGGTGTAACCTTGGCCTCTAGGGTTGACCTAGGTTGGTTGAACTTGATTCAAGTGTGACCCTGGGCTGAAGCCTGTGGCCTGGCATAGGAAAATCTATAAAAGCTTCTTATAATTCCCACCAGCGCCGTCACGATGATCATTCCCAACTCGAGGAGCACCCTCAGGAGGCTCGTCAACAAAGTCGCCGCTCCCCCGATCGTGTCAATCGTTTTGTGCTAAACAAAGAAAGGGTAAAAATACTAAAAGCCAAAAATTTACACCCATTCCGTCTAAAAGAGCAAAAAGTTACCTCGAAAATTCCGAAAATCCAATGAAAACCGATGCCCATTAAAGCGTAGAAGTGCCAGAAAATCTAAAAAATGGGAATATCTAAAATTTAACACAAAGACAAGGAAGAGGAAACCCACCAAAATCACGTCTTTCACCAAATATGGAGTTTGCGTGTAGGCAAAGTTGAGCGCCGCGTGAACAAGGAAAATCTCTGAAAAAATGGGGTAAATTGGTGAAAAACAAAAAATGATAGCTTAGATCTTTAGAAAACAAGCCGATCTGGCTTAAAACCGACCAGCGTTGGCGAGGAAAACGTGCGGAACGAGCAGCAACAACAACGAGACGCCAACCGGGGTATCAACTCTGAAAAAAAAAGAGGGAAATGGATAGTTAAATCACTTCCATATCACTTCCATATCACTGACATTTCCTGTTTCCATTGCCCGGCAGGCGAGCAATCCGTTTTGTGCACCAAGATTTGTCCCCGTGTCCCTGAGAAGAGCGATTTTTCGAGTGGCATCGAGACGAGAGTGCAATTCGCATCTTTACTAAATAAAAGGTGTAATATTCAGTTAATAAATCGCCCGCACCATTTCTCGTCCCCCATTTTCACGTTCATCACACTCCGATAAGCACTGTCGATGACAAAATGTCGAATAATGAGTGCCCTGATGAAATTTGATTGTCTCTAGTCTCTAGACATGAAAAATTACGTAGATGGCACTGCCCGAGGTCTGCACGATGTCGGAATCGTCGGTGAAATAAAGTCGAGTTGACTGGGTAAGCCCACAACCGGCAGCGATCACCTAAAACAAAAAAAAACATTATCACGTGGAGATTTTAAAGACGAATGAACATTTGTTGATCGGCTTTAGAAAGCTCATGAAAGTCAGCTATCAATTAAGCCAAGAAAAGTCTCGAAAGCCTAACCTTTGTCACCATTCGTGTCGAATTCGGCCCGTGTCGACTCGCCTCAACGTTTAGGTAGGAGGTGTGAAGCTGAAAGTAAACATTATAACCCTTTTTAAATGCTTCACTTTTGACAAAGATTAAAGATTTGAGCTAAATTTATGATTTTGGCCATCTCCACCATTTCCTCGCCAACCTTCTTCTCCTCGTCGATCCAAATAAGCAAAACGCCGCGCCTCGGTTCGATTCGACGCAGAAACAGATATTGTTGCTGGGTTTCGTTGTTGTTGATGATCCTTTCCTTGTTGTTCGCGATGATCTTCTCATCGGATTTCTCCAGCCACACATCGCAAGCGGTACAATCTAAAGAAGGAAATTAATGTCATGACAAATCGGGTAAAGAACACGGCAAACTCACACGTTGCAATGTCAAGGTGTCTCGGCAACAGCAGATCCCCTCCACGATTTAGCGTCCAATTGTAGATGACTGTGGCGGCGGGTGGGCTTTTCTGAAGCAAAGAAAAGTTTCTGAAACTACAAATCTCGTCACCTGTGCCATCCGCTCAAAAATCGTCAACGCTCCCGTTTCACATTTCAATTTGAGGACCGATTCAGCGAGTGACGGTGAGGAGAATATGGTGATGCCTGATGGAGGATGAGGGTAGAGCTGATCGAGCGTTACCTAGAAAGGAGAAAATGAATGGGTTGGCTTACAATTAGTCCAAATTCAATAGCTAACATTATCAGATTGGGCCAAATCACTTCTTACAGGCATTTCAATCCAGTCTACCAATCCCCAATCCCTCACCTTAATCGTGAACTTCGACACGAGCGCCAACATCAAAAACGCGACCCCGATCATCATTTTGAGGCCATCCTTGACATTCCGAGCTTTCCGTTGACGAAACTGAAAGAGAAAAATGATGATGAATCAATGATGATCAATCAAACTCACACTCTCATCATCATGGAATCTCTTGCACATCAATTTCGTTAGCTTCTCCCAAAGTGACCGGGTCTTTTCGCAGATTTTCGGCGTCACATAGTGGTGAAAAAGGGAGAAAGCCAAGACGAGGAGTGGATTGACGGCAATGATAGTTGTGGGAGAGATGCAGATGAGAAGGGAGCACGGGTGAAGCTTCGAGTACGCCTGAATTGAGAGATGAAATTGAGTATCGAGGGCTCTACATGTACAATGTAAGATGCTACACATGAAAGAATGTAAATTTTAATGTACATCGTTCCTATTAGTACAATAAGCAGACTCAAAAAAAGCCAGTAGCAAGTAGCAGCCAAACAGCACGAGGCAAACGAGAGACAGTTCTCGAACGTCCATAGGTGTACAACGTAACGGTACAACGCTTTTAGCACAACAACTTTTCATAGACAAGATTTTGATATCATTCGTCAACGTCAACGTCAACAAAAGAGCATTTCCTAGCGAATGAAATCAAATTCCCGCAGATTGAGCAAGCCTATGAGAAGTTATGGCGTTAAGAGTATGTTGTACACCTAAAAGTACACCTACGTTGTACGTTGTACGTTGTACACCTATGGACGTTTGGTTAAGTAACATCAACTCCTCACCAATTCCAACCAATCCGTGTACATTCCACTTTGGACGAGATAAAATGGCAAGGCGATAAGCAAAAATTTCGCCATTCGGAACATCTAAAACAAGGAAATATCAATGGCCCTTCAAAATGCCCTTCAAAACCTGATAGACATGCAAAATGTCGGCTCGTTTCTTGTGCGGATAGGCGTTGTCAAGGAAAGTGTTCGTCTTCGGGTACTTCTCATCGTTTACCGCATCTAAAAAAAAGAAATTATACAAAACAATCAAAATCCTGAAGCTCACCAGCTTCACTTGAAGCATTCTTGCGTTTCCGGGCGCAAATCGACAACAGCAATAGATTCGCCGTCAAGCCGAGCACTTTGCGGCGCTTGTACTAAAGAAAGATGAATATTTCAAGATTGTACTAAAGAAAGATGAATATTTCAAGATTTGTAGCTCTGTCAGCTCCGAGCCAAACTGATATTTTAGTTGCTATTGTTATTATTGAATGATTTGTCTATTCTTCCCCCTTTTGGGGGCCCCGGTCCCTTTCACCATTTCTCTTTTGTTCCCGCTTCACGGACCCCTCTATACGTTGGGGGGTTGGTTGGGTGGGGTGGCGGGGTACAAAAGGGATCCCCTCTTTAACTTACCCAAATTCTAGTCCCCGTCCGTTTTACCTGGAGCCCAATGTTACTCTAAAACAATAAAAACCGCTCACTGGAAACGCGCAACATCGAATGAATATCAATAAACACGTAGAACACATCGAGAAAAAGGCGAGCACGGCTGGAAAAGGGACGGACTTCGTCTATGGCAAAAAAAATGACCATATGCGACAACGTATCGCCTCCCGATGTCGAAGTTGAGGTAGAAGAACTCGCCGAAGAGGGAATAGCCGACGATTCCGATCACTAAATCAATGATACTAGTGTTTTCAGAAAAAATCAACCAGTCGCCACGGTGGTGTAAATGTAAAAATAGGTGAACAGCTTGTCGAGAGCCTCAGTGCCCTCGTTGCCACCCTGAAAAATGAGAAATCTAAAATGTAACAACTTTATTAGATTTTACTACTTCTGGTCGATGATTAGCGCTTCGTTCTGATCTTTTAACGCTGTTAACAAGGCTTAGTTAACAGCGTTAGTGCATTTTGGAAGTAAAAATGAGGCTTGATTATTGCATTTGTTTGATTTGATTGCAAAATACGCAAATATCTAGTACATAAAGTACATAAAGTCAGACTAATCCAAGCCAATAATTGTCCTTTCCCATTCGCTCACTTGAGCTGCGATGTACGGCGGATAGGTGACCAGCTTGATCCCGTGCCCGGCGCCCATCAAAACGACAGCTGCTGGGAAAAATAAGATTATTGAAGGAATTAAGGTTCATTTCAACTTTAAATCTACTTTCTAACCCCTTTCTAAAAAAGGATTTTAAAAAATAAACCAAAATCTCCACCAATAATCGCTTTTCCCTTCTCGAAGCCCGTCACTTCGGGTAAAATGTGCAGAAGAGTGCCTAAAATTAGACCCATATTTAAAACAAGACCCAAACGCACATGCGAGAATGAAAAACGAGTGCAAGAGGAGCATTTGATAGCGGGAAATCCACAAGTCCATCAAAATTTGAAAGAAACAAACGTTTTCTAAAAGTGCCGTTTAAATTATCGTACCAAGCTGAAGATTGTCGAAACGGCGGAGACGGCTAGAAATCCGTGAATCATCGTGAAACTAAACAGAAAATTGGACTAAATTAGACGATATTTACCCCGCAAAATCTTATTTATTGCGGGACAAATTCATTATTTTGTCAGTCTTCCTTGAAGAGTCACAAAATTTTAAATTTAAAGCCTTAAAGCCCTAAAGCCTTTAAAGCCTTAAAGCCTTTAAAGCCTTACAGCCCTAAAGCCTTTAAAGCCTTAAAGCCCTAAAGCCTTTAAAGCCTTTAAAGCCTTAAAGCCCTAAAGCCTTAAAGCCCTAAAGCCTTAAAGCCCTAAAGCCTTTAAAGCCTTAAAGCCTAAAGGTCCTGGACCGCACGGCAGCTGAATAATTTGTTATTTCAAAAATTTCTCACATCTCATTCTTGATGGACAACTCGATGCTGAGCACGGAGAGGTAAGCGCCGAAGATAAACGACTAAAATCAATAATTCAATGTTTTAAGGAACAAGCTGGATATCATAGAAACCAAAAATTATCAAAGCAACCAAAAACCCAAAAATATAGAAACATGCAACCCGTGGAATTTTGAATTTGATATAGCTGAGTCGCGGAACAAAATACAGAAAATTTTACCTCGATGCACCCGAGCGACAGCAGCGTCACGGTCACCGTCGAGAAGGCCGATCGCATCGAGGAACAGAGTAAAAATCGATCTGAAAGCAAAAAAACAATCAAAACAAATCAATGAAGAACGAGAAAAGGAAGAAAATAATTAAATGCTTTCTCAAAAAGAAAGATTACTCGAAAGTTGAAATGCAAATTTTATTTTAATTTTTATACAGTCATGGACAAAAGTCCTGGAAGAGTATCTGGGAAATGTCTAATTTATTTCAAAAGTGGCAAGTGTTATACGGAGAATTGTAGGCCTAATTCTCGGCAACATTTACAGTCATGGACAAAAGTCTTGGCGGCTCCTGGGTGACAACTTTCGAACGCAAATTTAGGAACCTTTCCGAGAGACTATAAAAAAGTTGTCACAAGTATTTTTGAGCATTTTTACTCTACTTTTAGCTATGACCAAGCATTGAACTCGAAAGTTTATTTTAAACAACAAAAACGCAAACGCCCAAAACCCCCCCCCCAAAACCCCCTTTTTTGGGGTTTGGGCAGAAGCTCCCCGGGCCCTTTGGTCCTTCTCCCCCCCCCTCTTTGTCCCCGCTAAAGGCTACAAGACGATCCTGGAGAACAAATTTCTTCCTTTTGCTACCGCCAAAATGGGACAAGGATGGCTCCTCTACCAGGACAACGCTTTTTGCCACAAGAGTCAGTTGCTTATGGGCCACACTATTCGATTTGCCAATGGAGGAAGTGTTCGACTACTCGGATGGTTCCGCGCGAATCGTGTTCAACTCGTTTCAGCTTCTCCATACAGCCCCGATTTGGATGTTATTGGACACCTCTGGGCGTTTATCATAGACGAAACTCAAGGGAAGACGGTTTAGCTCTAGGGCGGATCTTTGGTACTTCGTACGGTGAGTTTGAGTGACAATTGCGCCACAAATTTTACGCGATATAGTTGACAGTATGCCCCGGAGGCTCCAAGCGGTCATTGCAGCTAAAGGCGGATCTAAAAATGCTCAAAAATACTTGTGACAACTTTTTTATAGCCTCTCGGGAAGGTTTCTAAATTTGCGTTTGAAAGTTGCCACCCAGGAGCCGCCAAGACTTTTGTCCATAACTGTATACTAACAACTTTTTCAAGGCGATAGTTTTTGAGGTTTTCGATTACACTGAATTGATTAACAATGGTTGCGAAATGAAATGAAGGTTGGCGAGTTGGCGAAGTCTGCTTAAGGCCATAGATAGCGCGTTATGTTTTTATGTATTAAACTCTATCGGTTTTGGCCCATAAAAACACAGTGAGCCCGCTATTGATAGTCTTAAGCGACCTCCGCTATCGGGGGCGGGAAACGCTCAACGCTAAAGCTTGCTAAAGCTTGCTAAAGCTAAAGCTATTCGCCTAAAACTTTAAATGCAAAGGTAAATGCTGAATTGACACGCGGGAAATTTGATACGCGAATGTTTTTTTGTTGCGTCTTCACGTTTGAATGTTGAATCAGTGATTTTACAATAAATATTTTATTCATGGTTTCATTGATTGATTTAAATGATTGTTTCTCACCACGTTGCTATTTGAACAAAAAAAATTGTTGCGTCAAATGAATTTGGCATATTCGAGTCACAAATTCGGGGGTGGGACAAATGCGGGGGGTGGGACAAAAGCGATCTTTTATTTGCGCACCCGACCCAAAAGCGCACCTTTTCACTGTTGTTTTTTTGCTTTTCGCGAATCAATTTTGTCGGCTTTTTAAAGAAATGTCAAATGCTATCAACAGGCTAAAACTTGCCAATGGACGAAATCTCTCGTTTGGTCAGTTGTATCCTCAAACTAATCGTGTTGTTCATCGTCAGACTCTTAGATTTCATGCTGTACTTAATGGTAGAAATAATGTGTCTCATGTTCAACATTTATCTCAACTCTTGCCTCATATTGTTTCTCGATAATGTTGCCATGTTTTTAAGTTGTGTTATCGTTACTTTTGTCTGTTTTATGTCATTGTTTTACTGCTAAATGTTTTACTGTTAAACGGTTAGGTTGTTATTGAAGGTATAAAGAAGCAAAAGTACAATTAGAAGTTCATTTTTGGCACCGGAAACAAAAGACATTAGTCTAATAATCATGGGAAAATAAATTTGGAATTTTTGGTTTTGTATTGATTTGCAAAAAGCCAAAAAAACAACAGTGAAAAGGTGCGCTTTTGGGACGGGTGCGCTTTTGGGTCGGGTGCGCTTTTGGACGGGTGCGCTTTTGGATCCAGTGCGCTTTTGGGGGTGCGCTTTTGGGTCGGGTGCGCTTTTGGGTCCAGTGCGCTTTTGGGTCGGGTGCGCAAATAAAAGATCGCTTTTGTCCCACCCCCCAAATGCGACCTTTTTTTCGCTGGAAAAGGCCTTACCGTAAATACTGTATTAGTATCCCACCCCCATAATGCGGAGTGTTGCATAGTATAGCTTTGAACGAGTGTTTCTCGACACTGGTTTATGCTACAATGCGCGCTTAGATATCAAAAAATAGCCCTGAATTTCAGCTACTTTTTGATACCAAAGACGCATTTTTTGAAGGTACGGGCGCTTTGAAAAAAATTAAATACTAAAAAACTTTTGCGACTACGCGACTGTACGAGGGGAGTGGGGTACTATTACAGTATTTACGGTAGGAAAGGCCGTAGAGCTTCAAAAATGTTTCCACATGGGGAATCAAATCAAATCAAATAGATTCCGAATTTCGACAAATCAGACCTCGCTGACATGTCAAATTTGGGCTAAAAGGAAAAAACTGCGGAAAAGCGTTAAGTAATAGAAAGTAGCCGCGGAAAAGCGTTAAGTTGCCTAGCTTTTGCCTTTTAGCCCAAATTTGACATGTCAGCGAGGTCTGATTTATCGAAATTCGGAATCTACGCATACGATTCCCCGATGTGGAAACATTTTTAAAGCTTTACGGCCTTTACGGGGTGATTTGAAATTTGTGATCTCAAGGAATCCAATGAACCAGTAGGATTTGACATTGCTTTCACTAAATAATCATTTTTCTTTCCAGATCGGTTACTTGCGTTCGTTAGACTCTAGGATAAGAAGGCGTGGACTTTTTTTTTTGCTTCCCGTTGCCTTTTTATTGGTTTTCAGTGTTCTTTTACATCGTTCAATCATTTTTCTTTCCAGACATGCAGGTATTCGAGTCGCTCAACTGCATTTTGTGCAAGGAACCATGTAAGTGAAAGGGTTTTATCTTTTCTAGAAAGTTTTCAAGTTAACCTGTTATTGTTGTGAACCGCGGTAATCCATAGTATTCGCAAATTGTTCTAAGTTGCATTTTTAGTTGCACGAAGCGTTAATCAACCTCGTTCACCACTGAGACTTGGCTGTGGATTGGTAATTTGTCACAATTGTTTCGAAAAAGAGGAAGCTCTAAGGGACGAAGAAAGGAAACATCATTGTATTCGTGACGGTTGTTTCCACAATTCCAATTTTGCGTATTTTCTCATTGGTGAGTTCAATTTGATGGCTTTTTTTTGTTTAAAAAAACGATTGTTTTAGATGTTCTATCGCAAGAAGATACTTTAACTCTTGCTCCAATCGAACGGGGATATGTGCTTTCAGAGGTTGATTTTTGTTGTAAAGTCAAAGATTCGTTTTAGCTCCTCAAAATCCCCAAGTGTCCGATGTGTGACGAGGAATGTGAGCTTGAAATGGTTGATTTAAGATAACTTCTTTTAGATTCAAGCGCGATTGGAGAAAAGAGATCTTTTCTTCTCCATTGCAATCACACCATCTGCACGGGATGCTATCTGAAGGCTCGACAACCGACGACGAGCGCTCAACGACCGACGACGAGCGCTCAACGACCGACGACGAGCGCTCAACGACCGACGACGAACGCTCAACGACCCACGACGAACGCTCAACGACCGACGACGAACGCTCGACAACCGACGGCGAACGCTCAACGACCAAAACCAGACACTTTCAAGCAAAAAATCACTTGCCCAACTTGCATGAAGTCGAGTTTTTTCAAAAGTGAAAACAAGAAAAATCAATTTCAAGGTTAAAAAAAAGAATTTTTATAATAAAAATCTCTATTTAGATTTTATGAATGAGTTGCCCAAGATGACACGACAATTGGAAGCAACCAGAAACGCTCTTGGCTGTGAGGAGTGTCATGAAAAGGTAGGTTTAATTAATGCTGTTTTACGTATTTTACAATTGTTTCTAGTTCATTGCTGATGTGATGTTTCACTGCTCTCAATGCGTCTCTCAGGTGCGATCATAGAGTTGATCATACCGTTGATCATAGAGTTGACCTATTCTTTTTTTAGATCTGCGGTGCCTGCGCTTATCTGAAACATCGCTTACATAAGGCAAATCGTCTTTTGAGAAAAAGGGTACGCATTATATTATTTAGCATTTATTAAACTCGGATTTAAGGCATCTGACATGATGCTGCAACATTGGGTGGATTCGTCGAGTGCCATTAAATCGTGCGATAAAATGCTCGACCAATTGAATGAACAACTTTCTGAGGAAATCAATTCGTTCGGATTGGTCGGTTTTTGTCAAGTAAAACCATTATATGTGGCTTTTGTCAAGTAAAACCATTATATATATACACCATTATATTCAATCTCATTTCAGAAACTGCTTTCAAAGACCTACACTTATAAAAATGCTCTAACTTTTTCCAATTTGTATGAGAATCACGAGGAGTTGACGTGAATTTGCCTTTGTTTTGAGTATATAAATCAATTTTAGAAAGTTAAGGACGGATTTCGAAGCGTCGGTTGAAGAATACTTGCCACATCTACACAATTTTGGCACAAAAGTCAAAGTGAGTTGTGTTTTTAAGAAAACCTCATCTTTTCTTTCTTTCAGGAATTGATCCAAGCGGTTGACAAAAAGCCCGGCGATGATCCGATCGCTTAAAAATCTTGGTGTTGAGAAATCTTTTTGTTTGTTTTTTTTTTATCGTTGGGATTGATATTGCTTTCTTTTCAAATGTTCTATTGTCAGTTTTTCAATAAATTTTTTTTGTTTAGTCTTTGATTGGATGAAATGTTCGATCTCATTGTTAGTACTTTTAATTTTTGAAAAAATTTTTGTTACGAGCTCTGATTTTGTTTTGCTTTGGACTCAGTATGCTTGGAAACAGAAAAAGAATTCAAATCCGCAAAGGTTTAGCTAGGGCTTGGTCAACGGTAGTAGCGCCAAAATTTAAATTGCTTTGACTACGTTTCTATTTAAAATCTTTTGCCATTTCAACTAAATTCCTCAATAGGCACACTTGTTTTTTGAAATTTCCCGATTAATTCAATTTTCATTCCTTCATGACTACATAATTTTCTTTAGGAATGCGAGTATTCGAGTCGCTCAACTGCATTCTGTGCAAAGAACCATGTAAGTTTTGCGGCAATTTGATACTTAATGGATAACGGGGCTGCCAATGGATAAAATGCCCTGTTTAGGGCCGTAACCGGGTCAACATTTTGGTTGGGGGCAAGACTCTTAACTCTTGCTCTATGAAGCTATGCTCTTACTCTGCGTTTTTCCCTATGAATTTTTGCCGGATTGCTCTTTTGGAGATTTAGAGGCAATTCCACGTTTTGGATCCTTTTGATCCTACAATTTTTGCATTTTTTTCCTTCTACAATGAGCTTTTGGTAGCTATGAACTTGAACAAATGATTTGGGCGAAAAAGTTTGACGGTGTTATACAAATAATGTCTATCCACTGGTTAGCATATCTGGTTAGCACTGGTTAGCATTCCCTGTTATCCGTTAATGTTACATGTGAAAGCTTTTTTTTAAACTTCATTTTTTGTTTCTTTAGTTTCCCGAGTCGCCAATCAGCCTCGATCGCCTCGAAAATTGGGATGTGGTTTGGCGATGTGCCATGAATGCTTCGAGATGGAGAAAGCGCAGAAGAAAGAAGACAGGAAACATCATTGCAACAATGGCAATTGTTTCTATAATCCAAACTTTGCCTATTTTCTCATTGGTAAGTTGAAATTTGATATTTTTTTACAAGAATTTGATAGTTTTTACAAAATTGATTCAGATATGTTAGCCGAGGAAGATGCTTTAACTTTGGCACCAATGGAACGGGGATATGTGCTTGCGAAAGTTTTTCTTGTTGATGCTATAAAAATAAAGATTGTTTTTAGCCCTTCAAAGTGCTCGAATGCTCGGTTTGCCGCGATGATTGTGAGCTTAAAACCATTTTCTCATGTTTTTATTTTCAGATTCAACCAAAATCACTGAAAGACAACCTTTTGCTATGTATTGTAATCATACGATTTGCACGGGATGCTTTCTAAAGTTGCGAGTGCAAAATGAGAATGGTGCGAACAAGGAGATGAAGTACATGATCACTTGCCCGACTTGCGGCGCCGGCAGCGAGACGAGCCGTGATAAGTGGAAGGATCGATTGCATGGTAAAATTTTCATTGCTAGCTGCTAGCTAAACTAATCTTGATTCAGATTTTCTCGACGAATTGCCCAGGATGACACGACAATTGCAGGCGGCCATGAATGCTCCGACTTGTGATGAGTGCTATGAGAAGGTATCTTTGGGTCATAGTTGTTCGCTATAGGCCTTTATTTGCTTGGTCGGGCTTTATGTTTTGAGCGCTCGTGCTCGTGCTCGTGCTCGTGCTCGTGCTTTTCAAACTCTTAACTCTGGGATAAAAAGTTTCCGGCTTTTCAAGGTTTCAAGCTTTTCGGTAATAAGCTTTTTTGTCGTTGATTGTTAGAGTCAAACAGGTTAAACAACTCTTGACACCTATAAATCGTGCTGCAATTATTGCCTTGACAAGTCTAGCAAGCAATTAAAACAGGATCCGGTCAAGCACCACCCAACCATTAAAATCCAAGCTTTCTTATGGTGATTTAAAAGCAAAGCTGATCTAAAAATGTTGATAAAGGATTTAGCGGAGATTCTTAGCTAAGATTCATCTGGTTTATTCAAATAATCTATAAAATATATTGCTAAACCAAACTATTAGGTTGTCCAGTTATGAATGCGCGCTTTTACTATTTGGTAAATTTCTCAAGATATCGAACAGATGTATATGAGTGTTATATATCATTCGAAAGCTGAAGATCTCTACATTTTGATATAAAAAGTTTTTGAATTTATTCAGCTTTTGAGCAAATTGACCGCACAAAGGGAGAGGTCGTTTTCGAAAAAACCGATTTCAGTTTAGCTATTCCTCAAGTTTTATGGTGTAAAATAACCGCCCAGAAAAGAAAAGATGCTCTGAAATTGTTATATTTAAAAAAAAAGTTGTATTGATATATCTATTGGCCAAACATCAAACGGTTAACTCAATTTGAGCGGAGTCAAAACTTGATCCAAAGGCATCCTTCCACCCAAAGGCGCCATTTTTTGGCCACCTCTTCTTCTGTGCAGTCAATTTGCCCAAAAGCTGTTTATATCAAAATGTAGAGGAGATCTTCAGCTTTCGAATGATATATAACACTCATATACATCTGTTCGGTATCTTGAGAAATTTACAAAATAGTAAGAAAACGCGCATTCATAACTGGACAACCCAATAATAACCCGTTTTTTTTAGTACATCATCGACGTCATGTTTTACTGCTCTATGTGTCGGATTAAAGTAAGCCGATTTCTTTTAGAAACAACTTAATCTTTATTCTTCGTTAGATTTGTGGCTCTTGCGCTTATTTGCAACACCGTTTGCACGATGCCAAATCGCTATTGACAAAACAGGTAGGCATAGGCATAGGCATTCATTTAAAATCAAAAGGAAATCTGCTTTAAGGCCGGTGAAATGTTGGTGGAACTGCGAAATGATTCGGCGAATGTTGTCAAAAATTACGAAGATTTATTGCCCGAGCTGCACAAGGGAATCCTCGAGGATGTCAGCTTCTTCAAGACGGTAAACTTTGCGTGAAATCTACACTTTAACATGTTCCAGAAATTGCTCTTGAAGGAAAACATTCTGACGGACGTTTCAACTTTTGGTGATTTGATGGAAAAACACCAGACATTCACGTGGGTTTAGCGGTTTTTGCTGAAGTTTGGCTATTCGAATCTTTTAGAAAGGTTAAGACGGACTTCGAGGCAACAACTGAACGATATTTGCCTGGGCTTCGGAAATTCGAAACGGAAGTCAAGGTGAAACTTTTGAATTGATAACGGAAAAGAAAATTTGCTTGAGTTCAAGTTGGTAACTTGGGTTGGGAGGGGCCCTCGGTGGTTGGGAGGGGCCACTTTTATCCTGAGTCTGAGTTGGATCTAATGTTTTGAGTGGTTGTATTGATACCTTTGATCTACCTATTCTAGGGTAATCAAATATGGTTATACTTTTAGAGCATTTACAACATGTTTCAATTTTCATATTGATTGATTTTATTTGATTTTCAAATGTAAGCAGCTTTGAAGGTAGCGTTTGAAGGGGTTAAAGTACATTAGATAGGTTAAAGTAGATTAGGCTAGAATTATCAAAAATCTGCTAAAATAGTCACCAATCTATGAAGCATATTCGATTACCCTAGAATAGATAAAAGTTATCAATACAATCACTCAAAGCAATAGACCCAACTAAGCCAGGATAAAAGTGGCTCCTGCCAACCGCCAAAGTACCAAAACTTGTTCTAAACTGGGCTTGGACGATCAACTCCCATCCATCTAAAACCTTTCGTTCTACATCGATACTTGGGCTTATCCGAGTCACAAGTACTCTATAGACTGGAGCTTGTGTACTGTGGGTCTGGCTGAGTGGTCCAAAACTGGTCTGGCTGACTGGTCCAAAACAAAATTTTACAGCAAATTTCATTCAATTTCCCGCATTGAAACCCCTTCGGTGATTTTTCTTTTGTTGGTGAGAAATGACGTTTTTCGGTGTTCGCACTGTTGACTCGCGGAAATCGGACTAATCAACTAAATAGGAACTATAAAGGAACTATATAATTATAAAGAATTTGTTCTTCTTGCTTTGTAGTTTAAATGTAAAATGCGAATATAAATGAGTTCTGAAAAGTGTGAAAGACTTGTTTGCTAGGTGACCGCCACCAGAGTCACATGAATCCGTTAAAACCCCCAAATGTCAGCTTTTCAGGCTCTAATCGACGCTCTCGACAAGAATCCCGATCCAAATGTGACGATCAATCCAAATGTGATTGATGGGCCTTCTACGCACTAAAAAGTTAATGTACCTATGTTCTAAAAAGGTGTTGAATCTCGATACTCTAAACGTTTTTGTATGCTTTTTTAGTGATGCAATGATTTCTAGCACTTTTTCTGTCAAACAATTTAATAATTTAGAATTTTTTCTGAATTTGCTAATTTTTTTAATGATTTTTAATGTTTTCTAATGTTTTCTAACTCTTGTTCTGTTAAACAGTTTAATAAATAGATTCTCTCAACGTTTCCTTTTGCATTTTTTATTTTTCCCCGCAATTTTCGATATCACACTTTATTTTCAAGTCGAAAATTTTACGAAAAGAATATTTTGATAAAATTTTGTTTTCTTCTAGACCAAATAGAAGAAACAATGAAGGAAAATGAAAAATGATATGCAAATTTTGTAAAAACATTAGAATTTGCAAATTTTTGATTGAAAAAACTACCCTAAAGTCTCGAGTATAAGTTCGGCCTTAATTTACCGTCGCTTTAATTGCTTTGAATTTCTTTTTGTTGGGTTTTTATACATTTTTATTGTTATATAAACTTTTATATTATTGTTCTTGGAGCGCGGGATACTCCAATACGGTTCCAATACGATTCCAATACGATTCTTTTTTTTGATCCAATACGGTTCTTTTTTTGATCCAATACGGTTCCAATACGGTAGCAATGGTGACAGCCTATCACCATTGCTATTTGTTATGTGCATGGATACACATCCAGACGATAGTGTTGAAGAAGACGCTGGAAAGCATCTCTTTCGACCGTCGACGTGGACTTTGGCCGGATGAACGTCGACCGGACTTTGGCCCGGGCCAGGGAGGGATCCATAAGACTGAGCACCGGAGAGGAGCAGGGCGGACGCGCCGAGCCACGCCGAGCCACGCCCGGAGCAACAAATAACAGCATAAAATTTGCTATAACCCTCAATAAATTTACTTCTATTATTGTTCTTAAAAAGCGAAAAAGTTATGCTGCAGGGGGGTCCGAACCCTCGACACACCGCACCGGAGACAGCCGTCAATTTGCATGCGAAAAGCAAACAGAAGTTATACTCGCGACTTTAGGGTAACCAAATGAAACACCAAAAAATCAAAAAAAAACAAAAAAATTTCATCAAAATTTTTGAAAGATTTTTAAAAGAGGGCAGTGAAAGAAATGAATTTTTTTATAGAAAAATGCAAAAAATCAAATCCCACAAGGCATACGGTAGAAATAACCGGGCTTTAGAAAACGAAAAGTTTCACAAAAAAAAACTGTCGAGGTACAAAATTTTTTTGACACATTGCACTGTTCGCGAGGAGATAAACGAATTATTTCGAATTTTTTCACAAAAAAAAACGGCAAGCTTTTGGCCAATCTGGAGAACACGGAAAAGAATGGGAAAGTTTTGAGAAAAAATTTTGCATTTTTAAAATTTCAAAATTTCTCTGACCATACAGGACTGGCCATTTTAGACGGTGATAAAGAAAATTTTAAGACTTAAAAAGATATCCAGAGGGTAATCTGGAGCGCACTGTAACATTTGGAAATGTTATTGCATCATCATCATTGCGCTGACACGATCGTGATGTTGGTGGTGTTCGGCTGCTGGGACACGGTGACCTCTTCGGCGGTCGACCTCGGCAAATGTACTGTGGCCGGCTGGTGCACGGTAGCCTGGTGTACGGTGGCCACCGAATGCCCGTCCGGTGCCGTTTTCAGTAGCCGCTTCAGCCGGGCGATCTCCTCGTTCGCCCGGTTCAACTCGTCGGTCAGGTGAGCGGTTCTGAAGGATTTTCTTGATTTAGAAATGAGATTTCGGCTTTATTTTTCGAAATCATTGAGTCCTGGAGTGCATCAAAGAATTAGGAATAAGAAAATTTCGATTTTGGAAAAATTTTGCTTAATCAGTTTTGAGCCAAATTTTATGACAAGATGAAAAAAACGAAATTCTTTGTAAACTTTGGTTTTTTTGATTATAAATCGAGATCCTGGAAGGCACAGTGCCCTCTGAATGCAAAAGTTTTTGTTTTTATGGAAATTTTGATATTTTGTACCTGTTCCCGCTTTTGACCTCTCCATTGTGCCCGTTGTGCTTTAAAATGATGTGCTGATGATTGTCGACTCCGTGAATCGTCTCCAGCCTTGCTGGCGACGTCAACAGCATGTCCTCAGCACAAAATGAACACGATAAACGCGTATTTGAGTGCAGATCCGCCGACGAAAGCGATTCCTGCAAGAAAAACCATTTTTCCCAGCTTGAATTCAATTTTTTAAAGCCGAATACAGTAATCCTGGAGGTCACACTGTAAAACGAAAGCTCTACCGTACTCAGATTTGAGATCTCGATAAACTCCTATAAAGTGACCCGGTTACCGTAACCCCGACCAAAACTCATTTTGAGATACACTAATCTTTACATCTTTTATGCGTAGAAAGCTAATGTGCGCTCCAGATTACGGTAATCCATTCTCAAAAACCCACCATTCCCGTGTCGGAGTCGTGCTCTTGCTCGGCTTCCTCCGTTGACGAGCTCTCCCAGTCGGTTCGACTAAAATCGAGAAGATATGTTTTGCAAACGGTTTCATTGTCTACTGTGACATCCAGAACGGGTGTCTCTGCTCTTATTTAAAGAATGCCTAGCTTGTGGAAAGAGTTTTTGGGCCAGTCCTGAAACTCTGTCATACTCACCGCTCTCTTGTCTGACTCGGCGAGTGCTTGTGGATCGAGGATGATAAATGGCGGTGAATGATTCTTTTCTGAACGCCTCGCACTCCGTTTGAGCCAGTTGAAACGTGTGCCGAATCGATTTCGTCGAAAAGCGAGTCGCGAGATCTGAAATTTTTTTGGATAATCGAAAAGCGTAGATTCTCGAAATTTAAAACGCTTGAAACGACGGCGATTTTCAGCTAGATATCTACAGTGACATCCAAAACCGCCAAATTTTCAAAAAATTTCAAATTCCGCCCAAGCAATCTCTTTTTAAAGCGCCAGTCCTAAAACTAACTCTTTATCGTCGGGCAAATGCGGCGGTGAGTGCTGGCCGTTCTCGCGGCTGTCCTGCGAAGAGCTGCTCGATTTCGAGAGAGTCTCCGAGTGTGCGATTCGCCTCGGTGGAGCTGTGTACTGTCGTTGCGGCATTGACATCGACGTGGTCCGCGCTGTCGGCGTAGACGCACCGTTCACGTCTTGGGACACCGACCGCGATCTGAAACTTTAGCATTGGCCAAGCTGGAGCGCACACGATATGCTAGGAAAGTTTCAGAAAGGGTTTTCAAGAAATCAAAAAACTAAGGTTTTATCCCTAAAGCAGGGTGACCCCGGAGTAAACAAAAGCCCGAAAACCCGCCTCCTAGTACTGTCACTTTATGCTGTGACATCCATAACTAAAGAAAATTTAGATTACATGTGGTTTAGCTAAAGCTACGAGACTGTACTTTGTCGTACAGCAATCCTAGCTGCATAGGACAATATTTTTCAACGACAATCTATTTTTCTATTACTGTAGCTTTATGCTGTGACATCCATAATCTAAGAAAATTTAGATCACATATGGTTTAGCTAAAGCTACGAGGCTGTACTTTGTCGTACAGTAATCACAGCTACATAGGTAAATATTTTTACAACGACAGCCTATTCTATTACTGTAACTTTATGCTGTGACATCCATAACTTAAGAAAATTTAGATAACATATGGTTTGGCTAAAGCTACGAGACTGTACTTTATTGTACAGCAATCCTAGCTGCATAGTATATTTTTCAACGACAATCTATCATTCTATTACTGTAGCTTTATGCTGTGACATCCATAATCTCTAAAAAATATTCATTTGGAGTCTGTAGATAAAGGAAAATATCTAAAATGAGCATGCACCCGATTTACCCCTAATTGCTGTCGGTTTTGGAGCTGAAACGGATGATTTCAAGAATTTTCGTTTACAAACCTTCCACTCAGCGCTTTTTTAACGGATTGGATGATCCCAGTGGACGGTGGCGGCAATTCGACCGATTCCAAAAGCGGTAAACCGTAGAATTCGGCTCGTTGCTTCAGGAAATCGAATAGGTCCGTTAACAGGGAGCTGCGAGTGCGTTCCTGAAATTTCGAATTGATATTTGGGCATCCTGGAAGTCACACTCAAGAAATATTCATCTAAATCTGGATCATGGGGTCTTCTTGAATTGGACGGCAGTACCGAAACGTTCTCTCTACAGTATACCCTATGCGTTTCAGTCAATAGTCACTTTTGAGTCGAAAAATCTTGATTCTGGACATCACACTAGCTAGTTATTCCTTTAAAATCGCCAAAAAAACTCACAGCGAGTTTCGCAAATTTCGTACTCCTGTACGCGGCATTCTCAGCGTTGATCAACTTCGTCAACAGGAAATTTCGGAAATCTTGGCCTCTTCGGAAGATTGGCGGTGCCGGGAGGGTTGGGCCAAAAAATGGAACATCATCGCGAGCCGTTACAGCCACCTAAAACCCATCTTTTCCAAACACACCCCTTCTACCAAATTGAACAAAATTTTTTTAAAGCTTTGAAATCATTTTTTTGACGAATTCGGATCCGGTGACACCCAGGAGGAGCTTTTTTTGAAATCTCGAGTCTTAAAAACCAATATTTCGAGATAAATCAGCTTGAAGTCTAACCACGGCCAAGAGATGCTTTGTAGTTAATTTTAGGGGTTTTTTTAATTTTATTGCTCATCCTGGATGTCACACTTGTTAATTGGCTAGAAAAAAGCCGACCTTGTAGCGAACTTTCTCGGTGCATGCGTCAACCGGTTGCACAACAATGTAAGAGTGCAGGAAATTCGAGGCGATCATATCGGGCGCGAATGGCGTGTTCTCCTCTTGAAAAACCACGGCCACAATGTCGTTTCCGATGTGCCGTTTACGCTAGAATTTTGATTTTTTAGAGAATTAGAGGCTTTTAGTACGAATCTGTACTCTTTACTTTCACTCGCTTAAAATTTGCATATCTGCAAAGAGAGAACGAAATTTTATGAGCTTTTTGGTCGATCTGGAAGTCACTAGAAAGTTCCGACATTTGGAAACGGAATTTGGAGCACTCAGTATTCAGGTGTACTCTTGACGATTCTTTCCGATCATAATTTCTATCGTACACGCTAGATATCAAAAAGTTAAGCAGCTTTCTAGCCGATCTGGAAGTCACTAGAAAGTTTCGACACTTCGAAACGGAATTTGGAGCACTTAGTACTCGGGTGTACTCTTGACGATTCTTTCGGCTCAAAATTTCTATCGTATCGCGCTCTCTTTCCAAAAATCTTTCAACTTTGTTAGCTGATCTGGAGCACAGCTGAGGGATTGTGCTAGAAAAATCGCATCCATCTCACCTGCAACTGTTGCGTGTCTCCAACGGTGAACGGGAGCATCGTGGAGACGTGGAAGAGGCATTCACGACCGCGAAAATCCGTGTAAACCGCTTGGCGACCCGTTTGCCCGTGCGTCGTGTCCAAACCTCCGCGGTAACGCTGAAAACTTTTGCATAAACTGTGGCGGTTTAGTTTTAAGCCTTAGACTCAGGTTTTGGCTTGTCTTGGTCAGAATTCAGATCTGAAAATTTGCGCGAGCTTTGGCCTGCCCTTATAGGCCTCGAGACCGGCTGAAACATCCGGTTACTATAGCCAGGGTTACTGTACTGTAGCCAAGAATATTCTAAGCGAGTCCTAAGTTCTGTAGGCAGGTTTAGACCAGAAGCCAGGCTAGAAACTGATCCGTCAGAATAATCCTCGTAAAAGCCATTCCAAAACCTCCTGTGACATCCAGGATTTGCATTTTTAACGTTTCCAAGCTAGGTCTTCTCTAGGATTACGGTAGATAAGTGGGTATAGACGTTACGGGTTACGGTAGCTATATACTGCTTTCAACTTTTCTGATCAAAAACAATCCCAAAACCTCCTGTGACATCCAGGATTTGCATTTTGGACGTTTCCAAGCTAGGTCTTCTCTAAGATTACGGTAGATAAGCGCTATAGACGTTACGGGTTACGGTAGATGTATACTTTCAACTTTTCCACTCGAAAATCATTCCAAAATCTCCTGTGACATCCAGGATTTACACTTTTGACGGATGATTCCCAGGATGCTCAAAATTACATGACAATAACTCAACGCACCGTAAATCCTTGCAGCTCGATCGTGTCCCCAAGTATCCCCAGAAATTCCTCGAAAGCCGGTGACGGAATCGCGTTCCCGAATAGCTCCTCTTCTGTCACTTGACCCTTTCTCTGGTAGATCACACCGAATTTGTAGGTGTTCGTCAGCACGTGCTCGTCGTATCTAAAGAAATTTGCATTTAAGAGTAAATGTAATTGTCTGCGTATACGGTAGAAACTATTTTGCAACTGTTCCGCTCAAAAACCATTCCAAAACCGCCTGTGACATCCAGGATTTGCATTTTTGACGTTTTTAAGCTAAGTTGCCTCTAGGATTACGGTAGATAAGCGGCTCTAGACGCTACGGGTTACGGTAGCTATATACTGCTTTCAACTTTTCTGATTGTCTGACAATCCCAAACTCTCCTGTGACATCCAGGATTTGCATTTTGGACGTTTTCAAGCTAGGTCTTCTCTAGGATTACGGTAGATAGGCGCACTATAAAAATCACTTCCCTGGCTTACGGTAACTCGCCGAATTTTCCGAGTTTCTATTCAAATTTGGGTCACATGCTTTCCAGAACGCAGCTTTAGCGGAAAAAAAAATTCCATTTAACTCAATTTTCGCCAATTTTTTAGGACTATAGACGATTTGGGGTACTGTAGCGAAATTTTTTTTTCGGATTTTTCCTCAATTTTTTTCACTAATTTTGTGTTGTGCGTTCCAGATTGCACAAAAATTTTCAAATTTTTCAAAACTCACTCGACAATTTTCTCGGAACCACCCGGAAAAGCGACCGGACAGAATTTATCCGTGGACACCTCATCGCAGAGCAGTCGGGCCATACGAGACGCGGATGGCTTGTCAGCCAATGCTAAAAATTGGTTAATATTACAGTAGTCGTTTAAAAAGAAAGCCGTTTTTCAGTTAAGCCCTTACAAAAAGAGAGTTTTTTTTCAAAAGATCTGAAATTGCTTTTTTTGGGGATTACGGTAGCTAATGGATACGGTAAAATGAAGCTTTCAAGTCTACAATTTACATAAACGACAGAGAGATTCTATTGGAGTTAGCTTGCCAGAGATTTGGCTAGAGCCAGGTCCAGATCAGCCTCAGGGTTACGGTAGCTTTATACTGCTTTCTACTATTCTGAAACAATTCCAAGATCTCCTGTGACATCCAGGATTTACATTTTGACGTTTTCAAGCTAAGTCGCCTCTAGGATTACGGTAGATATGCGCTATAGACGTTACGGGTTACGGTAGCTGTATACTTTCAACTTTTCCACTCAAAAACCATTCCAAAATCTCATGTGACATCCAGGATTTACATTTTGGACGTTTTCAAGCTAAGTCGCCTCTAGGATTACGGTAGATAAGTGGGTATAGACGTTACGGGTTACGGTAGCTGTATACCTTCAACTTTTCTGATCAAAAACAATTCCAAAACCTCCTGTGACATCCAGGATTTTCGTTTTTGACGTTTTCAAGCTAGGTCTTCTCTAAGATTACGGTAGATATACCGTAATCTTGCTCTAGACGCTACGGGTTACGGTAGCTATATACTGCTTTCAACTTTTCTGATTTTCTGACAATCCCAAAATCTCATGTGACATCCAGGATTTACATTTTTGGCGTTCTTAAGCTAAGTTGCCTCTACGGTAGCTAAGATTACGGTAGCTAAGCGCTATAGACGTGACGGGTTACGGTGGCTTTAAACGAACGTCTTGACTGTCGAAAATCGAAAATATTCAGCCATCCTGGATGTCACTAGGCTTGATTTTTTGTCTAACACCCAGTGCTTTCCATATTTTTTATTTATTTCTTTTTCTCACCACTAGCCGGGACGATCTCGTGAATTGTGCCCTGTTTCGTCCTCAACATTATCCGGAAATGATCCTGCGAGGAGATGGTTTCTGTGCGAACCGAAAGCACTAGTGGGCCCAATTGTGGATCGTTTGCGTAGAAATCGTGGTGTTCCTAAAATCGTGGTGTTCCTTTCAAGTGAACCGTCTACGCTTCACTCACTCGTCCATAAAAATGCCTCCGATAGCAATTGCCGGTGTCATCCATTTCCAGCTTGAACCGGGCACAGCTGTTTGTTTGGTGGGCATTCGAGTGGCTCTGCCCGATCTCCTCGTCGATCGCTAGATTTGAGCTGGACACGCCTGAAAGTAGAAATTCCAAAACGTTCATAGAATCGATTTCTCGTGCTCGATCTCAAGTGTGATATCCAGGATTTGGATTAGAAAGATTTTTGGTCACAATTTCTTTGTTCAATTTTGCAGAAATCGGGCCAACACGATTTGACTCTAATAACTCCTTTGAATTGATAGAAAATGCCGTTAAAAATGGAATTTTGGTCAATGATGGAACGCAGGCTAGTCTCTAAATCTGTCACTGACTCGAATCAAGCCATTCAAGCCATAACTCTGAAATGGCGTTTACCCTACAGTACCTAGTAGCATAAATAATAAGTTAGTCACTTTTTGAAACACTAAACGAGTGATGTGACCTCCAGAAAGGAGCTTGGTCTAATTTTGATCCTCATCCAGAAGGATTGAGACTCACCGTCCATCCAGAATCCCGAGGATTGAGTGACGATTTGTGGGTAGGGACCCGGTCGGGAGAGCATCTGAAATATTCTCTTATTAGCCCAGTCACATTTAGAAATAGCTAGCATGAGGTCCAGAATTGTACTTGAAAACTTAAGATTGACTACTTGACAAACTCGATTCCCTATTTTCCCGCCAGTCCTCAACCCTGACCCCGAGGCTGAGCTAGCCCTTCTCCAAAAAGCTTTATAGGCAATTTTGAAAGCAGAAATACATTACATGACATCCATAACTTTATTTTAAAATCTAAAATCGCCTACTTGATAAGCTAGATTTCCTATTTTCTTGCCAGTCCTTAACCCTGACCCTAGCCCTTCTCCAAAAAGCTTTATAGACAATTTTGAAAGCAGAAATACATTACATGACATCCATAACTTTATTTTAAAATCTAAAATCGCCTACTTGATAAGCTAGATTTCCTATTTTCTTGCCAGTCCTCTTTCCCTGACCTCAACCCCTGAGATTGGCCCTCTCTCCTCTCATTGAAAACTTTTCTATTCAATTCTCGGATTCTCCAAACCGTTCTTTTCTCGTTTCTCCATTTTTCTTTCAATTCCCATTCAATTCAAAGGTTTTCGACCCACTAACGAAAAAAAAGCGACTAACGGAATTGTGATGGCTTTCTTGGAAACGAAATTGAATCAGGATTAGCATGAAATAGTACGGTTTTTTTAATTTAGACATTTAATCTGGATGTCACAGTAGCCTCTTGTAAAGTCTCAAAGTCAGATATACAAAAGTAACAAATTGACTCTCGGTCAGCTGACCGGTTACGGTAGCTATATTTCGCGCCCGTACTTTTAACAAGAAATTTCCCTAAATTTAGCATGTGACATCCAGGATTTACATTGTAGATGTTTTTAAAGTCTCAAATTGCTCTAGGATATACAAAGGTAAAAAAGCGCTATCGACGCTACGGGTTACGGTTCCTGTAAATCCGAACGTCTTTACTATCGAAAAACAAGAATTATTTTAATTTAGACATTCAATGGATGTCACGTAGACTCCGTATAGAGTTTTTCTAAATTTGCAGCATTTTTCAAAACCTTGAGTTTTTGAAAAATTTCTCACCTCTCTCATCGCTTCACGGGTCGTCGTGTTGTCTCGGTGATTTCGCTCGGCGCTGGAGGCCTGAAAATTGAAAAAAATGAGGTTTTGGATGTCACAAAGGAGCTCTAAATGTTAATTTCCTTAGTATTATAATTTTTTATGAAACTCGGTCGGTTTCCTAAAAAACACTATTAGCTACAGTACCCCAAGGCAAATTTTTTTGGATTATGGTATTTCTAACTATTGGATAACCTGTACTGCCACCCATAGTTCCCAAAGCGGCCACTTACAGTACGCTTCCGTTCTCGGTTTCTTAAAAAAAGCTCCAGCTACCGTAATCCAGTACTGACCAAATATTTCTACACGGATTACGGTATTTCTAACTATTGGATAATCTGTAGTGCCTCCCATAGTTTCCAAAGCCGCCATTTACCATACGCTTCCGTTATCTGTTTCTTAAATAACGCTCCAGCTACCGTAATCCAGTACTGATCAGATATTTTTACGGATTACAGCACTTCTGCCTATTCGATAACGCGTACTGCGTTCCATAATTATAAAATCCCTCACTCACCGCACTCGGCAACTCTCGTAGCGCGATATCTTTGACCGTACTCGAAATGAGGGTTGGCGGGGAGACGATAGAGTTCTTCAGCAACGGTCTCTCCGAGTCAATGCTTTTACGAGAGCCGATGAATAATGCCCCAAAAAGTTCGAGCGCTGATTTCGATCCTTTCCTTGCTGCATGGCTTCCATGAATTTTTGTTTCCGTTCCCCTCTTTGCTTTCTCCATATTTTCCATGGCATTGACGAGCTTTTCGGCTGCCATTATTTTGAATTGTTCTTCTTTTGATGGAAGGCTCATTCGGGAGCGCTTTAGTTTTTCCCGGTTTGCTGTACGGTCCAAGCTAAGCTGACGGTCTAGGGTCTGGCTTGGGTCAGGGTAATCCAGGGTTTGGTCCAGGGATTGGCTTGGACTAGGGTAGTTCAGAATGCGGTCGGAGCCAGGGTGACGGTACGGGATCCGATCCAGGGTCAAACTCCTGTCTAAGGTCCTTTCCAGGTTGGGATTCAGATTCAAGGTCTGATCTGGCTTCTTAGAGTCTAGGGTTTTCTCAGGGTAGGCTAGTGATCTAGGGTACTTCGGGGTACGATCCACTCCTCTGTCCACTCCTCTATCCACTCCTCTATCCAATCCTCTGTCCACTCCCTTTGTCCCATTGTTGTTCAACTCTGGAAAAGTATCACTCGATTTGCTCAAGCTCTTCGTCGACTTCGAGAACTTGACTTTTTGAGGTCTTGATAAGTCGAGCTGCTCGATTTTTGAAGTGCTCGCTTCTAAACTGTGCATACTTTTTGCTCTAGCCAACTCCTCGACAGCTCTTCCCTCCAGCTCTCGTATCGGCGAATAGTCAGGACTGGGAATTGATGGCTCTTTGATTGTAGCCAAATTCCCTTGTGATCCCCTTAAGCGAGAGTCAGCTGTACTCCAGGGAATGCCCCTCCTCTTCGAGTACTCTCTCGTATACCGCTTGTCCATATAGTGCCGAACCTCAGCGTCCGCATCCATTCGCACTGGAAAAGCACATCGTTTTTTAAAGTGAAATTTGATTTTTGGAACGCACGAGAGGAATTGAAAAAGTAAAAAATGGATTTTGATCAAAAGAAGAGACAAAAACTTTGAAGGATTGAGATCAAGCGGATATGGAACGCATTTTTAAAGATTTCAAAAATATAATTCAAAATCTGGAAAACCTGGAAGTCACTGGATCTAGAAAAAGAAAGATTTTTGGGCTTTCGAGTAAAAATTGAAATCTTGGATTTCGACGGTTTAAGAATGGATAAAAATAAGCTGATCTCTACAAGAATCACTCGAACTTTATCTCGTCAAACACAATCTTGGAGGTCACAAGAAAAGTGGAGAGGGAAAAAACGGGGTAAAATTGAGCCCGCACGGGGCTCGTATGGAGCAGTGAGCGAGCGCCGCGGAGACAAAAGTAATCCGGGAAAAGGGGGGAGAGACGAAGACCGAAACCGGCTTGTTTTTCGCCTCTTTTCCATTTCTATTCTTTCTCGGCGACAGATGGATTTAGACATTTGCATTTGTATGTTCTTCGAAAATTTTCCTTTTGTCCTCTAATGGCTCTTTCCCGTTTTTTTTTTGAGTCCGGCTTCATAAGCTGCCCTTAAATACGCTTTTTTGACTTAATTTTGAGAAATTTGGGCTATCTGGAACGCACATGAAATGATGGATTTAAAATTTTTTGAAAATTTAATAAAATTTTTTTTTTGGCGGCTACCGGGATCGAACCCGACCCCTCCTCGGCAACAACTTCAAAAAAAATAAGCAATTTTTTCGAAAACAAAACATGCAAATTGCCGAGTGACATCCAGCTTGGGGTTTCCCGCGAAAATTTTTGCTATATCATGCAGCTTTCACGGGGAAACCCCGGCCGATCTAGAATTTCGGTGAATACAAGCGAAAACTAATCCCACGCAAAGCCACGTAATCTGTTTTCGACGGAAATCGGCAATCACGTCGATCAAAAGCGATATTTGCAATGAATGGAATGCACAGGAGAGCTCAGCCACATAGGGGAAGCCAGCTGGGAAATCAAGGAATCGAGAGAGTTGGGTAAATGATCCGAAAACCAACTTGTGAAAATCGACTTGAAATCGAATTTCAAGCAACCCGGGACCTAATGTGACATCCATAACTGACAAAATTAGCATTTAAATTTCATGGAGTCGCTTTTAAACCATTTTAAGCCAACGAAGAAGTTCGGTCTGAAAACCAACTTGTGAAAATCGACTTGAAAACGAATTTCAAGCAGCTCGGGGACCTAATGTGACATCCATAACTGACAAAATTTGCATTTAAATTTCATGGAGTCGCTTTTAAACCATTTTAAGTCAACGAAGAAGTTCGGTCCGAAAACCAACTTGTGAAAATCGACTTGAAATCGAATTGCAAGCAACTTGGGGTCTAATGTGATATCCATAACTGACAAAAAATTCAAAGAATTCAAATTTTCGACTCAATTGGCAGAGAAATCGCTGGGGTAACAAACGCACTGCTACCTGAGCGATTTTCAACATTTGTTCGAAGAGCCAAAAAACTCAAGCGGCTAATTGGAACGTATAATCCTCGGAAAAAAAAAGTTTTGGTTCACAGATTTTATGCTTTTTTTCTGCCCAGTTACAAGAGAAAGAGACTCGTAAAATTAGCATTTAAAATTTCGAAAATAAAAATTAGCATTTAAAATTCTCAAAATTAAAAATTAGGCTTTAAAGTTTTCATAATAAAAATTAGCATTTAAAATTCGCAAAAATTAGCATTTAAAATTTTCAAAATAAAAATTAGCATTTAAAGCCAAATTTTTTTTGGTTGAAACTTGAAAAAGAGGACTGGTGCGAAATTTTGCTTAAAATTAATGAAAATTCAAATATTTTCGAATATTCAGCCAATCTGGATAGCATTTTAGGCATATAAAAAGAAAAATAAAAGAAATATTGAAATTTGAAATATTGAAAATTTTGAAAAATTAGCATATAACATTGCTATTGTCTGAATATCGTAAAATATCGAAAAAAGAGCAAGCTAGTTTTTTTGGAGAGAATTTTAGCGAATTTCAAAGCACTTTTCCCGTTTTTGACTCTCATTTTGATGTGAATCATTGATTTTTTTCGGATTTTTCCATGAAAACGAGAGATTTTCCGAAAATAAACACCAAATGACTCCTCTCGATCGAGTTGGCTACGATTTTCGAGCACATACAGGGAAAAGCGGCAACGAAATTCGTCTTGTTGTGCAAGCTGGAACGCACTGCGCAAGCTGGAACGCACTGCGCCAGATGGCGAGCGTTTGAGCGAAAATGACTCCTCTCGATCGAGTTGGCTACGATTTCCGAGCAAATACAGGGAAAAGCGGCAACGAAATTCGTCTTGTTGCGCAAGCTGGAACGCACTGCGCCAGATGGCGAGCGTTTAAGCGAAAGAAAAATCACACTTTACGAAAGTGAAATCGGTGAACAGAGCTGGAGGGATTTTTTCGATTAAAAATTAAGCTCCAGCTTGGATAGAGGATTTTTTGGGCAAGCTGGAGCGCACAGCGAATAATCAATTAGCCAGATTTGCGAGAATTTTAAAATTCAGTGCACCAGGTCCCTAATGATTCGAAATTTACATTTAAATACTCAAAATGGCCTTGAAATGAGTTTTCTTTTTTTTTGCTGAATCGCAAAAATGAGGCCTTTCCATTCAGGAAAACGAAAAAAAGAGAGCGCCGTTCTTTTTCGCGTTTTTGAATGGGCATGGGGAATAACAGGTGGATGGATGGGCGGAAAGGGGGAATGGTGGTTCGATACACCGGGTAATTAACCACCGCCAATCATCGGATTCACAAAAGAAGAACGCGATCGGGCACGATGGATGTCACAGCGCTTATCAAGCAACAAAGATCGATCGGATTCGGAAAAAAGAAAGTTTCAACTTTTTGCAACACTGAGATTTCCTCAATTCCCGAAAAGCTATCGGATTCGGTCAAAAACTTTTGAATGGCTCATGTGAGTTCCAGATTGAGCAATGAAAGACAGAAAATAGAAGTCGGGTGTAGGATTTGCGAGATATTGAGCTCAGCTCCGACCAGTAGTATGGCTTGTTTTTAAAAGCTATCGGATTCGGTCAAAAACTTTCGAATGGCTCATGTGAGTGCCAGATTGAGCAATGAAAGAAAGAAAATAGAAGTTGGGTGTAAGCTTGGCGAAATATCGAGCTCCACTCGAACAACCTCGAAAACGGATTTTGAATAACGGAAATTTGTGATTTATTTGATTTGGATTATCAATTTTTCCAGAAATCTGATTCAAAAAGGCAAAGAAAAGGGTTTCTTTTCGCGATTTTTCGGGTTTATTAGTGAGCAGAGTGGATTGACATTCATTTCTTTTCTTTCATTCATCAAAAAAGAACTCTCTTTACCTCTCTTTTTCCCAAAATATGCTCACTCGCATAATCAGCTGTGTTGCGATGTCAGAAATCGAAAAGAAATAAGAAATTTGCGAGTTCTGGAAGTCACACAGTGCAATGCTTTCAATATTTAGGCGATAAGGGGAAAATTTAAAAATTTGGTTTCCAAGAGATTTGTGTTCATGGGAAAATGTTGAGAAATTTTTGTAAAAAAAAATTTTTCAAAAGTAAATTTCGGCTATCTGGAGTGCACAAAGCAAAATGAAAATAAAAATTTTCAAAAAATTAGCATTTAAAATTTTCATAATAAAAATTAGCATTTAAAATTCGCAAAAATTAGCATTTAAAATTTTCAAAAGATTTGCATTTAAAATTTTCAAAAAAATTAGCATTTCAAATTTTTTATAAATTCGTTTTTAAAATTTACGAAAAATTAGCATTTTAAATTTTCAAAAAAATTTAAATTTCAAATTTCCAAAAAATTTGCATTGAAAATTTTATGACTCATTTTGATTTATTTGAGATTTAAATCCTTTAAAAAAACAGAAAAATAGAAAAAGTGAAATTTGAATAAGCTTTGCCCGCTCGATGAATTTGGATGAGTGTTTGCACACACATACACACACAAAAACCCATCCCAATTCATTTTTAGGATGCAGTTGAACAATCCAACCACCCCCAACCACCCAACCACCCAGCCCAACCCCCAACCACCCAGCTCACCCAGCCCACTCAGCTTCATGAAGATTTTGAGAGAAAATAAAGCGAACGAGATCAAATAGCTGAATAAAAATGAAAAAATGATGAATCCTGGATGTCACAGGAGGCAACGACGCAATGAAATCGTGATAAAAACAAAATTTTTCGAGCTATCCGGACTTGAAACAGAGTCGGCTTGAAATAAAGCCTCTAGGGTCGATTGGCTGGATAAAAAACTATAGTAAAGCTAATGCTGGATGTCATGCTAAATTCATTTGAAATTAGTTTCAAAAAAGATGATCTTCTAGGTTTTTCGAGTTTTTCGGTCAGGATCAGGGTCGACTCTGACCGTGACCGAAAACGAAATTTGCACTTATAAAGTTAATTCCTTTCCACAAATCAAAAATGCCTTCCAGGTCGGCCGATTTGCCAATTCCATTTCCGTATTTCTGATTTCTCTTCTCTCAATCTGATCCCGAATTCCCCAAGACAAAACATACAAAAAAGGAAATCGATGAGAAAGCTAAAATAGCTAAAATAAACAAATCCGTAAAACCAAAAACCCCCAATGAGCTCCAATTAAGAAAGTTTCTTTTCGAAGAAATTACGGCGCTTCTTCAAATCATCGAAAATCTTCCCAGAGTTGTTCAACTCTTTTCAATGGTGACCATTTCAAGGACTCCCAGCGACGCATGAATGCAATGCGACTTGCGCGGATCGGCGAATTGGAAGTCACAAGTAATTATGCACTAGTCAGCCGGTGCTCCAAAACCCTTCAATAGACTTGAGGGTTTTGGAGGCTGGCAGGTGCAGGTGAGAGATCTCACTCATATCCGCCAATCCAAAACCCCTCTAAGCGAAAAGAGGTGCCGTTTCGGCGATCCTGGCACGCACACGCTAATTTGC